TGGCGTTCATATGGCTTGCTGGCATTGCAGGCAGCCATATGACCGACTATGCCACAATGCCAGTCCCTGTTATATAGAGTTTAAGGTTATATATCTGCTTATTATACTTCCAATGATGAGTCAAGGAAATTTACAATGAACTTTAATAAATGTAATAAATTTAATGTGCACAATCCCATGGACTGTGCTTCATGACCATTTCCCCATGTTCTTCTGTGACAATGTTTACAAACTTTTTGATCTTTACCAATTGCTGACAAATTGCATTTCATGTGGCTCTTATTTCTTTTATTATGAGTTTAACTCTTTCCATGTTTGTTGGCCAGGCATCTCTTTTTCTAGAAACTACTTGTACCCATGGTTCCCTTGCTTTTCAATTGGATTGCTGCTACAACTGATTTGTAGGAATTCTTGATAAATTATGGAAATCAGACCACTATTAAATAGGCCGCAGATCCGCACTCTAGGCTTTGATGATCTTTTTATATTATTACAGTGCTTTGAAAATTTCTTAAGCATTACATTTGGAGACATAAAAATCCTTTCCATTATGCTAGAAGAGACACAAGAGGAAAATACGAAAGGATTCCACTTCTATGAACTACCTAGAAGAGTCAATTCCAGAGGCAGAAAGTAGAGAGGTTACCAGAGGTTACAGGGAGGGGGAGATGGCCAGTTGTTGTCAAACGGTTACAGCGTTTTGGTTGGGCTGATGAAAGCCCCGGAGATGGGTGGTGGTGACCGTGGCACAACATTGTGGATGGACTTAACACCACTGAGCTGTACACTCAAAAATGGTTAAGATGGGGCCCAGCGCTGTGGCATAGTGGGTATTCGCTGCCTGCAGTGCCGGCATCCTATGTGGGCGCTGTTCGTGTCCCAGCTGCTCCGCTTCTAATCCAGCTCTCTGCTATGGCCTGGGAAAGCAGTAGAAGATGGCCCAAGTCCTTGGGCCCCTGCATCTGCGTGGGAGACCTGGAAGAAGCTCCTGGCTCTTGGCTTCGGATCAGTGAGCTCTGGCTATTGTGGCCATCTGGGAAGTGAAGTGATAGACGGTCTCTCTCTCTGCCTCTGTGTAACTCTGTTTTTCAGATAAATAAATCTTTTAAAAAAATTTTGTACCAGAATAAACCTACATTTTAATTTCCTACTATCTTTTAAAATATTTAATTTTATCTGAAAGCTGGAAAAAGAGAGATGTTGATTCACTTCCCAAATGCCCAGAACAGCTGGGGATGGGCCAGGCCAGGAGTTCAGAACTCAATCCGGGTCTCCCTTGTGGGTGGCATGGACCAGGTACTTGAGCCATCATCATGCACCTCCCAGGGTTCATACAGCAGGAAGTTGGAATGGGGAGCTGAGTCAGGACTTGAATCAGGCACTCCAATTTGGGATGCAGGTGCCTCTTAACTGCTGTGCCAAACTCTGGCCCCTCCATAAATTTTTTTCAAGAGCTCTCATATTTCCTGAAGAGGAAAGTGAGGTTTGTGGGTGGACTAGCAATTGGACATGCTACTATTGTTAGGCCAGGTCAGCTATGTCAGTGGGTTCCAGTTGGCAGTCAGAGGGCTAGTGTGGCGTGGCAGAGAGTTAAGGAGGACCAAGCTGGTTTAGAACTGAGCCAGTCACGATGATTACTGAAGCTATGGGATTGCATAGGAGCATTTAAGAGTGTCAAGAGAAAATTTCTAGAACCTTGAGGAATTTCAGTCTCTAACTGGGAGGAAGAGGGAGTAGAGTATATATAGAGAGAAGCAAACAATTCCAGAGGAGATGGCTCTGGATGCAGGGTTGAAGGAAGGGTTTTGGGAATGGAACACTGGGGAGAGGGTGGGGCTGTAGGGTGGGGAAGGATTCCAAGCAGAAATAATAGGAAGAAACAGGGGGCAGGAAGATATTTTTCCAAAGAAGCTATTTGATGACCAGGTGTTGAATGAGTTTGTTGTAGAACTGGGCGTTTGAAGGAGGGGCCAGTCAAGATTTTCACTGTGGAAGAAATGATAAAGACCAAGAAAGGCCCGTGTCCCCCAGGGCTGTGTGACTACTGATGCTTGGTTGCTTCAGCATTGAAATTCTCATGGCCTTCGATCTACTTTGCTCACACTCCGAAGAGATCAGTAGCCCTCTGGTGTCTCAGGTTTCCAAACACAGTCAGCGGTCACTACCCTAGATTTAGAATGAGTGTCTAATTTACTGTTGTGACTCCTCTCTATGCCTCGTTCACTGTGGATGGTTTCCAGGTCTGCATTCAACATGACTGTTTGTTGTGTTCTGCTTTATTTTCCTTTTAAAAGCAATTGGATATCAGGTTTCTGGGGGAAAGAAGATACGACAGTGATATCCCTGTACACAGCTCAGGTATCAAACTGCAAACATATGCCCTAAGAGGGTGCCGAGAAAACAGTTTAAGTTTGAGCTCTGCTTTCCCCAAAGACCCCAGAGTTTGTTTTGATAATTAACAGCGGCTCGTGCTGTGGTGTAGTGGGTAAAGCCGCAGCCTGCAGTGTCAGCATCCCTGTATGGTTGCTGGTTCAAGTCCCGGCTGCTCCACTTCCTATCCAGCTCTCTCCTGTGGCCTGGGAAAGCAGTAGAAGATGGCCCAAGTCCTTGGGCCCCTGCACCTGCATGGGAGACCTGGAAGAAGCTCCTGACTCCTGGCTTCGGATTGGCACAGTTCCAGCCATTGCAGCCATCTGGTGAGTGAACCAGTGGATGGAAGACCTCTCTCTCTGCCTCTGTAACTCTGACTTCCAAATAAATATTTAAAAAAAAAAAAGATTAACAATTTTGGTTGACATTAAATGGACATACCGAGCTTTAAAATGACAACTAGCTTTTAAAAAAGTTCTAGAGTAGCATTTTCCATCCATCCGATTGGCAAAGATCTAGAAAGTTCTTCTTTTTTTTTATTTGACAGGTAGAGTTATAGACAGTGAGAGAGAGAGAGAGAGAGAAAGGTCTTCCTTCCACTGGTTCACTCCCCAAATGGCCGCAATGGCCGGCGCTGTGCTGTTGGGAGCAAGAGTGTGGGAACAAGGCATTCTCTACACTGCTGATGGGAGAGCTAATTGCTTGCTATGGCTTGAATAGACAGGGCTCTTGAACCCATGCAGAGGTATAACATTTAAACCCCAGGGTCTTATCATGTCTGCTACTTACAGAGGGCAGAAACTTAATCCAATAATAGTGTTTGGAGGGTGGGCTTAGTGAGGTCCTTCAATCACTGAGGATGTGCCCTCAAGTCTTCAGGAGAGGGCTGTTTGTCAAATCCAGGTTGGGGCTCACCATTCTCTGCTTCCCGGCTCACTCTGTGACCATCTGCCGCTGTCACTCATCCTCTGGCCTCACCAGACTGCTGAACCAGTGGGGCTCACCTGATCTCGGACTGGTAATCTTCAAAACCATGAGCCACAGAAACATCCTTCCCTATCTTAGGTACTTTGTTACAGTGATGAGAAGCCAATACAGAAGGTAACTGGTGATACTTACCAAATGCATATATGCTCTGGCCCAGAAATCCTGGTCAAGGTAATGCATTGCAGAATTATTTGTAGAGGCAACAACCTGTGTCCATCAGTAGAGACTGGTTAAATAATTCCGGAATATCTTCACCATAGACCACTTCTGTCATTGATGCTTTTTTAGGCAGAAGGGTACTCAGGAAATACACACTAGAGACTGGCAGCCTCCAGGAGGGGACTGGGCTGGAGGTCAGGGATGGAGGGACTTTTTACTCACTTTTCATACCTTATGAGTGTTATCTTATTTTCACCTACCAGCTCAGCTGAAGCCAAAATAAATTTTCTGGTGGAGCTGGCATTGTGGTGCAGCAGGTTAAGCCGCTGCCTATGATGTCAGTAACCCATACAAGTACCACTTTGAGTTCTGGCTGCTCCACTGCTAATGTGCACGGGAAGGCAGTGGGTCCCTGCCATGCACATGGGAGACTGGATGGCATTCCAGGCTCTTGGTTTTGACCTGGCCCGGTCCCAGCCATTGTGACCATTTGGGGAGTGAACCAGCAGACAGAAGCTTGCTCTGTCTCCTCCTTTCCATCTGTAACTCTGCCTTTCAAATAAATAATAAGAACAAAACCAAACAGTTTTCTGCTGATACAGGGTACATGAATAGCTTTTTATTTTTTTTTAAATTTTTTTATTTTTTGACAGGCAGAGTGGACAGTGAGAGAGAGAGAGACAGAGAGAAAGGTCTTCCTTTTGCCGTTGGTTCACCCTCCAGTGGCCGCCGTGGCCAACGTGCTGCGGCTGGCGCACCACGCTGATCCGAAGGCAGGAGCCAGGTGCTTCTCCTGGTCTCCCATGCGGGTGCAGGGCCCAAGCACCTGGGCCATCCTCCACTGCACTCCCGGGCCACAGCAGAGAGCTGGCCTGGAAGAGGGGTAACTGGGACAGAATCCAGCGCCCCGACCGGGACTAGAACCCGGTGTGCTGGCGCCAAAAGGCGGAGGAGCATTTAAGAGTGTCAAGTGAGCCGCGGCGCCGGCCCATGAATAGCTTTAAACACATAGGAGACTTGACATAAATCCCAACCAAAGAATCATCAGTCATGAATGGAAATCATTTACAGCAACTTTGAGATTTGAAGGCCATCTGATCTTTCCCACTCACCTTTTTTAATCTGGAAGGCAGAGACCTTCCTCTTATCTACTGATTTCACTCCCCAAATGCCCTCAATGGCTGAGGCTGGGCCAGGCAGAAGTCAGGAACCCAATCTGAGCCCCTTACGTGGGTGGCAGGGATCAAACTATCAGAGCCATCATCTGCTTCCTCCTAGACACACACTGGCAGGAAGCTGGAAGTGGGCGCTGGAGCTGGGACTTAAACCCAGGTAATGAGATATGGGATGCAGGCATCCCAGGCAGCGTCTTCCTCACTAGGCCAAACACCGGGGCTACCACTCCAAGCCTCTTCTCTTTTTCTAAAGGATACAAGGAAAACGGATAGAAAGGGTAAAACAAGACAGCCCAGAGAAGTCAGGAAGCCGGGAAACTTGTAGGACATTTTATTGTGACTTGCTTGTAAGACATTGAACGCCTCAACATGTACAGTGGATTTGGTGTTGCTGTTGTTTGCTGGAGGCCACAGCATAATGCTCAAAGTTCTATTGTCTCATCTTATGTCAGTCTGGCCAATGGTTGCCCATTTCATAGCTCAAACAGAGAAAAAAGTCAGAAAAAAAAAAATCTGGTCTTAATATCCCAAATTAAGGGCTGCAAGAGTTGCAACTCATTCATAAAGTGCTTATGTTCAGTGCAAAAAAGGCAGACTGAGGAGGGCAGGCTGCTGCCTGGGGAGTGGATGCGTTCTGTGGCCCAAGGAAGGGAAAGCTGCTTGTTAAGCTCCACCCCAAAGGGATCTAGAATTTTCCTTACAGCCTTTCTCCTAATAGGGCCCAAACTTTTAATGTGACAGCTGTCCACAGTAGTTGCTCATTTTACTCCTAAAACTCTTGGTTCAGTGGGAAATCCACAGGGTTTCTAAGCACCAGGAACAGTGACTTCAGCTTCAGTCCCCGCTTGTCTCAGCATCAGAGTGGAGATCAACAGGCTGAGCTCCGGCTGGTGGGAGGCCCAGGCTGCTCAGCTCAGCTGCAAATCCACAGCACTGAGTGTGACAGACCCTTTCTCAAACACTGTCCCACCCTGGGCGGGGAGACAAGCCAACGCATCACAGGAGCACCCTTGCTTGTAGAATTCTTGCCAGCTGGATGCGACCAGGTCATTGGCCCCTTTCTGACTCCTTCCTATGAGCCCGATTCTGAGCCGAATGCCTGAATCTTACAGCTCAGACAGAGCAAAGATGTGCTGTGCCTTCCCACTGCCTCAGTGTGGGCATCTGCGTATTTCTCCCAGGGTCAAAAAAAAAAAAAAAAAAAAAAAAAAACTGAAGGGAAGCAGGTAAGATGAGGAACAGTCAGTTTCCTAACGAACTGAAGGGCACCACCAGGGCTGGAGCTCCAGCAGGCAAGGTCTAGCCTTTCAGTCGCGGGACCCTGGCTGCCTTTCCACTCCCTGCACCCTCCCAGAGGGAGCTGTGCCTTCTCTCCCCACAGCACTACGGCAGGGCCATTACTGAGGGCCAGCTCCGTGCTGTGCGCCACGCCGCTGCACACCTGCTGGAGAGGCTCACTCTTCACTCCGCTCCCCTCTGGGGATCGTCCTGCCCACGGGTCTGCCTCCCAGACCTGATCGTGTGCACACGCAGCCTTGGCTTTCAGACGCCATCCCCTGAAAACTCTCCCAATCAGCCAACCTGGCAGAGCCTCTCGGCTTGACCCCTAGTGCCCGTGAGAGGAGACTGCTGGCAAATGGCGCTACTCCACAGGTGGCACATGCCCAAAGCCATGTCTGAACTTGGGCCAGTGAAAGAAGGGACAAGAGGCAATCTTTGTGGTGTTGCGCTATGCTAAGAGGAGCCACTAAAGCGTCTCCACGCGGAGGGGGCTGTGTACAAACAGGACGACCCGGGTTAAGAACCAAAACGCAGGGGCTGGGGTCAGACCGGCCAGAGCCTAAAGTAAAGTGCCTCTCTTCAATGGGGCAGGGTTTCATTTGTTCAGACACGCTTGGGCGTAAACACGAGTGCGCAGGTGCATGTACACACGTGTGTGCACACACTCACTCTGAGGTAGAAGGAAGTAGCCATCTCCAGCCTGACACACAGAGTCCACAATGCTACGGAAACATGGCACTTGCGTGAAAGGTCCTGTCCTTGCCCGAGAAGGCAGGCAGGCCCCGACCCAGCTCTTTCCCATCTCGGGCAGAGCCGGAGAAGTCCCAGTCCGCTGGAGGATGGCAGTGGGGGGCGTCAACCCCCACTCTTGTGGCCACAATTCCCCGGCTACGTTTTCCTGGCCCTGCTGGCTCATGGTCACTTCCTGGAGCCTGAGCCGTGGGCACCGCGGGTGTGGCTTGTCAGAAGCCACTGGGCACAGATGTCCTGCACGACCGCGTCCCCGCTGCTCTTGGCAGCCTGCTGCACCTGCTGGACGAGCGTCGTGGCCCGTGAGTGCTCCTGTTTCACAGCAATCAGGTAGGCAGAACGCAGCTTGCAACACGTCAGGTAGGCCTGGACCTGGCGATTGAATACAAGGTCACCATCACCGAATCACCAACCAATGAGCGGGCTGCACCCGGGAGCTCAGGCAGAATGACATCACTTCTCCCCTGCCAAACGAGGAGCTGGGGGCTTGCCTGTTACTGTCCTATGCTGGTCACTGAGTTATCACAAATAAGCTAAGGCTTTAAAAAGGAAAGCAGGCAGGCTGACCCTCACGTCTGTCCACTCCCCAAAGCTCTCCTCCCACGTCTGCCCACTCCCCAAAGCTCTCCTCCCTACTACCCCAGGCTCCCAGCCTTCTCCTGGCTTCACAGCCAGCACTGTCACCACCCCCAGGTTGTGATTTTACAGCTGTCTGGCTGATTATTTGATTGATTCGTGTCTCCTTAACTAGACTGTAAGTTCCATGAAGGGCAGGAATAGTGTCTGCTTTTCCTACCCCTCAGATTCCTGGTGCCCCCCCCCCCGCCCCGGGACTGGCACATAGTAGATGCTCAATAAATACATGTTACATGGAAGAAATTATGAATAAACACACTCTCACCCCCCCCCCCCAACAACAGACACACAGATCTTCCTTCTCTATTCTTCTGTATTCAACCTAACGAATTTAAGTTTTTTTTTAATGTGAAATTTGGGGAGGAAAACACATACACCATCAGGAGAGCTGAACTTGGCTTCTCTTGTTTGGACTGGAGGCATGGGTATCTCCCACGCTCTCCGTCTCAAGAATCCCAAGCCTGGTGGAGGTGAGAGCCCCTTGCTGCCCTGGCCTAGTGTCACCAGCACGCCCCTGGGGAACCGTGCTCTGGGATGGTGAAGAGTGAGGCCCCCTTTTTTTTTTTTTTGCATTTTTTTTGTCTTGGTCCCAAAAATCTTTCTTTCCTAAACTCATTTACACATGGGCTCGCACAGCTCTGGGTCTGGCAGGTCCTGAGCCCAGAGAAGTGACCCGGTCCTGCAGTGTGGGTATCTACTTGATGGGTGCTCACAGGGGCCGTCAGCTCCACCTGGCACCTATGGTGCTACACGGATTTCACAAATTGGCAGGCAGAATTCCTACCCAGAGAAGAAGAATTTGCCCAGAGAGTCTGGAATGGAAAATGGCTGGAGCTGGTTTTTGGCAAGACTCTGGGCTGAGATCACTTCAGGGCTGCTGAAGGGAAAAAAAAAATCTGGAAAAGGGATGGTGATGGCCTAGACTTGAGTGCGTGTCTTTCCCAGGCTCCAAGCCTCTGTTGACGGGCAGCTCAGTGAAGGCTGGGAAAGAACCACATCGCTGGGCATCAGGAGAGCTGGGCAACTGTCATGCGGTCGGGGTCTCACTGTGGTTCTAGAAGAGTGATTCTCCACCTTCCCCGGCCCCTCCCAGGCTGCTGCAGTAATAGCAAAGGAGCATTTACAACACGTGCTGCCTACTTCCTCGGCCGCCATCCCATTCCGTCCAGGGATCTCTAACGGGCAGCGGCCCTGCGCTCGTGGAAGGAGCTGTCTGCCTGACATCAGTTTTCATCGTGAGGGACTCAGCTGCCAGCTCATCCCTCTGCAGACAGCCGGGGCCCCTCAGCCTGGCCGCGCCTCTCCTGGCCTGGGGGTTTTCCTACAGTCAGGAAGGTGCTGATCCTGGGGTCGGCCACAGATGGAGACTACTGAGAGTGCTCTGAGTCTGGCTGGCACTCCTCACAGAGGCAGTGGAAGCCAAGGCTGGCCAGTGTCCAGGACAGGGAGGAGTTCATGGACCCCCGGGGAAGAGGCTCATTCTGGAGAATGGGACACCAGTGGACACTGTTGGCCGAAGGGGGTGACTGTTTTTTTTTTTTTTTTTTAAACCACTGTACCCTTGCCCCTTCGGGGAAAAGAAATGCCTTTCTAGTCTGGGAACCCTTCATTCAGTCAACCTAAGGATGGAAGTGAAGGATCGCCAGGGGCTCTCTGTGGAAAGACCTCAGTAAGACGGAAGCTCCAGAGTGGCCTGGGACATGCTTGTCTTGGGGAGGAGGAAGTGGCAGCCATTGTTCACCTGGTTCCCATCGACTCCCTCCCTTCTGCACCCTTCTATCCAAGCTTAGCTCCACCTCTGGACAGCAAAGACACTGAGATCCAAAGTTGGAGAGAACCATTGTAAGGACCTAGGGATTATGGGTACTGCCAGGGTAGGAGACATTGGCTTACCTTGTTGTCATCATTATGTATTGCCTGGATCAGGCCCTCCAGCTCCTGTGCAGAACAGAAACAAAGCAGTTAAGAAAGGGAAAAGGGTCTGACCAGTCTCAGCCCAGCCATCTGACTCCAGGTGGGTGCGCCTGCCTGACTCCTCTTTTTTTTTTTTTTTTTTTTAAGATTTATTTATTTATTTGAAGGGCAGTGTTACAGAGAGGCAGAGAAGGGGAGACAGAGATCATGCATGTGCTGGTTCACTCCCCAAATGGCTGCCACAGACAGGGCTGGGCTGGGCCAAAGCCAGGAACCAGGAGCCAAGAGCTTCTGCTGGGCATCCTAGGGGGGCGCCAGGGGCCAAGGACTTGGGCCGTCCTCCGCTGCTTTCCTAGGCGTATCAGCAGGCAGCGGGATCAGAAGTGGAGCAGCTGGGACTTGAACTGGTGCTCATATGGGATGCTGGCATGGCATGGCTTTACCCTGCTGAGCCACAGCACTGGCACCTGACTCCTCTTTTTTAGTTTTTTAAAAAAAATCCATTGATAGCCAGCGCCGCGGCTCAATAGGCTAATCCTCCGCCTTGCGGTGCCGGCACACTGGGTTCTAGTCCCGTTCGGGGTGCTGGATTCTGTCCCGGTTGCCCCTCTTCCAGGCCAGCTCTCTGCTGTGGCCAGGGAGTGCAGTGGAGGATGGCCCAAGTGCTTGGGCCCTGCACCCCATGGGAGACCAGGATAAGCACCTGTCTCCTGCCTTTGGATCAGTGCGGTGCACCGGCCGCAGCGCACCAGCCGCAGCGGCCATTGGAGGGTGAACCAACGGCAAAGGAAGACCTTCCTCTCTGTCTCTCTCTCACTGTCCACTCTGCCTGTCAAAAAAAAAAAAAAAAAAGAATCCATTTATTTATTTAAAAGGTAGAGGGACATGTGGTGGGAGGGTAGACAGACAGACAGCTTTCATCTGCTGGTTCACTCCCCAAATGGCTAAAATGGTCAGGTCTAGGCCAGGCTGAAGCCAGGAGCCTGGAACTCCATCTAGGTCTCTCTCATGGGTGGCAGGGGCCCAAGCCCTTGAGCCATCTTTCACTGCCTTCCCAGGTGCGTTAGCAGGAAGCTGGATCAGAAGCAGAGTAGCTGGGGTTGAGCCAGCACTCTGATAAGGGATGCTGGCATCCTAAGTGGCAGCTTAACTCGCTGTGCCACGCCAGGCTCTTCCTTTTTAGACTTAGTCCTGCTGGAAGAGCCAAAGAGGGAAACTAGTGGTAACAGCGAGCTCGGGAATTTGCAGAGCAGGAACAGCTCCCGAGAGGCCTGCCTTTGGCCTTCACTAATGGATGCGGCTCTGCTCACCCCATGAAGAAATCACGGGGGGAGAGAGGGAGTGGTTCTGCAGGCAACAGGCTTCCAAGGTCACCTGCTAGCCCACCCTGACCTCTCGGAGGTCAGGGAGAAGCACAACTCCATCAGCAGGGACACGTGCAGGCACACATCACATCAGACAAAGGGACACTGAGGGACACCTTCTGGGGTCAGAGGGTCATCACCATTAATTCTCTTTTCAGGGAATGGCTGATCAGAGTGAGGCCATAATTACTGAGGAGGTACAAAGCTAAAGGCATCTTGCAGTGTTTCAGGCACAGTGTGGGGAATGGCAACATAAAGAGGGGGACAGGGGCCGGCACTGTGGCATAGTGGGTAAAGCCGCCGCCTGCAGTGCCAGCATCCCATATTGGCACTGGTTCGAGTCCCAGCTGCTCCATTTCTGATCCAGCTCTCTGCAATGGCCTGGGAAAGCAGTGGAGGATGGCTCAAGTCCCAGGGCCCTTGCACCTGCGTGGGAGACCTGGAAGAAGCTCCTGGCTCCTGGCTTCGGCCCCTGCACCAGTGTGGGAGACCCAGAGGAAGCTCCTGGCTCCTGGCTCCTGATCAGCACAGCTCCAGCCGTTGCAGCCATCTGGGGAGTGAGCCAGCGGATGAAAGACCTCTCTCTCTCTCTCTGCCTCTCCTTTTCTGTGTAACTCTGGCTTTCAAATAAATAAATAAATAAATAAAATAAATCTTTAAAAAAAAAAAGAGAGAGGGACGTGCAGACACCGAAACAGAGGGAGGGGACGCGAGGCGGGGACGGAGCACCTGGGGCGGAATTCTCCGGAACGCGTCCAGGCAGTTGAGGAGGATGGTGTCCCCGTCACTCTTGGCCGCCATGCCCGACTCGCTGACACACTTGAGCAGCTGCCGGATCTCGCTGTACTTCTCCTTCTCCACCAGCTGCCGGGCAGCCCTGCAGTAGGTGGCGGCAGCATCCAGCTGGAAGTCCTAGGGTGGAACGAGGGAAGACGGCTTGAGGACCACGGTGGTGGATGGCAGCCACAGGCAGGGAGGTGACGTGTGCAAACTCCTCTGAGACATGCACACTGCACACAATGCCCCGGTCAGCTCCTGGGGTGTCTGTGTGGTGCCGGGGGCTTGGGGAAACCACCCCTTGGGGTTCTAGTGCCTGTTCCAGCTCCTGCCCCAGTGCCACAGCCACCCTTGTTCCTCTCATCCCAAGAACAGAAAATGAACTTCAGAGCCAGCTCCTGTGCAGACAGAGGACTGAGGGCGAGGTGTTGGGGCCAGTGGCAGCCACGCTCTCCTGTGAGGGTGAGCAGGGGTTCTGCAGGGGAGCAATGGTAAGGAACTGTCCTAAAGCTGGCTTCGGGGATTCATCTGATAGCCTTGATCAGCTTGTCACTGGTTTTTGGCGAGGTGGCCTAGAGCCATGAATTTGACCCAGTCCCCTAACACCCATCTCCTGGATTTCCCCCTTAAGAGACGTGCAAATCTGCTTTTCTTGGGATAAAAATTTTCTGAGGAATAATTCCTCACAGAACAGTGGCCAGGCATTGACGGCCCACAGTGTAATCCTGGATAAGCTGGGTCATACCTGCAGAACACGGAATGCGATTCCAAAGCCATCTTCCACATTTTTCCCCCCGAGCATGACCTGAAAAGAAGAGGGCGACACGCTCGAAGATGCGACAAACCCTGGAGCAAGGACAAGCTCGCCTATGTGTTCAGTGATTCAACCAGTATGTGCTGGGTTCCTACTCAGCTCCAGGTGCTAGGGATCCAAGAGCCAGCACGTGCATTTTATATCTATATATATCTTAAAGAATGCGGCCAACATGCAATACTTGTACCTTGTTATGACTGAGAAAAACTAAAACCAGACTTGGTGTATAGTTGAAAAACAAAAATGCTTCCAGATTAAATCAAAAGCCCCACGTGAATGATAAAGCTCCTACACACTGAAGTATAAAATGCATCATGAGAAAAATGAGAACCATAAAATTAAAAAAAAAAAAACAAAAAAAAGGCTCGGTCCCAGCTTTCTGTGGCTCACATTCCAGTGGTGAGGAAGCCACCCAACAACTGAAACAGGGGCGAGGGGCTGGCAGGGGGGGAATAGGCTGCCTGTGATGCCTGCCGCTCATACTGGAGTGCCCGGGTTCAAATCCCAGCCCTGCTTCAGATTCCAGCTTCCTGCTGATGTGCACCCTGGGAGGCTGCAGTGAGGGCTCAGGTCCTTGGGTCCAGCCACTCACGTGGGAGACCAGACTGAGTTCCAGTCTCCTAGCTTAGCCTGACCCGGTTCTAGCTGTTGCAGGCATCTGGGGAGTGAACCAGCCAGACGAAGATCTCTGTCTGTCTGCATCTTTCTTTCAAACAAAACAAAAACAAATAAATACAAAGTTAAAGAAAAACACACAAAATCCTACTGTAATAATTCCTAGACAATCACAGTGGTGGTAAACGTTCTGAAAGATGAGAACATCTGCCCGGCGTCTGAACCTGAGCCATCGCACGCACCTTGCAGGCAACGTCCATCTTCATGTGGTTATTTCCAAACAGGGTTGGCAGAGGCCAAGTGGTGACTTCAGAGGTCCCTGCGCTTTCGCACCGATGTAAGAACCTGGTCACCTCCATCTGCAGCTGAAGTGTATTCATGTGCCTGTGGTGACAGGACAGCACGCTCCAGCCTCGTGCGGGGCTTCCGGGGTGGGGTGATACAGGCTGGGTGACTGAGAAGTCGTAAGAAGCAGCTGATGGGAAAGGGACCCAAACTACCCTTGCAGCGGTTATGACAAGAGGAAAAGAGGTGGCCTGGTGCCCGGCGTAGACAATAGTTAAGGTGCTCCAGCCACTGGATCCATCGCTATCTACTGAGCACCTAGAAGCCAGGACAGTAGCAGAGGGCAAGACAGATATGAACCCAGGGGAGAGAGGAACTGTAAACATCAAATAGGTAGCGATTCAAACTCAGGGGGCAATGAGCGGGGTGGAGAGTTTTCTTGAGATCCTGTGCTCCAAGCAAGGGGCCAGCCAGCATGAAAGCCCAGGACAGACTGTGGCGCTGCTAGCAACTGAGCTTAGCAAGGGAGCAGAGAGCAGCAGGAGGCAAAGATGGGGCCCGGTGACACAGGGTACTGGTGGGAGTTTGGAGTTCAGTCTGCTCCACGGCAGGCTTCCCGGCTGGGCCAGATGCCACAGTTGGCCCACGATGGCTCCTTCTCGACTCTTCTTATTTAAGGGTTCAGGGAATGGGCCAGAGCAGCTTCATCCCCGACTGGAACACCATGAGCTCCCCGAGCCTCGAGTACCTGGACACATCAGCTGCCGTCATCTTCTTTCGGAAGAAGGTCGTTTTCTTCCTCCCAGGGCCGCGGGATGTTTCTTGGAGGTAGATCTTCAGGTGGTCCTTGGCCTTCAGCAGCCACGAGAGCTTCTCTCCCAGTTCCGTGTATGACTTTGCTTTGTGACTGAAGAACCGGATGCAGGTCATGGCAGCCCGGACTTGGTCCTAGACAGGAAAATGAACGCTCAGGTCAGTGGAGATCAGGGATGCCAGAAGGTGGGTCATGATGGAAATTCTGATCTGACTGCCAGCCATGATGCCTGGTTGCCAGTACCCACTCTGAGCCCAGCTGAACTGCTATTTCGGTCAGCCACTCCAAGGCCCAGGCAGTCCTAACATGAACTGATTAGCTGGGCTCTTGGGTAGGACATTGTTCCACCACCAAAGAGATCTGAAACAAGCACACTTTACAAACATTTAAAAATATTATTTGGAAGGCAGGCAGACAGACACAGACATGGAGAGAACTCTCATCTGCTGGTTCGCTCCCAAATGCCTGTAAGAGCTGGGGCTGAGCCAGGTGGAAGCCATGAGCTGAGAACTCCATCTGGGTCTCCCACCTGGGTACTCGAGCCATCACCTGTGCCTTCACCACTGCCTCCCAGGGTGTGCAATAGCAGGAAGATGGAAGGAGAGGGGCCAGGACTTGAGCCCATGCACTCTGACGGCACACGTGGGCATTCCAGGCAGCGTCTTAACTGCTGCGCCAAACGCCTGCCCCTGCCAAAAGGATCTTTGGTTCTCCATCTAAACAGCTTCCCTCCCACTCTGGCACGGAGCAACTCAACCTCTCTGATTTAGGATGGGCAACCCTCGGGCAGATGGGGAGGAGCTTGCTCCCTCTCCCTCTATACATTTTCCCCAGAGATACTTTCCCATCATTCCTCGTGGGGTCCGCACTCATGCTGTCCCCTCCTGAAACTACCAGACTTCTTTTTCAACCTTGGCACCTCCTGACTGCTGAAGAATGCCACGAGTGACAAGATGACAGCCTGCCTTAACATTTAGGATGAAAATGCTAACTCTGTTCAACAACGCTACAGAGCAACGTGGATTCGCTCTGGGGTCGGTCACATTGCAAGAACAGGGACCAAGTGATAGCCTCAGCTCCCTCATCTCGAACAGCCCAGCCTCCCACGCATGGCACGGCGTTGAGGGCATGAGACGGGGCCGCTGTTACCTTCATAAACTGCTGCAGCTCATACAGAATGTGATAGTAGTTCTTCTTCTGCAAATGCTGGCAGGCAGCGATCAAGTACTTTCCCCAGCTCTCCAGCGTCGGATCGATGGATTCCAGCAAGTTTTCCAAAGTGTGCAGTTTCCCACTCTTATAGCTTGGCTGGAAAATGCCTTCTATGAAGACTTCCGGAGGACTCTCCTGGAGCAGGCCAAGGAGAGAAAACGAGGTGTTGGGCCCGGCTCTGGCACCATGTGGGACCCTCTGCAAGTTTCCTTCCACTCATGCCCCTCCAGCAGTGCTTCTTCACCTTGAGGGCAGCACAGGAACCTTCGAGAAACCCCCTCTAGTGACTGCTCCCCTCCCCGCCTTCCTCCTACTCTCCAATTTCTCTCCTGGGACATTCTCCTGACCCGACTCTAATCTAGCTTCTTGTGCCTATAGTGCCACTGAAACTGCCCCTCAGGTCACCAGTGACCTCCAGCTGGTTAAATCCAACAGGTAACTCTTGGTCCTCAACAACTGAGGATCTGGGTCTACTGGTGGCTTTTTTTTTTTTTTTTTTTTTTTTTTTGACAGGCAGAGTGGACAGTGAGAGAGAGAGACAGAGAGAAAGGTCTTCCTTTGCCGTTGGTTCACCCTCCAATGGCCGCCGCTGCAGCCGGCGCACCGCGCTGATCCTGGCAGGAGCCAGGAGCCAGGTGCTTTTCCTGGTCTCCCATGGGGTGCAGGGCCCAAGCACCTGGGCCATCCTCCACTGCACTCCCTGGCCATAGCAGAGAGCTGGCCTGGAAGAGGGGCAACCGGGACAGAATCCGGCGCCCCAACCGGGACTAGAACCCGGTGTGCCGGCGCCGCAAGGTGGAGGATTAGCCTATTGAGCCACGGCGCCGGCTTTACTGGTGGCTTTTGATATGGATGTTGGTTTCCTCCTCCTTAACACACTTCTTTGTGCTTTTTTTGTTTTTTAAAGTAAATTTTAACTTTTTAACTGAGAAAAACATTCTTTACTTGGCCTCCAGGTTCTCTCTCTCTGTCTCCGGCTGCTCCTTCTCAATCGGCTTTGCTGATTCCCCCAGCGTCCCCCGGGCTTCAGAGGAGCCTGCCCCCTCTGCTGTCTGTGCTCACTCTCTTGCTGGTTTCATCCAGTCTCACCATCAGCTGATGAGGCCTCAATCCCCATCTCCAGCCGGTTCCCTCCCCCTGAACTCCAGAGCTGCATATCCAGCTTAGATCAAGTGACCTCCTCAACGTGTCCTCTTGGTACCTCCCAGACTTAATATACCAACAACTGCCTTCCTGGTGGTTCCTTGAAATCTGCTTTTGCCATGGTCTTCCCCTTCTCAGATGGGAACTCCATTCTCCCAGTTGTTCAGGTTAAAAACCTTGGCGTCATCTTTCCCTGCACACTCCAGCATGAAATCCACCAGCAGAACCTAGTGGTCCTACCATGGAATTACACTCAGCCTCGACTACTTCTCACCACCTTCACTGCACCATGCTGGCTCACGCCAGCATCCCCACTTGCCAGGATTAGTCCAGGAGCTTCCTCCCTGGTCCGCCATCTTCTGCTCCTGCCTCTTTTCTAAGTTTAACACCAACAAGTCAGCCTGAGCAGTTCTGTTAAGACCTAAGTCAACTGCTCCTCCTGGGCTCAGTCTGGTTCTCATGTTCAGGGCAACGTCCAAGTCCTCCCAATGTCTGTAAGCCCTGCGTGATTTGACCTGTTACCTTCCTGACCTTGTCTGCTATTGCCCCAGCCCCAGCCCTCCCTGCTCAGCCAGTGGCCTTTGCCCTGGGCACTCCTTCTTGCTGGCCTGTGCTCCACCTGCCTGTATGACTCAGTCCTCACAGCCATCACTCTTCACTCTGGTGTCGCCTTCGCCGAGTTCTCCATCAATAATTTCACAAGCCATCCTTGCCTTTGCCTTCACTTTATTTTCGTCTTATTACTCACCAGCTACACGGTATACTCTATTTACCTCATTTAGTGTCTTTCTCCCTACCATACTGGGAGCTTCATGAGGGCAGCTATGAGCATGCCTCAAAAGCTTTGTGGAATATGGAATTAAAAGATAAATCTGTTTGAGTGCAAAAAGTTGAGGCATACAAGGAGTTTTAAAAAGTTCATGATGAAAGTTCATGATGAAAGAAGCAGACATGAATTTCAAACTCATGTCTTTGAGGCTGGCATTGTGGTGTAGGGGGTAAAGGTGCCACCTGCAATGCTGGCATCCTGTATGGGCACCTGTTCATGTCCCAGCTGCTCTACTTTCTATCCAGCACCCTGCTAATGGCCTGGGAAAAGCAGCGGAACATGGCCAAAGTGCTTGGGACTCTGCTACCCACATGGGAGACCTGGAGGAAGTTCCTGGCTCCTGGCTTCAGCTTGGCCCAGCCCTGGCTATTGTAGCTACCTGGGGAGTAAACCAGTGGGTGGAAGATTCTGTCTCTTCCTCTCTCTAATTGTGACTTTCAAATAAATAATCTTTAAAAAAACCCACATCATTTAATTCCATCTTCCACAAACCTTTTGAAAGATTTTTAAAATTTTGCATGCCCCCTGCCCTGCCCCCAGTGCTGTATGCCTTCCTATTGCCCAGAATAGTCCCTGGCTATTTAAGAAATATTTGTGAGCCAAATGGATAATGATGAACACTCCAGACCAGCCCCTCAGGAAACTGTGCACACATTAGCCTTTCTGCTTCTGAGGCCCACTTGTGGTTCAGAGACCCTGAGTCATAATTCCTAATCCATAGTCACAGCAAAGAAAGAGAAATCAGCTTGGCATTTAGGCTTTTAAGGACAGGAGGAACTACTGGAGACTACAGGGTGACTTGACTCAACGGCAGTACACCATGCCGGCCGAGCAGCACGGGGCTTGCGGAGCTGTTTAGAAGTGGGCAGGTCTGGGCTTTGTCAACATCCACAGCGGGTGAGGGTCATGTCTCTTCCCTGATGTTGGCTACTCCTCCCTGAGAAGCTCAGATCTAAGCTGAGCATTGCAGGCCACACTTTAAGGAACAGGGGCATCAACTAAGCAGGAAAGGCACAAGTCCTCAGACAGTAGCACCTTAAGAACTTCCATTTCATCCACGCATCAAGCTGCTCGGTCATTCATAACTGGGGCCAGGCCAGGGGCCTCGACACACACGTGGATCACATGAGGGCCTTCCCTGGTCCAGCTGGGAAGACTCAATCATGAACGAATAGCTACAGTCCTTACACAGTGGGCCAAATACAGTAACAGATACAAAGGCAGTGCACAGGAAGACATGATTACTGCTATCCCATTGTTCTGTGAAAGTTCAACAGAGACTGAATTAAAGGATCTGAGAAGGGGTCAAACAGGAGTTTTCCAAGAAAACCAGGAGATGTAGAGAAATCTGGATAGGCAAGAGAGCCCATGAAGACATGCGGAGATAAGATACTGCATGGCACAATCAGAAAAGTGAAGTAATTGGATGAGCCTGGAATTTAGGATTTGCAGTGAAGATAAAGTGGAGAAACAAGGGACAGCACTGTAGTGAGTTTAGGAATATGGACTTTGTGCTGTGGCCATGGGGATCCACTGCAGGTCTCTGAGGGAGGGGAAGAACATGAGTGTATTCACGTGTTAGAAAGTGTGGGCCAAGAGGCAATACACAGAGGGAAAAGGCTGGCTCCAGAGCACCTTCCACGCCCTTGGCAAGCAGGTGCAGTTTTTACGATGTTTTTATTCCTGTGTCTACCTGTTTGAGAATAAAGGTAAGATACTTCAGTTCAAGGGTAGCTGTGATTACAGGAGATAAAAGGAAGGCTTCATTCCTAGCTCTGGCCAAAGCAAAGCAGGGGAAATGCTGTTGTCAGCTTCTACCAAGATAAGCAAGTAAGCAGCTTAGCACTGCATGGCAGGTGCCAGAGAGAAAGGACTGGGCGATTTCCCTTCTCAATTTGTGTTTGAGGGGGTATCTTTACTTCTAAACTCATTCAGAAACTGAGGAAGAGGATGTATGTTCGTAATTAAACTCCAAACAACACGGCTTCCATAGTGTTCTTGAGAGCTGGCTAGCAGCTAAGAGAAGGCAGCTGGGCATTCATTGACTTGGAGGGGGACGGTTACCACGAATCTGAGAGCTGTTGATTTCACTTGGAGCAGTCCTACAAGACAGGTGGGTATCACAAAAAGTTCTTGGAAAATACAACTAAAAGATGTTCATTTTGGTGTAAAAATATAATTGAAAATCAATGCACACCTGTTTTATAATATGCATTTCCATGAACTTTTTGAAGAGCCCACATTTGCACAGATTTCAAATGTTTTTGTGTGTCCAAATAATCTTTTCATTCCATTTTCCACAAGTATTTCTGAAGTCCCTTTGTAAGGTCAGTCTGTAAACTTTTGATGGCTGCTGTTTTGATTCAGGGCATCTGAATGATACGAGTTTACCTGCAGTTCCTTGCTGTTTTCTATGAGATCTTATATGCATGAGCCAATTTCTCAGGAAGTTATGGGACCTTCAGGTAAAAATGGAAAGGCCAGGGTCACTGCGAAACAGAGTCCTGACTGCTCACCAGTGGCTCTCAAGAACGTTAGTGGTGTCTGCCTCCCGTGGGATGGCAGAGGATGTGAGAGGAAAAAAATAGTGCATGTTTTCCTTTCGTCATATCTATGGGGCTCCAATGTGAGATCTGTGCCTTGGGTACTTTCCAGCCCTGAGGTAATGACTCTGGACGCCATCCCTGGCCAAGTGAAATACAGTGTGGTCACACAAGGTTATGCTACACACCTGAGTCTACAGAAGGCACAGATGCCACACCGGATTGCAGAGAACACACTCTTGACTACTACTGACATCAACGGTTGAAGACTGAATTTTGGAGCATTTCAGATCAGATTTCTAGATGAGGGATGTTCAACCGAGGAGGTCTATGCAAACATTTCCAAAACCCACAACACTCCTGGTCCCAAGCAGTTCAGATCAGGGCGACTCAATCTGTACTCTGTTCTGCTCTGTGTTATGAGAGAAAGGATGACGTTTCCCCTTGCCAGCCAGGGAGGGGATCTGGGATCAAGGTCAAGACTTCACACTCATTGGATAACAGTTGTGTGGGCAGTTTTCCACTGTGACCCGACTCTGCCAGAGCTGTTCTCACGGCCTCACACTGGGTTAGGGTTGAGGGGGTTCCCAGCCCCCGGAGCGCAGAACAGGTGAGTGCGCCGGGCGCATGGCGGGGAGGGGCCCACCTTGTTGAGCAGGTGCAACAGGGCTTCTCGCAGGCAGCTGTGCCTCATGTAGAAGCTGATGATGGCCAGGTGGGTGCTGTAGTTGTGCAGGTAGAAGAGGCATTCTTGGTAGTAGGTGTTGTTCATGAGCTTCCCCTCAGGAATCACCTCCAGGGAGAGGCTCTGGGTCCGAAGGGTGGCCTCCAGCTCCCTCAAGGTGGCAAAGTAGTCGTCGTCTTGCTGAGGGGACGGCAGAGAGCAAAAGGGAACTTAGCTTTCAGCAGCCACTTCCAGAGAAATCTAACGGTGTGCACAGGCGCTCACAGCCCTGTGCCGAGGACGGGAAAACAGGCAGAGCTACAGAATCCTGCATGCTATAACCCAGTGTAGCTCTAATCTCATTCAAAATCCTAACACAGAAAATTCATCAAAATCCTAGTACTGATTAGTCTGGGTATGGGACTGTGCGTATGTGATTTTCATCTTTCTAAAAATGTTTTTTGTCACTTCTTTTTTGGTTTTCAATTTGACTTCATTACTTATCTAACCACATACAGCTACTTCTCTAGCTGTATATAATGAGAAAAGACAAAATGGAAGCCTGGCAGCTGTGAGCCAGGACCAGCACTGTGTGCTGGGTGTAAACTGATCCTCTCCCCAGGTCATTACTGTTCCTGGGTCTCTCTCCCAGAGCTGGGCATCCTGCCGGCTCTGCTCTTACCAGGGCTATGAGTGGCCTCACTGTGGACTCCAGGTACTCAACCACATCCTGTACCAGCCTTGAGCCATGACTCAGCTGATTGAGGTCAAAAGGGGGCTTCAGACAGCGACTGAACTTCTCCCGTGCAGCGGCGAGGTTCCCGGCTTTGAGGCATGCCATGCCCCAGGCATGCCACGCTCCCGTGGAATCAAGCCCTGTTTTTGTGGAGACCTGGAGGAAAAATGACTCGCTTTAGCAAAATGCATTTACATCCAGGCCTGGGAGTCCCAAGGTATAGCCTATCCCCTTGCTGCCAATCACCTTCCTGTCTTCCCTCAAGGCTCCCCCCGACCCGGCCCGGCACACTGGTTATGCCCCAGATACCTCCCCATGGTCAGGCCTGTGAGACATGGCAATATCTGTTTGCAAGGCTAACCAAGGGCAACTTCCTGCAGAGGGCAGAAGCAACTTTTGTCTTTGCCTCACCTCAACGCCCAGTTGGTAGTACTCAGCCTCCAGAAGCTGGTTCCTTAGCCTGGTTACCGCAGCCGGCTGCAAGATCTGCTCCAGAGATGGCACGTAGCGATAGGCAGCAGCAACTAAGATACTGAGCACGTCAACCTTGCTGATGTAGCTACAGGGGGCGAAAGGGCAACGAGGCATCACTGGGTTGCTGCTTGAAGGTTTCCCATTTCATTTCCCATGTGAAGGGTGACCGGGAGAACTGACAGGTGCATGGCACACACTGCGGGTGAAGGCTCTGAAGTCATGACTCCTGACTCCCAGCTCCGTCACTCAGCAGCTATGACCTAGGGCAAGGTAGTGTCTGTCTCCCCGTACTCATCTTTTAAAAATGAATATAACAACAGGGAATATCAAGGATAAAATGAAATAACCCAAGTGTAAGTGCTCTGGAGAGTGGCTGGAATGTTTTTGGCATTCGTTAATGGTTAGATTACTGTTTGGTGTAGGGGTGCCCTGAGCAGGGCTTCTATTTGAAGGCCTCTAAGGTCAGTACTGGGAACTCACATGTTAACCATTTGCTTTCTGGTCCTTTGGGACCCTGCTTGCTTGAGAGAGCACAGATTCGGTACTGATGGCCTCTATTTCTGGTTGGTACAGAGGTCCAGGGGGATGCTGTGGGGCAGGGATATCCTGGGCCTTTGCTCAGATTCTAGTCTCTTGAACTTGACCTCCTCTCCCTGGGCTAAGCACTGGTCTTCGTTACAACCCGCTAGGACTGCCTTCTGTGATCACACTCCTGACACCTGATGACTGTAAAAACTCACCAAGACAGAGCACCCAGAGGGCTGGGTAATTCTGCCTGGTGTTTTCTGAAACAAGCCTTCAACCAAGGTTCCTGATGTTGTCTGATAATTGCAGCAAAAGCCCCTGTGGATCCCGACTTGTCCACTGATATCCCTGGAAAGGGGTCATGTACCTTAGTGGTTATTTATTTATTTGAAAGGTAGAGTGACAGAAAGAGGAAAGGAGGGGGTGTGAGTTTATGTAAATGCCAGGATGGAGAGAAAGAATGTGTAATGCGGAACTGCTGCTGTCAACTGTCAAAAAACCAGGACAACTGTCGTGGGTGAGAATCCTACTGAAGTGCTAATAGCCCTCATTTCTGCCATCTGTGGCCTGCAGCCAGTATTTCTTCTCTGTGTATTAGAATTTGAAGGAAGGTACTGGACTTGATGTTAAACTGTGTTCTCCCCAATCTGAGCACCCTTTTCTTTTAATAAATAGATTTTTTAGCTGATTTACATGGTTGACATTTGGAGTATGCTTGGATATATTTTTACTTTTGCCTTAAATCTTTTCTCATGTTTCCTTTGCTTTCTATCTCTTACTAGATTGTCAAGTTTTTATTTTTCTCCCCTCCTTCCACTTCTTTCTAGTAGATTTTTGGTTCTTCTCATGGTTATTTAGAAAACCTGACTTAACATATACCTATTTTTTCATTTTTCACAAAAGACACAAAAGAGCAGTTTTGGCTCCTTTTCATTGCCTTCCACTTCCCATGCCATGTCCCGCTTTCCTGACTTCTTGCTTTTGTTAGTAAAAAAAAAATCACTAATACTTTGGGCATGCACAGTACGTCCCAGACTCAGTTCTCAGCTCTTTGTCTGGATGATCTCATTTCATCTTTACCACGGCCCATTATTTTTAATCTCCATTTTACAGAGGAGGAAACAGATCCAGAGGGGTTAACAGACTTCTCCAAGATTTCAGAATTAGGCCTCCATTATTTTTAATCTCCATTTTACAGAGGAGGAAACAGATCCAGAGGGGTTAACAGACTTCTCCAAGATTTCAGAATTAGGCCTCGGGGTTCTCCGCACTGCCGGCTGCCTAGTGAGTTTGTAAGCAACTCCCAAGGTAGGCATTTACACTTCAAAGACAATTACGCTCCCTGCTCCTAAATCTGGTTAGTACTGAGAGATGGGGACACATAACCTGAGTCACGAATCTGGGTGGATTAGCAGGGAACTGGGAGTTTTCATTGCTAAGTTAATGAATGGTGTTGCGTAGGAACCTGCAGGAGGCCTAAATCATGCCTTTCTCACAGGTGCTTCCACTTTATGACCCAGATTCCTACCTGGACCAGGGGACAGACCATTCCCAAAGGTGCTTTTATAGATTTATTATCCAGAATTCCCTGGGGCCAAGGCCACGCTGGAGTAGAGTTCCTACAAAATTAATTACTGGGCATTTTGGGAGGATACATTTTCTTTAAAAGCCAGAAAGTTCTACAGACACTAGAGGCACTTCCCTAAATTGATTCTAATTTCAAACTAACCAAGGTCTGTCTTTCTGACAGGGTACAGCTACAGGGAGTCTGCCCCAAGGACAGACCCTGGGAAAGAGGACACGGACCGTCAAGACAGGGTGTGGAGGATCCCTTTTGTGATCCGGTCACAGCGTGCCACCAACATCAAACTGTCACACAAAACTTTTGCAGCACGCTATGTCAGGCGGGGAAGCTGAACAATCAGAGTGGGGTCAGGAAGAGCACTGGACAGAAATCACAACCACAGAAATGCACCTGTCACACAGGGCCAAGTCCTGGCTCCGGCCGGCCTTGACGAACATCATCTTGGCACTGAAGAGCAGCTGCTTCATGATGTCTGTGAGCAGCCCCGCGTCCACTTCTGGGTTGCTGAGACCCTTGGACAGTCTGCAGCAGTGCTCAATCAGCTGGTGACCGCACGCGATGCTGTCCCGGTGCAGGTTCAGGATGGCAATGCACAGGGAGGCGCTGGGGGCCTGGCCGTGGTAGAAGGAGGGAAAACCACACACTGACTTCAGGGACCAAAGCATTCTGGGTGAACGCAGCTGGGCAGTAGGAATTGTCCTTCCTGTTTCAAGAGACTGGAAAGAGACTGGAGGAAGGAGCCACAAATTCCACGGTGAGCAGAAGTGGAATTAAACAAGCGTCAGGGGCACTGCCAGAGCTCTGGCTGCTGGGTTTGTCATGTAACTGGGAGGAACGTTGCCATGACCAAATGCTCCTAACATTTTGAGAATGTCCACAGGTCTCCTCCTTTCTATGGTCTACTGCTCCCCTAGACAAGTTCCCCTTGTTGCTAGTGTGGATTGTAACAGGCCCCTTGCTCATCTGACCACCTGGAGGACTCTTGCTTCAGGCTCCAGACACATTGCTGCTGAATCACTCTTCCAAAAGCATGCTGGGAAACCCTTTCGCAGGTCCTGGACACTTACCAAGCCGATGTTCCCTACTGCAAAATTCAAGGCCCAACAGACCAGCAGGCTTCCTCAATCCTGCTTTCTACTATTCCTCCATCTTAAACAAGGCCTCATTGCCTCATTCCTCAATCATGCCCTGTTTTTTTTTTTTTTTTTAAGAGAGACAGAGAGGGAGAGAGTTAGTCCAATCTACTAGTTCATCCCTCAAATGTCCACAATGGCTAGTGCTGGGGATGGACTAGAGCCAGAGCCAGAAAACCCCAAATCCAGGTCTCCTACATGGGTGGCAGCTTGGGCCATCAGCACTGCCTCTCAAGGTCTGCACTGCGAGGAAGCGGGAGTCAGGGCTGTAGCTGGGACTCAAGCTCAGGCATTCTGATATGGGATGTGAGTATCTTCACTGGGTCTTTTTTTTTTTTTTTAGTAATTATTTATTTACTTGAAAGGTCAAAGTAAAGAGAGGCAGAGGCAGAGAGAGAGAAGTCTCTCATCTGCTGGTTCACTCCCCAAATGGCCACAATGGCTTGGGCTGTGCCAGTCCGAAGCCAGGAGCCAGGAGCTTCTTCTGGGTCTCCCATGCAGGTGCAGAAGCCCAAGCACTTGGGCCATCTCCCACTGCATTCCCAGGCCTTAGCAGAGAGCTGGATCAGAAGTAGAGCAGCTAGGACTTGAACTGGCTCCCATATGGGATGCTGGCGCTATAGGTGATAGCTTAACTCACTATGCCACACTACAGCCCCTTATCTGGGTCTTAACTGCTAAGTTAAACACCTGCTTCCTGTCCTGCAATTTTGCACACTGTTTTTGCTCAGACGTTTTAGCTTTGTACTTTCTGTTCTTCCCCTCTCTTCACACTCCTCACAAACCCTAAACCTCTCCTTCTAGGTGTCTGCTACTCTTCCAAGCCTTCAGTGCTGCCTGGTCCATGAAGCCTTTCCTGATCTCCACTTAGGCCTTTCCCTACGTGCTCCTGTTCTTGGCCTTCCCTGGCCCACTCTCAGTTCCCACGTTATGGCGCTATAAGCAGGTGGAGGCCAGGCTGTCCCCACCGCCCCCACCTCTGTCTCTCCTGTTACACAGCATGAAGAGATGGCAATGACTGTTAAAGCAATTACCTGCTCATAGTAAAATTCACTCCGCACCAGCTCGTTTTCCTCTTCACTCAGATTCAGAATCCACTCCACCTCAGCTGCCTTGGGGACCCTCACCACAGCCGAGTATGGTGGGCTTTCACTCGTGGAGCTGTCTGGTGCTGAGAAGACAACAGAACTGCCATTCACACATCAGTCACTGACGGGCAGCTCAACCTGGTCTCGAGCAGTGGGCTGGTGTGAGTTGCAGACAGATGCTTCCCTGCTACCGGAGGGCCCCTTTCTCTGTCCTTGGTCCCTCTTATTTCCTTTAGGAGGCTCCACTAAGTGCTGCAAATCCTCAGGCATACAGCTGGGATGAGTGCTAGTGTTTGTCACACAACCCCGTTGCTTTACCTGAGACCCCTGAAAAGTGCAGGCTTCCCAAATGGATGGCAGGGCCATTGAACACGCCTAGAAACTAACCTGCAGCAGAAGGATACAGGCCAAACTGTTACCCATGATGCCCTAAGGGAAGCGATGTAGGATGGTGGGGAAGAGGAACGGAGGGGATACAAAGAGGAACAGTCTACTAAAAGCTAAGGACCAAACTCTTTGGTTGCTGGTCTTCTTGATGCTGGAAGCAAACGGGTCCATGTGATAGCTTAATAGGATGACTGTGAGAGGAAACAGGCTGATAGAAAGGCTGAGAATTTTTTGGCAAGCAAGGTAGATAGAGGTGAAACGCAGTGTGTCCGCTGTAGTTGATACACTGAAGGCAGAGCTGACCTGAACGTATAACCAGGGGTGTGGAGCCTTTTGTCTGCCTAGGGCCATTTGGACATTTACAACATCATTTGTAAGCCATACACAATCATCAGCTTCAAAATGAGCCTGCTGTATGGACCTTTATTGAATTTTGAGTTCCATCTGCAGTTGCTTTGGAGGGCCAGACCAAATAATTTTGCAGGCCTTATATGGCCCACGGGCAGGACCTTTCCCATAAAGAGTCAGAGAGAATGAGATTCAGCCTCACCTTCGGATTGGCCTGGATTCTCTTCTGGTGCGCTGGAAATAGAAAGAAAAATGAATGCTTCGATCACGTCTCCTTTTTTTGTTTCGGGCTTAGCATGCAGCCTCGACATCCACTCTGTTATCTGAGTCAAGTATCAGGGGTCATTTGTGATTCTTTTCTCTCACCACGTCCTGCCCCTTCCCTCTCCTAATGTCCCATGTTGCTTCATCCCTGCCTCAGGGAGAGCCACCATCATTACTGCTAGAGGAGGCACTAGCTTCCCAACTTGTCTCCTGTCAACAGCTCTACTCTGCAGCTGCACCAAACTTTAAAAAAATGCCAATCAGGCCATGTTCTGCTCTTGCTTAAAATCCCTTGGTAGCTCCTCAGGGTAACGATATCCCACATTCACACAGTTCAGCAGACAAAGCCTTTTATAACTTAGCCCCATTATCTCTTGAGCCTATCTCCTGTCACCCATGATCTGTACTCAAACTCTAAACCCCTGACCTACTCTCCATGGGCTGTGGTCAACTTCAGCTGACACCACCATGCACTAAGCCCCAGTGCCACAAGCCAGAGCCCAGGCCTCTTACCTGCATCAGGCGCCTGCTGGTTAACCCCACCTCCTGACACCAGAGCAAGCCCCAAGCCTTTGTGCCACTGCCCCGATCCTCCTGGCTTAGTCACCAGCAGCTGGGTCCAGGGTATGCTGGACAGACCCTTGGTCTATTCATAGTCCCTCAGACAGCCCACATCTTTCCTGTCCCTATCTTTGCAGTTGTTCCTCCCACCTCTGGCCATGCTTGTTTTTGTCCTCTTTTCCTATCAACTCCTCATCTTCTAAAGCCAGTCCTCCAAAAGGAGTTTTCCCTTTAGGAAACTCCTGATCACTGGACCACAACATGTATGCCTCTACCACTGTACCTTTTCAACGGCCTTGTGGTCTGTTTGTGGGCTGTCTCCCTGTTATGATGGGGGTACTTTGAGGATAAAGTGGTCATCGTTGAATGATTGTCGCTGAAAGAATCCCCATCAATACGAACCGCACATTTCAAATCTCAGCAATCCCTGTCCCCAGCCCCGGGGAGGGAGGCAGTGGAGTGCCAGGTGATAGAAACTGTAGAGTTGGCTCAATATGTCTTCCTTTCTATGAGATCAGTAATTATCATAATGAATGTTGACCAAAAAGGTTCAGATTAAAACAAATCTGGGGAGGGGGGTGTTTGGCACAGTGGTGAAGACACTATTTGTGAGGTCCACATCTCATATGAAAGTGCCAGGGTTTGAATCCCAACTCCATGTCTAATCCAGTTTCCTGCTAATGTGCATCCCAGGAGGCAGCAGGGTCCAATAAACGAAAAGGGGGAAATGTGGTGGCCACTGGCAAGCGAGTGTCAGTTACTCAGGAATGGCTTTGGTTTTTTTTTTTTTTTTTTTTTTGACAGGCAGAGTGGATAGTGAGAGAGAGAGACAGAGAGAAAGGTCTTCCTTTGCCGTTGGTTCACCCTCCAATGGCCGCTGCGGCCGGCGCACTGCGGCTGGCGCATAGCGCTGATCCGATGGCAGGAGCCAGGTGCTTCTCCTGGTCTCCCATCGGGTGCAGGGCCCTAGCACTTGGGCCATCCTCCACTGCACTCCCTGGCCACAGCAGAGAGCTGGCCTGGAAGAGGGGCAACCGGGACAGAATCCGGCGCCCCGACCGGGACTAGAACCAGGTGTGCCGGCGCCGCAAGGTGGAGGATTAACCTAGTGAGCCGTGGCGCCAGCCAGGAATGGCTTTGAAACCCACCTGGCAATGGAGCCTGCCTGGCAACAGGCTGTGATTGGTTGGGGCATGGACCGCCCTTTGACCAGATTGGCTGGTCTTGACTATATAAGATGTGGTTCCAACTGTAATAAACGAGTCTGCGGGCTGCTCGCCTCAAGCCTGCTTTCACCCGACTCCCGGGGTCTGTGTGGTGACTCCGCGCCTCTTGCCCCCACCACGCTGCTCCTCTCAGAAACGAATCCACTGCAACGTTGTTGAGAAATCAAGGGCAACACTGGGTCCCTGCCATCCATGCGAGAGACCTGGATTGAGTTCCAGGCTCCTGGCTTTGGCCTGGCCCAACCCTGGCTCTTGTGGGCATTTGGGAAGTGAACCAGCAGATGGAAGATCTCTAATCTCTGTCTTTTTGCCTTTCAAATAAAATAAAAATTAATTTTAAAAAATGAACATGCATCTATTCAAGTCTGTTAATTAAACATGGAGAATCAGCAATTCTGTGTTCGGATGGTTGCTTTGGCTCATGTTCCCAGATGCTCCAGGAATCCTGGATTTACACTCTTTAGGAAAAACTGTACAACACTAAGCCAGCAAAAATGGTCTTGTTCTGTTTGCCAGAGAAATGAGCAGTTTCTGAAGTGTGCCCCTAGGTGAACCCTTTGCAGAGAAATATAAGGGCTCTTTTAATTGTGGCTAATAAGCCAGGACAACTATCTAGCTTAGAGCTGATGCAAGTGTTGTACAAACACTCAGTAGGGGTGAACTGGTCCCCTGGGTCCAGATGAGAACAAATAAAGAGAGAGAGGCTGGAAACAGGTGAGCAGGCAAACTCAGATCTATGACCCCTGCTGTGGGAAGGGCTGAAGAACCACGTGTCTTGGTTTCAGAGGGAACATCATATAAGAACTTTGAATAACCACTTCCTCTTGCCCCTACTTCCTCTCTTGGTGGTTTCTCTGCCCAAGGCTGGTCTACAAACAGTTCACTGTGGAGCTGATGGTGATTCAGTGTGAATATTGGATTACACAACGTGGGGAGTGTTTCACATTTGAAATGGAGTGTAAGGGCAGGCAGCAGGGGTCAACAACAGTGACACCCTGCTGCAGGACACTCACTCTTTGTGGAAGTAGCTGTAGCACTGGTCACACACGCGGGCGGGGTTCTCTCTGCAACCTTCCACCACCATCTTCTTAGTGGAGCAGGAGCTGCACACGAGCCGGCCACAGCGGCGGCAGTGGTGCCGCCTGTTAAACTGAGGAAGGCCATGGGGAAGAGAAGGGACAGAAGGTGAGACTGCAGGCCGGTGAGGACACCACCATCAATCCATGTACACTTGGTATAGCCACTGTGGCTTATTCAGAATACCAACTGCGTGGGGCTTTATTGAAAAGGAACACCTGGTCCTTAACCTTAAGACACTGACATCTTTAAGATATTTCTTGGGCGATGGCAAAAGTGCCGAGTCATAGACAGTTTTGCAGTGACTCCTGACAAGCTCCATCATGTAGGGAGGCAGTAAAAGAAAAGCAGTAGGGAAGAGGAGACTTTCTCAGCCAGGGAAGATCACACTTCTACATCGTATTGCCGCTGCTGATGAGCACGTGTCCTTCTGCAAAACACTTTTTTGTACGTACTGCCGCATTTTGTCATGAGACAGTGACAGAAACCTTGCACCTCTTTTACAGAAGAGGAGGAAACAGGTCAGAGGAGTTACATCACCACTGTTTTTATCAGCACTAAGCTCATATGCCAGGTAGGCACTGTGGTAACATTTATGACTGATAATAGCTCATGAGACAAACAATATGCATTTCATTCCTAGTTTACCTATGAGCATATGAGAGGGAACAGCTGATAGTCACTTTATTGTTAGGAGGCAGAGCCAGGATTAGAACCCAGGTCCTCTACCTCCTGAGCCAGCGCCCACAACCACTGCCAGCTCATTTCCCTTACTGTGAAGACACAGGAGGTAGAAACAAAACCCTCTGATGCCTCCTGCCTCTTCCCTCATTATCTCATGAGAATGGCAATGACTTTAGAATTTAAGGCTATCCGAGGGGTATCTATTACCTGTCTGAACCCACAGAAAGTGTTCTGTTCAGGTCAAAGATCAGCCTAAGTCTTGGGTAGGGCAGTTCTGGAAACATTACTACACTTTTTGAGACAGGCGGTGACAATAAACTCAGGCTCCTGGCCGAGGGCAGGGGCGCTAGGGACAGGGGCTGCTTACCATGGTGAAGTGCTCCCTGTGGCAGACCATGCAGGTGCTCTCAGTGTCATCTGGTACCCACTGGTGCCTGGCAGGGGGCACTGCTGGGGGCACAAATTCCAGTGCAGGCTGACTCTGTGGAAGGCTCCTCTCCCTCGGACTCGGGGAACGCACAATGGAGACAGCTGGGAACCAGAGGCCAGAACCAAAGGTGATCAGTATTCCAAGTCATAAATGAAGAGGGAGTGATGGCATTTCACCACTTTATCATGCCCTACTGAAGCACTGGATCTAGGTAATGATCATCAATGGCTGTTTAAATTACAAAAGCGATAACTGGAAGGCAACTCATGCCTCCTGGTGGGAGTGGACGCCACCTCTCAAATACACTCAACACAAATCAGGTTTCTAGATCTGATCAGCAGCATACTGGAAGTTCACAGGACAGAGACCCAGATGGCCACCAGGCGGCAACAGTGAGTGGGACGCTCTGTGGAGCAAATGACCTGGCTTCCTCTACAAATAAAAATCAGGTGTGTGTGTGTGGAGGGGGATAAAAGACACCAGAAGAGATTTAAGATATATCTCAGCCAAATGCCATGTGCAGATATTATTTAGATCTCGATTTTGAAAAAAAAATTGTAAAAAATCTTAATAAAACAGCTGGGGAACCTGAATACTGACTGGTTTTTTTTTTTTTTATTTTTTTTATTTTTATTTTTTTTATTTTTTTTTTTGACAGGCAGAGTGGACAGTGAGAGAGAGAGACAGAGAGAAAGGTCTTCCTTTGCCGTTGGTTCACCCTCCAATGGCCGCCGCGGCTGGCGCGCTGCGGCCGGCGCACCGCGCTGATCCGATGGCAGGAGCCAGGAGCCAGGTGCTTTTCCTGGTCTCCCATGGGGTGCAGGGCCCAAGCACCTGGGCCATCCTCCACTGCACTCCCTGGCCACAGCAGAGGGCTGGCCTGGAAGAGGGGCAACCGGGACAGAATCCGGCGCCCCGACCGGGACTAGAACCCGGTGTGCCGGCGCCGCTAGGCGGAGGATTAGCCTAGTGAGCCGCGGCGCCGGCCACTGACTGGTTTTTAGTTATAATGATAGTGTTACAATTTTAAGGAAGTTCTTAACTTACAGAAATTTATAGTAAAATAGTTATAAATGAAATAATATCTGGGATTTGCTTCAAACTAATCCAGTAGGATAGGCATGTAGACGAAACAAGAACAGTCATCATGAGATGACAATTATTGTAGTTAGGTAATAACCATGTGAGGTGTTACTATATTCTCTTGTAAACTGTAAATTTTCCATAATGATTAGAATAATTAAAAGGTTACACACACCCACAGCTGTCCAGGCTGCCTGACGCAGAAGCATGAAGCTACTCATAAACCTGCAGGTTTAAGCCTTCCTCTCAGGTCTGTGGATTACCATGAGTCATGACTAATTACCAACATATGACCAGGGAATGCCATGGTCTTTGCTTTAAGTTATCTAGGGAACTTTCTTGTTATCTAGCAGAGCAGTGTTGGCTGTCACAGAAAAAGAGAACTGAAAATGCAATGATTTTTAGCGACACCCAGAAGGGGACCTAGAATCCTGCTCCCTTGACCATTTGGCAAAACAAACACTTGTTGAGCTTCTCCTGAAGGAAGGCCACCATGCAGGGGGCTGGAGAAGGGTGTGTGTCTATGTACGGGGTGGTGGTGCTGTAAAGGGTGACCAAGGCCTGGCTGAGGCCTTCAAGGAGTGTGTACCTTGTGTGAGTAAGAGCATTAAAATGAGAGCTAAATACAATAGGTTATCATTAGTAGACTGCATAAGTCACTTTAAAAAAAAATTAAAGAATTTATTTTTTATTGAAAGGCAAGAGAGAGAGAGAGAGAGAGAGAATGAATGAACGAATATCAGAGACCATGTACTGGGTCACACCCCAAATGCCCACAACAGCTGGGGCTGGACCAAGATGAAGCCAGGAGCCAGGAATTCAATCTGGGGCCCCTACAAGGGTGGCAGAAATCCTACCAGTTGAGCCATTATTGCTGCTCTGCAGGGTGCATACCAGCAGGAAGCTGAAATCAGAAGTGGAGCTGGGCCTTGAACTCAAGCACTTCGATTCGGGATGCAGGCATCCCAAGTGGTATAAGTAACTGCTGTGCCAAACACTCACCCCATGAGTCACTTCTAAATGTCTTCCTCTTTTGTAGAATAAAGAAAAACAAGGATACTTCAAAATATTTGTGGAGAGTGGAATTAAAAGACAAGTTTATTTCAATGCAAAAAATTTATAAATTCATTCATATGTGAGGTCTTCAAAAAGTTCACAAACAATGTGAACTGTGAAAAAACTATGAGTGGATTTCAAAAACTTTTTGGCACCAAAGATAAACTTATCTTTTAATTCAATTTTTCCATGAACATTTTGAAGTATCCTTGTAGAATCTGCTAGGGTGAGTTGTTTTTAAGATTAATATCTGGGAGCCAGTGCTGTGGCATAGTGTGTTAAGCCATGGCCTGCAGCGCTGCCGGCATCTCAAATGAATGATGGTTCTAGTCCCAGCTGCTCCACTTCTGATCCAGCTCCCTACTAAGGCACCTGGGAAAGCAGCAGAGGATGGCTACAGTCCTTGGGCCCTGCATCCACATAGGAGACCCATAGGAAGCTCCTGGCTCTTGACTTCGGACTGGCATAGCCTGGTCATTGAGGCCATTTGAAGAGTGAACTAGTGAATGGAAGATCTCTCTCTTTCTGTCTCTCCTCTCTCTCTCTCTTTCAAATAAATAAGTCTTAGGAAATTATAATCTATGTGAGTAATGTATGTGTGTATACATATTTCCTCTATAAGCAATAGTTCAAGGTTTGTTAATTCAGTGTTTGTAGAGATTTTATAGATGCATTACTGCAAATAATGACAGTTGACTGTTGAATCTCCTGGGATATACAAAGCTGAGCTAAATCAAGAAACACAACTGATAAGAATGTTGTAAATGGAAAAGAAAAAAGAAGCAAAATAATTAGAAAGTGAACTGAACAATGCTGTTTCTCAAATCCAGTTCTTACCAGGAGCAGTAGCAGGAGAGAACTCTGCTGACGATGATCTAGACAGAGTTTCAGGGTCTGAAGCCTGATGGACAATTTCCTGGAGGTGAATCACAGAATCTGTAGGGAGGGAAGATGCTGACAAAACATCATCCTACCATGGGTGCCCTTATTCACTGCACTAAGCATTTGGCTCAAAGCTGTATAGGCTTGGCTGATTTTTAGTGGGCAATTCAACTACACATAAGAGCACAGTAGAAGCACTTCCAGGCTAAGAACATGCATGTTTTGTAAATTCTTAAAAAAAAAAAAAAAAGAAACACCATGTTTAGGTGCATGAAATAATGAAGCAGTGTTAGGATTTTATCTAAAAAGGTCAAGGGACTTGGAAGACATTTAAATGACGCCCCGGAGGGTAGGGAGTAAGAAGAAGGGTATCTGGGCTCATCAGCTCATTCTGATTTACTTTCCTGCATTTTGAAACAGGCTGGGTCAGCTCATGTACAAGCGATGTCTGATGGGGTCCTGGGAATGTGGCGAGCTCTCAGCAGGAAATGACACTTCATCAGGGCCAGAGCCCACTCCCAGAATGTACTGTTTCCCAAACCTTCACGTTATCATGCATGCAGTGGGCATCCAACAGCCCTTAATTCTGGTTGGCCTCCTTTCACTACCAAGAGTTCCCCTCTATTACAAAGAGCTGTCTCCCCTGAGGCATATTCCTTTCATTCCCAACCAAGCCAAGAAAACAAGAGAGGAAGAAATTAAAACTAAGAACGGTGTTTCTTCTTCCACGTAGAATCCCCATCCAGGAAGCTGGCAGGTAGGTACCTGATCGTTTCTCCCTCAGAGAGTATGGGAAGTCCAGGGCCTTCCCTGCGTATGTGGAAAGCAGCGAGTCGACCTCATCCATGGTGAAGCCGATGTCCTGGTCGGTCAGCAGCTGGTGCAGGGTCTGCACCGCCTCGGTGGCCCAATCCACTTTCATGTTCATAAGCAGCTGCTCTAGCATGAGCAGGGGGTTAGAGGACAAGTGGGAATAGCTGGCCTGGTGCTGCTCAGGCAGGGTCAGCAGAACCTATGTGTGAGGTAGATGCATAAAGAGAATAGTACATTGACATGGTAGGTAACATACTGGGGTGCCCACATCCTGTACTGCAGTGCCTGGGTTTCGGTCTCAAATCCAACAGTGGCTGATTCCAGTTTCCTACTAATGTGCACCATGGGAGGCAGCTGGTGATGGCTCAAGTAGTTGTGTCCCTTCCACCCACATGGGGAACCTGGACTGATTCTCCAGCTCCTGGCTTTGGCCTGGCCCAGCCCTGGCTGCCTGTGGGCAATCTGGGGAGTGACCCAACAGATGGGCGATTTCTCTGTTTCTTTCAGTTTCTGTGCCTTTCAAACAGATAAAGTGAGTAAATGAAAAAAATTTTTTAAACTTTCTTTTTATTTGACAGGTAGAGTTATAGACAGTGAGAGAGAGAGAGAGAAAGGTCCTCCCTCCATTGGTTCACCCCCCAGATGGCCACTACGGTCAGAACTATGCTGATCTGAAGCCAGGATCTAGGTACTTCTTCCTAGTCTCCCATGCGGGTACAGGAGCCCAAACACTTGGGCCATCCTCAACTGCCGTCCCGGGCCACAGCAGAGAGCTGGACTGGAAGAGGAGCAACCGGGACTAGAACCCGGCGCCCATATGACATGCCGGCGCCGCAGGCGGAAGATTAGCCAAGTGAGCCACGGCACTGGCCCCAGAAAATTTTTTAAAAAAGAAAATAATACATAAATTTCAGAGGAAATCTGAGTTCATAAGCTTTTCCTATGAAGTGTCAGAGAGTAAATATTTTTAGACTTTATGACCCATAAGGTCTCTATTGCAAGTATTCAACTTTGCCTGTGTAGCATGAAAGCAATCATGCAAATATGTAAGAGAACGGATGTGCCTGTGTTCCCATTAAAACTTGACTTATGGAAACAGGCTGAGGACAAGATTTGGTTCACAGGCAGTAGTCTGCTTCCCCATGGTCCAGAGCCTCCAGGTGTGCTTGAGTTCTGCTTGACCTTGCCTCTACTTTTTTTTTTTTTTTAAACATTTATTTATTTTATTTGAAAAGCAGAGTTATAGAGATAGGGAAAGACAGAGAGAGGTCTTCCATCCACTGGTTCACTCCCCATATGGCCGCAACGACCAGAGCTGGGTCACAAAGTGTCAGCAGCTTCATCAGGGTCAAGTCCTTGGGTGCTGGGGCCCAAAGACTTGGCCATCCTTTGCTGCTTTCCCAGGTGCATTAACAGGGAGCTGGACTGGAAGTAGGCAGCAGGGACTTGGCAGCGCCCACCTGCCAGCACTGCAGATGGCAGCTTAATCTGCTGTGCCACCAAGCCAACTCCCTGCCTGAATCTTTTTTTTTTTTTTTTTTTTTTCTGGACAGGCAGAGTGGACACTGAGAGAGAGAGACAGAGAGAAAGGTCTTCCTTTTTCCATTGGTTCACCCCTCAGTGGCCACTGCAGCCGGCGTGCTGCGGCTGACGTACCATGCTGATCCGAAGCCAGGAGCCAGGTGCTTCTCCTGGTCTCCCATGCAGGTGCAGGGCCCAAGTACTTGGGCCATCCTCCACTGCACTCCCGGGCCACAGCAGAGAGCTGGACAGGAAGGGAGCGACCAGGACAGAATCCGGCACCCTGACGAGGACTAGAACCCGGGGTGCCAGTGCCGCAGAGGATTAGCCTAGTGAGCTGCGGCGCTGGCCTCCCTGCCTGAATCTTAATGCACCATTCTATTTTTGAAACTTTACTTAGAATGAGCAATACCAGATGTAATGTCAGTGGGATACCCAAACCTGGCACCTCCTCTGTCCCACAGATAAATGATGAATCTAAACTCTCTTTATGGGACTGGTGCTATGGTGTAGAAGGTTAAGTCTCCATCTGCAGTGCCAGCATCTCATATGGACACTGATTTAAATCTTGGCCACTTCACTTCCAATCCAGCTCCCTGCTAATGTGCCTGGGAAAGCAGTAGAAGATGGGCCCCTGCACCTATGTGGGAGACCCACAAGAAGCCCCTGGCTCCTGGCTTTGGCCTGGCACAGCCCTGGCCATTGTGGCCATTTGGACCTCCCTCCCTCCCTCCCTCCCTCCCTCTCTCTCTCTCTCTCTGTCTTTCTGCCTTTCAAATAAATAAGTAAATCTTAAAAAAAAAATTCTCTTTAGAGGTCATAGTGAAATATGTTTACTAGCTCAGCTCATTGCCAGTTTTTAAGGATTCTCTCACTTAGGTACAGCACATCAAATGGAAAAAAAGGGTGTATCTTATTTAGGAATATTTTATTTATGTGTTTTAACTCTTAGCAAAGATACCTGTGGTTTTACTCATTGCATTATCAGGACTCAATTCTATTTGTGGGGCAGTATATATGATGGCCAATCAGAATAATGAGAAGAATGTCAGAGAGCCCAGTTTCTCCCCAATCTTCCTTCCCTGGACTTCTTTCTCTAGCCCTTAATTTCTTCTGTTAGTGTCTCCAAGGTAACACATTGAAGGAAGGACCAACCTTATCTAATGACCTAGAAAGAATTCCTTTCCATTAGCACAGACCAGTTTATCAAGCAGTAGTTTTAACTCCCCACATCAGAATCCCTTTGGAAGATACTCAGTTCCTATTCTGAGACCAGTTTTGACTGAGCTGGGAGGGGGTCAACTACTGGCATTTTTAATTAATTAATTAATTTTTAAAGATTTATTCATTTATTATTTGAAAGGCAGAGTTACAGAGAGGCAGAGGCAGAGACAGAGAGAGATCTTCCATCTGCTGGTTCACTCCCTCTGGGTCTCCCATGCAGGTGCAGGGGCCCAAGGACTTGGGCCATCTTCTACTGCTTTCCCAGCCATAGCAGAGAGCTGGATCGGAAGTAGAGCAGCCGGGACTTGAACCGGCGCCTATATGGGATGCTGGCACTGAACGCTGGGTTCTTTACCAGCTATGCCACAGTGCCACCCTGAACTACTGCCATTTTTAAAATTCTAGGCATATCCGGTCAGAGCTGAGAAGCACTGATCTAGCAGACACCCCAGGAAGCCTGAGGACTACTTCAGAGGACCAGGAACAACTGAGCCTGGAGGCAGGCAGTAAGAGAATGACACATTTCTAGAGACTCAGCTAGCACGTGGTGACCTGCTAGGGTGAAGATTCTGTATGGCACAGGCTGAGGAGGGCAGGGGCAGGCAGAAGAGCTCTGAATGCTGTAAAGTGAGAGCGGGGCCACCAGTCCCCCCGGGGCATGCTTTCCCACTGCCCTTTTTTCCTCCTTACCTTGGAGCCTATGTACAGCGCCTGGATTTCACGGTGTCGCGTGGCAGTCAGTTGTCCATAGAAGTGGGTGGTGAGGTAGTTGGCCAAGAAGTGGGAAGTGGCCAAGCTAGGGTGCTGGTCGAGGGACTGCTCTGTGACTTCAAGGCACATGGTGGGGTCAGGGATTCTCTGCAGGAGCTGTTGGAGGAGAAGGGTAGGAGAGGAAGGCGAGGCCTCTATAAGAATTTTTAGGCTGGCTTTCCTTAACTTTGGAAAGAAACATGTACTACTTAACGATATTTTGATCTAAAATGAATCACATTTATGACAGTTGTCCCGTAAGATTGCACAGTCCACTGACAGTGTGGCTGTTTTTAGTTTGTGTAAGTATACTCTGATGTTCAATAACAAACAAATCACAAGTGACACCTATCTCAGAACATGTCCCTTTCAGTAGGCAATATGCGAGTGTATTTAGGTTTTCTCACTTTGGACTAACTCTTTCTCCATACTCATTTCACCACCCCTGCGGCTTCACAAATGAGCCGTGGGTTTGACAGGACCATCTGGCACCTTGGGCAGGGCTTGGTGCCTTCTGCTCAGGTTCACTATAGCTAGCTCCTAATGGACACAAAGGGGCTGGCAGGAGATTGTGAACACTTTGCGTGGGATTCAGCACGAAAAAACTCCTCTGATTTGCCTCATCCTCTTGTCCCTCACCAAAAGAAAAATGGGAAGAGTTAGAGGCTTACTTGTAGAGCCTTTTCATGATCTCTTCGTTCTAGAAGGTGGAGAAGGTGCTTCTGATGGAGGCTGATTAAATGTTCTCTCGGAATGGGGTACAGGTGGCCCCACTCCTCACACAGTTCATAGTCCTGGAAGGAAACACACTCATCTTCAGTCTTTTTAATTTCCTGGCCTTGTCACTCATCGGCTTTGGCCTGGTTTTTCTCAGCAGTCCAGAGTCTGCTAAGCCCCGGGGATGTTTGGGAAGTGCTGACGGGACTTCATTCTGGGATTAAAGTGAGATCATACACTCAAAGGGGTACGGTGGCAACGCAAGGCATGACAACGATGGAAGCAGGCTTACTGTCATTATCACTTTCCTCTTGGGTCTACCATAACAAAGACAAGTAGAAGACGTGGAGACTGACGCTGCAGTCAGCTGTGGGAGGTACTAAGGAAGTGGGAAAGACCCAGGAGTGAGGCTGGCATTTTGGCACAGTGGGTTAAACTGCTGACTATAACCCACAGGAGTGCTGGTTCCAGCCTGGGCTGTTCCGCTTCTAATCCAGTTCCCTGCCTATGAGCCCAGGAAAGCAGCACAAGATGGTCCAAGCGCTTGGGTCTCTGCCACCCACAGGGAGATCAGGATGGAATTCCAATTCCTGGTTTTGGCCTGGTTCAGCAGCTATTTGGGGAGTGAACCAGTGGATAGAAGATCTCTCTGTTTCTCCCTCTTTGTAACTCTACCTTTCAAGTAATCCTTTTTTTGTTTTTCAAGATTTATTTATTTATTTGAAAGGTGGAATTACAGAGAGGCAGACGCAGAGAGAAGTCTTCCATCTGCTGCCTCACTCCTCAAATAGCTGCAACAGCTGGAGCCTGGCTGATCTGAAGCCAGGAGCCAGGAGTTTCTTGTGGGTCTCTCATGTGGGTGCAGGGGCCCAAGCACTTGGGCCATCTTCCATTGCTTTCCCAGGACATAGAAGAGAGCTGGATTGGAAGTGGAGCAGCCAAGACTTGAACTGGTGCCCATATGGGCTGCTGGCACTACAGGTGGTGGCTTTACCCACTATGCCACAGTGCCAGTCCTCAGATAATCTTTAAACAAAAAACAAACAAACAAAAAACAGCATCTGCTCAGCTGATTGTAGCCACATACATGTGAAGACCTAGACTTAAAAATTAAAAAAACATTTTTTTAATTAAAAATTTTTGGCACATGCTGGGGGCTGGACTCTACCCATGCCCTCTATTTGCAATCCTCCATCCTTAATCTGTGAACTCTGGATTAACGTTTCAGAGAATGGAGTTCCAAGGGCTTTGTCTAAATATCCATGGTGGTACTGTGTGGGATGCCCTCCCTACCACTCTGCCAGGGCTGCCTTAACGTTTCTCAGCTCTATTAGGTGCCTGGCTTGGGCTCCCACAATCTAGGCTTTTCCCATCCACTTGATATATGAGGATATATCAAAAAACTCATGGAAAAGTGGAATTAAAAGTTTGGAAAAAACTTTTGAAATCTCATGATACGTATTTTCCACGAACCCTTTAAAGACTCCTGCTATGCTGCAATCACCTACAGACGTGTCTCACATCACTCCTCTCCCCAAAATGTGAGCTAGTACTGGGCAAAGACCAGATTAATTATCCCTGTTTCACTATCAGCAGAGAGACTGGAAAATACCTAGCACTCAGTGAATGTTTCCTGAATGAGCAAATATTTGAATGAACATCTGCATTTTGAACTATGGTGAATCAGCTACTTAAAAGATAGGTAAAATTCTATTTAGCATTTAAGTGGCCAAAACACCCATGAAACGGTATTTAAATTCATTAGTAATCATGGAAATTTAAATGAAAGCAACAATAAGACACTATCCTATTGGTACAAAAAGGAAAAGATGGACAATAAAAAAGCTGTCACAGATATGGAACAGGAACTGTGAAAGGCAGGGTAAGAGGGGACTGAAAAAAATCCATGGAAAAATGAAATGCATGCATGTTTTTCATAATACACATTTTCCATGATTGGAAGACTCCTCTTATGCATGGATATCAGAATTATTATTATTTTTTTTTTTTGCAGCAGAACTAAATCTTTTAGTTCCATTTTGTCTATCAACTTTGCGAAGTATCTCTGTACCTGGGACAACCTTTTTGAAGAGCAACTGGGTAACATCTTAGTAAAGCTGAGGCTGCTCACGCCTGGTGACAGCAATTCCACTGTAGGTCTACATTCCACACCTAACGTATCCAGTGTAGATAATCTTAGACACACATGCAAGGGTGACAGCACAAAAGCGTCGGCCGTATTATTGTCTATACTTACCTGTATGTTGGTGAATTTCACAATCAAAGAAAACAGAATGTAGTACAGTTATTAAAAAATATAGGCATTGCTCCGTGGAAAGGGGTCTACACAACCAGCTAAGGAACTGCAGCGCTGGGAATGAGGATGAAGCGAAATGCCACCGAGGAAGAGTACCTGCGCTTCCAGGATCGTGTTCATGACAGCGGACGGGTCCTCCACACAGCAGCTCCTCAAGGCCTGCCAGTCACACCATGCTGGGGGAGTCTGCAAACCCAGAATCTGGGAAGAGACAGGGAAATCCAGCAAACCACACTGCAGCTTCTCCCTCCAGCAGCAACTCAGCAGTGGCCAGGGCCAGCCCGTCCCAATTTGCCAGGAGAGAGGGAGAAGAGACCAGGTGGGACAAAGATCGTTTAGAGAGGAGAATAAGCCTGCCTGGGAAGTATGAGAGGACTTCAAATAGTTCATGGAAGACGAATTAAAAGACAAATTTATTTACTGCAAAACATTTTTTTGAAGTCCATGTATTTTTTTTTTTCCCATAACATGCATTTCCCACAAACTTTCTGAAGATCTCTTGTATAATTAGAAAGCGAAGGTAAGGCAGACAGCCAGGGTGGAGGCCTTTCACTGACGAGGATAGTTCATAGAGGCTTCCAGAATTTGTTTTTTTTTTTAAAAGATTTATTTATTTGGGCCGGCGCCGTGGCTCACTAGGCTAATCCTCCGCCTTGCGGCGCTGGCACACCGGGTTCTAGTCCCGGTCCGGGCGCTGGATTGTGTCCCGGTTGCCCCTCTTCCAGGCCAGCTCTCTCTGTGGCCAGGGAGTACAGTGGAGGATGGCCCAGGTGCTTGGGCCCTGCACCCCATGGGAGACCAGGATAAGCACCTGGCTCCTGCCATCGGATCAGCGTGGTGCACCGGCCGCAGCGGCCATTGGAGGGGTGAACCAATGGCAAAGGAAGACCTTTCTCTCTGTCTCTCTCTCTCACTGTCCACTCTGCCTGTCAAAAAAGAAAAAAAAAAAAAGATTTATTTATTTGAAAGGCAGAGTTAGAGAGAGAGGAGACACACACACACAGAGAGAAAGAGAGAGAGAGAGAGAGAGAGAGAGAGAGAGAGATATCTTCCACCTGCTGGTTCACTCCCCAAAGGGCTGCAATAGCTGGAGTTGGGTCAGGCTGAAGCCAAGAGCCTGGAACTTGAGCTAGGTCTCCCACATGGGTGGCGGGTGCCCAAGCACTTGGGCCATCTTCTGCTGCTTTTCCAGGTGCATTAGCAGGGAGCTGGATTGGAAGGAGGCAGCTGAGGCTAGAAATGGTGCCCATATGGGATGCCGGCCTTGCAGGCAGTGGCTTAACCTGCTGCGAAACAATGCCGGCCCCTTTCATGCCTTCTAAGGTCACATGCACCATGCTCCTCCAGCTCAGAATTCTACCTCAGATATCCTCCTTGCTTGTGGGCTCACATTCCATAGAGCTCTGCATGAAACTGCTGAGAAGGAATGAGAAGAAAATCTTTCCCACTTGCCATTTTCACTGTCGCTAGTGGGGCTCTGACACATGGGAAAATCAGCGCATCTTTCCCCCATGTTATATAGCTGTGCCTTTTAAATCTGTGAAACACATCCCGTGAGAATCTTGCCCTTTCAGGCATCCTTTCAAAATGGCTGTGCAAATTTAATACAGTCTTTAGAAAAGACACAATACACATAAGACGCACACAAACACACATGTGAAGAAGCCATTGTGCATGGCACAGCACCACTCCAGTGTGAATTTTGCTACTTTTACCCCTGCTTAATGCACACATGTTTAAAATCCTAAGAAACCGATAGGAGGCCTCCTTGCTGTCCATCTCAGAACATAAGCAGAGCAAAATCCAGGTTCAGGCTTCTGTTTCTTTTTTTTTTTTTTTCTTTTTAATTTTTTTGACAGGCAGAGTGGACAGTGAGAGAGAGAGACAGAGAGAAAGGTCTTCCTTTGCCGTTGGTTCACCCTCCAATGGCTGCCGCGGCCGGCGCGCTGCGGCCGGCGCACCGCACTGATCCGATGGCAGGAGCCAGGAGCCAGGTGCTTTTCCTGGTCTCCCATGGGGTGCAGGGCCCAAGCACCTGGGCCATCCTCCACTGCACTCCCTGGCCACAGCAGAGAGCTGGCCTGGAAGAGGGGCAACCGGGACAGAATCCGGCGCCCCAACCGGGACTAGAACCCGGTGTGCCGGCGCCGCTAGGCGGAGGATTAGCCTAGTGAGCCGCGGCGCCGGCCAGGCTTCTGTTTCTTTAAATCCTCCTTTGTATGAAGAGGCTGTTTCCTTCCTCTCGATGCCATGGCCCTTACCTTCTGATACACGCGCAGCTCCGCCAGCTTCCTCTGCAGCTCACACTTCAGTCCCTCTTCAACAGCTGTGTCTGAGATGCAGTAGGCCAGGATCTCCAGGCAGAAGTCCAGAGGCCACCTGTCCACAAACAGGAGGGCCAGCCGACTTCTCAGAGCTGCGTCCTTCACAGCAAACAGATAATGCCAACCTTCTTTTTCTGTAGACAAGCTAATCTTTTAAAAAAATTTAATTTAGATAGTCCAGAGGCACAAACTTGGTACCAGGATAGCTCAAGGACTCAGGTTAACTTCTTAGAAGGGCTTTGTGGCACAGTGGGTTAACCTGCTGCCTGAGATGCCAGCATCGGAGTCCCGGCTGCTCTGCTTCTGATGCAGCTCCCTGCTAACGCACCTGGGAAAGCAGCAGAAGGCGGCCCAAGTGACTGAGCTCCTGCCACCCACATGGGGGACCCAGATAAGAGTTCCTGGCTCCTGGCTTCAGCCTGGCCCAGTCCTGGCTGTTGTGGACATTTGGAGAGTGAATCGGCAGACAGAAGATATCTCTCTCTCTCTCTCTCTCTCTCTCTCTATATATATATATATATATATGCCTTTTAAATAAATAATTTTTTTAAAGAGCAGGGCTTTGTTCAATTTCATAAAATGGAAGCTTGGAGGATCCTTAAGATCCATGTGACCTTATCTTGTTTTTGCACCTGGGACCCTTACACGACAAGAGGAAATGCTCTACCCTGTGTTTCCCTTTTGTGTAAACATGAGTCTAGGGACTTTCAGAAGGGAGAGAAGGCAGGAAGGAGGAAGGAGAGGAGAAAGAAAAGGAAAGGAGGAAAGAGAGGGAAGGAAGAGATGAAGCTCTCTACCTTCTGGCCTGCTGCAAGTACAGCACTGACTCACCTTGGTGGTACTTCAGCTTTCTCGCAGTCTCTAGTCTGTGCCAGGTAAGAAAGTTATTTCAGGTAAACTAGTCCCACCCCCTGGACATCCTACTGTTATGATTTAGCAGAGCCCCCACAACCCACTTCACAAATCTGATCTTGGAGCTGACTGCACGGAGTGAATCCCATATGCCAGCCAGTGGACTTCTTCACCTTCTCCAGGAGGGATTTGCTTCTTTCCAAGGGGCAGCCAGGCCCCTACCCCAAAGGCAGTCCCTACAGTGCACTTGACACTTGCTGTCCTAGCAGAGTGCTGCAGCTCATTGACTTTCCTCTCTAGTTAGACATCAAGATCTCCTGGGGAGCTTTTAAATCAGGGTTGTGCAGCAGGCTCACAGTCCATTTTTAGAAGTCTTCTATCACTCTTTGCTTTACGTAGCAACTGTGGCTGCTTTCATGTACAATGGCAGAGTGGGGGCACTGCAATGGAGTTTGTGTGGCTGACTAAGTCCTGTACAGAAAAAGGATGTAGGGCCCTGTTTTATTTTATTTTATTTTATTTTATTTTATTTATTTTGACAGGCAGAGTGGACAGTGAGAGAGAGAGAGAGACAGAGAGAAAGGTCTTCCTTTTGCCGTTGGTGCACCCTCCAATGGCCGCCGCAGCTGGTGCGCTGTGGCTGGCGCACCGCGCTGATCTGATGGCAGGAGCCAGGTACTTATCCTGGTCTCCCATGCGGGTGCAGGGCCCAAGCACTTGGGCCATCCTCCACTGCCTTCCTGGGCCACAGCAGAGAGCTGGCCTGGAAGAGGGGCAACCGGGACAGAATCTGGCGCCCCGACTGGGACTAGAACCTGGTGTGCCGGTGCCGCAGGCGGAGGATTAGTCTAGTGAGCCACGGCGCCGGCCCTAGGGCCTTGTTTTAAACACTTGTCTGAACCCCATTCTGACCCTTTGGGCCTAGAGTTCAGATTATTTGTAGTTAATAAAAATTTCACAGTGATTCTGACATGTAGCATTAAGAATAGAAACACACTTCAACCAGCTCATGGAAAAATGGAATTGGTAACTTTGTTTTGATGCACGAAAATTTTGGAAATCGTGTAATATTTTCATAATGCATATTTCCCATAGCTCTAAATAAAGATCCCTTTTATGCAAGGATTCCAAAATTCTTCATGCTAAAATAAGCTTATCTTTTAAAAAAATTTAATTTACTTATTTTTATTTATTTGATAGGCAGAGAGACACAGAGGGATCTCCCATCTTCTGGTTCCTTCCTTAAATGTCTGCAATAGTGAGGGCTGGGGTCAGGCTGAAGCTGGGAGCCAAGGAATCAATTTGGGTCTCCCATGTGGGCAGCGGAGAGTCAAAAACTTGAGCTATTACCTGCTGCCTCTAGGGTGAGCGCAGCCAGAAGCTGGAATTAGGAGCAGAGCTGGGACTTGAACCCGGGCCCTCTGATACGGGATGTGGGCCTCCCAAGCAGCATCTTCATCACCGCAACAAATGCCCACCCCAAGCTTATCTGTTACTTCCGTTTTCCTGTTAACTTGCTGAAGCCCCCTGGTACTGGTTATCCGTTGAGTGCCCACTCTAAAGTCAGCCTTAGTTCTACGCTCCAGCCCACCGCAGCAAGTTCCCTGCTCCCTCTAAGCCTTTGTCACATGAGCCTGTGGTGGTACTCTTCTCTAGAGTGACCGTGAGGGCTGCACGCAGTGCTGGACATGGTTTTTCCTGCCTCTAGGGGAGGAGGGAGGCACAGCTTTCTGCTCACCACAGGCCGCGGCACAGCTCAGCACGGCATCCTCGATGCTGCTCAGGTCGTCCGAGTCTCGCCCATACACTTCCGTGAGCCGCAGGGCCCGGGGCCAGTCTCTGGCCACCAGGGCTTCCTGGAAGGCTTCAGTGAGTACATCCAGGGCAAGGGGAGAATGCAGGCCCAGGAGGACAGGAGAGAGACTGGGCCGACCACAGAGACTCGCTGCCAGACGCTGTCCCTGCTCAGAGGACCCTCGTAGGGGCTCCCAGGTGACCAGGAGTGCGGCCTCCAGCATAGGGAACTGTTCCAGAAGGTGCTCACACTCTCGGGCGACCTGCTCTGCGGTCAGAGGCACCTCCCTGCGGCCGCGAAGTTCCTTCCAGGACAAGGTGGGCTTGGTGACCTTTAACCCCCGGGAGGCCCCCAGGCAGGCCACCGTCGCCAGGAGCTTTGAGCGGGACTTAAGGAAGGCCAAAGTGGAGGAGGTGAGAGCTGAGGGTGAAGAATCCTTTGGGGAAGAGTGAGGCTTTCTCTCCAATGGGGGGTTCTCGGCTGGCTTCGGGGAGCTCGGTGTGGGCAGCGGGAGATCACCCAGGCAACGGGAGGTGTGCTGCTGGGCCAGGACGCCCAGGTGGGCCAGGAGGGATGACGTCTGCTGGCTTTGCAGGGAAGAGCAAAGAGCGAGGGGCTCGCAGCAGCAGCTGAGGATGACCTGCGGCACACTTAGGCCAAGACCTTCTCCGGCCAGAAGGGCAGCCAGCCTGCAGGGAGTGAAGCAGAGGGCGTGCAAGGTCTGAATATGCAGGCACAATCACCCTATCTTGCAATTTCTTTGTGATTACACAAGCAAATGACAGTAAGTGCTCTTAAGAGTTCTTATAAAAGTTAATCTATTAAACACATCCTCTGGCCCTTGCTTTTTCATTTAACGACAAATCTGGGAGACCCATTCATGTCCCTCTACAAAGAGGAGCTCCATTCAGTTTTATAGCTGTGTAGTACTCCATCATGTGGATGAAAACTAACTTGTTTCCAATTAGTCAACAATGGGTTTTCTGATATAAGGCTGTAATAAAATGATTTTGCACATACCTCACTTTTCACATTCATAATCAAACTGCACAATAAATTTCCCAATATGCACTGGCAGGTAAAGGGGCACACGAGTTTATAATTTTAGCTGATATTGCAAATTGATTTCATACAGGGGCTGTAATAATTTATACCCCACCCTTCATCCTCCAGCAATTTCTGGGAATGCTGGTTTTCCTACAGCTTAACCAACTTTGGTATTGTCAAATGTCTGAATTTTTGCCTATCTTGATGTGAAGATTCACCTTTGATTATCTACAATACAAATGTCAGAGATGGCAAGAGAGACAAAGAAATGAGGCAAAAGCAAGTTATGGAAGAAACCCAGCCTCTGTGCTGGCCCCAAGCACAGCCCCACTGAGCCTTTGGGATTACTCCTTAATGGAGTAATCAGGGAGGCCCCTGGCCAGCTCCTAGAGGGGTGGCTCCTACCTGTTTGGGGGAACTTGTCTTTCGAGCAGGAGATGTGACACCAACTGGGAGGAGCTCTGTTGTAGGAGAACAAAGGGATTTCCTACCTTGACCTCCACGTGACCTGTAAAGGCAGACAAAGTGACCTTTGTTGTGACAACACAGATTGATTACCCAATCATGGTTACTCAGAATCAATTAACAAAAAGTGAGCCCTTCTGTTGATTCATTCTATGTTGAGGGTGTTTTCAACACAACCCTGACTACAAGTTCATGTACACCTTACCACTGCTCTGAGGACCTCCCACCCAGATGGCCTGCGGTGCGCAGGTATGGCCACAGACAGCTCACTCTTGCTTTCTTGAACAGGACGGAAATGCACACAGTGCAGGCTGAGTACCCCATATCCAAAATGCTTGGAAACGGAAGTGGTTTTGGATTTGAAATGTTTTCAGATTTTGGAATATTTACCTATACATAATAGGGTATCTTGGGGATGGAAGCCAAACTTAAACATAAAATTCATTTATGTCTTAAATACACATTGTATGTGAGTACTCCAAAAAAAAAAAATCTGTGAAAAATGGAGTTAAAAGGCAGAACTTTTCAGTTAAAACTTTGAAATTCATGCATAGAGGTCTTCAAAAATTTCATGGAAACAGCATTTTAAGAAAAGATGGTGGGGGAGGGGCGGTGCTGTGGCATAGGGGGGTTAAACCACCACCTGCAGTGCCAGCATCCCATATAGGTGCCAGTTCTCATCCTGGCTGCTCTTCTTCTGATCCAGCTCCCTGCTAATGCACCTGGGAAAGCAGTGGAAGATGGCCCAAGTCCTTGGGTCCCTGCATGCATGTGGGAGACTCGGAAGAAGCTACTGGCTTCAGACTGGCCCAGCCCTGGCATTACGGCCATCTGGGGAGTGAACCAGTGGATGCAAGTTTCTCTCTCTTTCTGTTTCTCCCTCCCTCTGACTCTGCCTTTCAAATCGATGAGTAAATCTTAAAAAAAAAAAAAAAAAAAAGAAAGAAAGAAAAAATTGCAAAAATATGGGGACTGGCTTTGTGTCACAGTGGTGTGGCATCTGGCATCTCATGTTGGAGTGGCTGCTGTTTCCAGTCCAGTTCCCTGCTAATGCACCTGGTAAAGTAATGGAGGATGGCCTGAGTACTTAGGCCCCCTGCCACACACATGGAGTTTTTGGCTGCTGGCTTCTGCCTGGCCCAGTCCTTCCCATTATGGCACTTTGGGGAGTGAACCAATGAATGGTTCACTTTCTTTCTTTCTCTGTCACTCTGCCACTCAAATAAATAAACAAAGCTTTTAAAAAAAGAAATCTAACTTTAAAAAAGGAAAAAACTACATAAAGATTGCAAATTTTTGTATACCACAATAACATTATCTTTTAATTCTATAGCTTTTAATTTTCATTGAACTTTTTGGAGTTCTCCCATACACATAGCCTAAAGGTAATTTTACATAATATTTTATTTATTTAAATAATTTGAAAATCTTATTTGAGAGGCAGAGAGATAGACAGAAAGAGACAGATGATGATCTCCTTTTCTGGTTTACCCCCCAAATGCCCACAACAGTTGGGCCTGGGCTGGGGCAAGAGCCAGAAGCTGGGATCACAATTCACACCAGGGTCTGCATTGGTAGGAAGCGGGAATCAGGAGCCAGAGATGGGAATTGAACCCAGGTTCTCCAGTGTGGGATGTGCGTGTCATTAACAGCTGCTAAGTGCCTGTTCCATCACAGTATCTACAGCGCACCTGTGTTTTCACTGGGACCCATCCCATGAGGCCAGGCGTGGAATTTTCTACTCATCGCATCATATTGTCATTCAAAAAGTCTGGGATTTGGAAGCATTTCAGATTTTGGATTTTCTTATTAGGAATGCTCGACCAATACTTGTTCAGTGGATTCAAGGAAGCGTCTGGTGCTCACAACAGAGTCTGCATTCCTCTGCTGGGTCTTCAAACCCATCAGGGTCTGACAGACAGCTTTCAATCACCAATTCCATCAGAACTGCTGAGTACTCTCGTGTGCCGTACAAGCGCACTTAGTGCAAAGCCGAACAGAGCTGAGTAACGGGGGAAGGTCTCACAAATCTAGTGTCCTCGCTGCTGCAGCACGCAGGACCTCTGCATCAAGCACTTGCTCTTCCTTGCCCTAAGCACCTGCAGCACACTCATGACTCCTTCTCCTCTTTCTTGCTACTTACCAGGCTCAGAGCTCAAACTCCGCAGGAGAACGGCAGCCAGGGTGCTGCAGTAACTGAAGAAGGTGCCCATGTAGTCAGTCTGTCTGCTGCCTGCTTGGGTCTGTTTGCCCAGGTTTTTCTGGAGGAGCTGAGTCTGGACACGCACAGGGTGGGCCTCGGCTTCAGAAGCTTTTTGGGCTGCCTGCTCCACCAGGGAAGAGAGTGGAGTACCCCTGGGCTCTGAGAGGAGTAACAGCAGAAGCGACATAAGCTTTTGTCTGGGCAACCAGCTTTGGGTCCATTTCTGACCTGCTATGTGAACCAGGCCTCCTACACACCCCACAGACCATCTTGGGAGCTACGCTTACAAGGCAGATAGAAAACCCTAAGGTGGTTCTCGCCCAGGCAGAACTTCCAGTCTGGAGCAATCAGAGTGCATGTTCTGTTTGCACCCTCTGGTATCTCTGGCGTGGAACAGTTTTCAGAAGAGCACAGCCATCTTTGGGGGGAATTGTTGATCAACAGCTACCGTGTGCCTGCTGGGTGCATTTCTCATTATGAACGAGCAAAATGAATCAGCAGATGGAGTGAGAGGTGCAGAGCCAGGTGAAGCGATGAGCTATGCTCTGGCCAACAAAAAGGCTGCCTGAGTCCTAAGCCTCCGTCCCCAGTGCTGCTTCGCTCTCGGGTGTTTATTCCCCCAGTTGAGCCCTTATCTGCTTTCCTGTCTCCAAGTCCACTGCCTTGTACCTGGCAGCTCTAGCGCCTCTCGCAGTGACTGTAGGCCCTGATCCAGCTGCTGGGACATGGTGGCGTGGCTGGCAACACAGTCCTCAGTGAGGCTGGGCCAGCACATCTGAAGCAGTTCCATGATGCTGTGCCGTGGAGGGCCTCCTCCTTTTTCTTCTGGGCTCTCTGTGGAAAGCAAGTGAGAAAGACACAGTGTGGTCTGCTGCTGGCTTTCGCGTTCCAAGTCCGGGGGTGGGGGGGGGAGGGAAGAAATAAGGGAGCAACGCAGCACACCTGACTTAGCTTGTCCAGCTGACACAAGTGGGTAGTTGAGAATCTTACTGATGTGCTGAAGGACAAGTGGAAAACCTCGAATGCCATCCACGTTGAGAACATGGTCTGGCCGTCGGCCTGGAGACAGATGAGAGACAAAGCGATGCAAAGAAAAGTAAGCTCCTTTCAGAGACAGATACTCAGTCCTAGATTTTTGCTAGAAGAGTTTATCTATCTATCTATCTGAGAGGCAGAGAGACACAGAAATGCCATGCACTGGTTCACTCCCTGAATGCCTGCAGTGGTTAGGACTGAGCTGGACTGAGGTTGGGAGCCAAAAATGCAATACAAGCCTCCCATGTGGCTGGCAGGGACCTAGCTGCTGTCTCCCAGGGTGCACATTAATAAGAAGTCTGTCTTAACTGCTAAGCCAAACACTTGACCCTCTGTCCTGTCTGTGATTGTCTTGTCCCGTATTAAGGAGGAAATGGATGCTCCATTTTGAGTGTCAACCACCACACCTGGCCTACTTCATGCTTGAGGTCCCAGGACTACCTCTGGCAAGAAAACCCACCTGTCAACTGGAGCACATTCAGACTCTCTGGCATCTCCATGAGATTGCTGCCCCCAGCAAGTTGGGCATTTTTTTTTTTTTTTTTTTAAGAAATGAGGTTTACCAAAGAGAGAACATATAATCTAAAGGCACAAATTCCACTCATGTGATTTTTAATGTATCTCATTCTTGTACTAAATTATATACTGGAAAAGAGCTTTCTCAAATCACTGCAGCTGGCTATTTCTATTAAGAAAGCGGGGGTGGAGTGGAGTGGCAGTGCTGTGGCACAGTGGGTTAAAGCCCCGGCCTGCAGTGCCGGCATCCCATGTAGGCACTGGTTCGTGTCCCGGTTGCTCCACTTCTGATCCAGCTCCCTGTTAGTGCACCTAGGAAAGCAGCGGAGGATCCCAAGTCCCTGGGCCCCATGTGGGAGACCTGGAGGAGGCTCCTGGCTCTCCTGGCTCCAGATTGGCTCAGCTCCAGCTGTTATGGCCATTTGGAGAGAGAACCAGCGGATGGCAGATATCTCTTTCTCTGCCTCGGCCTCTCAACTAAATAACTAAAACTTAAAAAAAAAAAAAAAAAAGCAAGCAAGCAGGAAAACAAACTGTGGCATGGTGGGTTTAGCTGCCACCGGCAACGCCAACATCCCATATGGGCACTGGTTCATGTTCCAGTTCTGCTTCACTGCTCCACTCTGATCTGCTCCTTACTAATGTGCCTGGGAAAGCAGCAGAGGACAACCTAAGAGCTTAGGCCTCTGCATCCATGTGAGAAACCCAGAAGAAACTCCTGGCTGCTGGCTTTGGCCTGGCTCAGCCCCAGCCATTGTGGCCATTTGGGGCGTGAATCTACAGATAAAAGGTCGATCTCTCTCTCTCTCCGCCTTTCAAATAAATAAAATAAAGAAAAAAAGAAAGAGGTGCTCTCACCTTCACATCAAGAGAAATTTAATTGATCCTTTCCCCTTGTCCTCCTACCCCCCAAAACTACTTTCTTCCTGTACGAGCTGGCAACTCTCAGACGCCCCCTCCCTGTCTGAGAAGTAGGCACGCAGCCGGAGCAGCACACTCACCCCGGCTCTCGAGGCTGCTGTTCAGGCGCCGCTCGGCTGTTTCCAAGAGCTGCTTGCAGGTTTTCCAGAGCTGGCACTGACAGCAAGCCAGGTCAAAGGCAGCCATGGCGGGGGGGCTGAGATCCTCCAGCACCTCTCTCAGGGGAGCACTGGGCTCCAACAGAGTGGTGCTCAACCAAAAGTCCTCTTGGAGCGTGGGGATGGGGTCTCCCGAGGTGCTGAGCAGCTTGTCGGTCACATCAGAGATGGAGTAAAATACCATCCCTGGACACCCAGCAGTGGAACAAAAAGCCGGGGGTTAGAATGCCTCTAACTCCCGCTTCTATCAGGAGAAGGAGTTGCTTAACCCTGTCATGACAGCCCTCTCTCCCAGCCTCAGAACAACGGCATGGAGAGGAAGAGCAAGAGGGGCTCAGTGGTCAAGATGGGGGTGCGGGGACTGCTCCCCTATGACGTGGGCATTTCTCCCCCCGCCCCCTGACCCCAGGTGGCAGTAGGGAAGCCTGACCTGCGGCTGCCGCGCTACCAATGGCCTGCAGAGTTGAGCGGCCACTGCCAGTTCTCCGAATGGTGCTGCTACCGCCATCTGAGCTGTGGTTTTCGATCTTGTGTTCTACCCGGGCCAGCTCCTGGATCACCTCCTGGTAGCGCTCCATGAACATCAGTTCCCCCGAGCTGGGCGAGGACTTCAGGTTGAACATGAACACCACCTGTCACGGGATGGGGAGGAGCGTGGGGTGGACTGGAGAGCTTGCCAATTATCAAACCCTGGTGGGTCCTACACTGTCTATTTTATAGGGCCAGGTGGGCAATGAATGTTAAAATAGTAGGTCAGTCTTAAAAATAACTCATAAAGGGCAGTAGGAAAACCCCCAAAAGCCTAGTGGAAGACAGGCAGACACACAGGTGATTTTAGAGGAAATTCATGGTACGTTCATGAGAAACTTACATAACCAGTAACCTAGGAGTGTAAGGATAATACCATTTTGCACCTATCACAATAACGAAGTGTCAAAATAAATCCCTGGGGTCCCATGGAAGGAACTGTCCCAATTGTGTGAAAGGCTGTCTGGTAACCTAGAAAGCTTTAAAAATGTTTCTATCTTTTGTCCCAGTTTTTTTTTTCTTTTCTTTTTGACAGGCAGAGTTAGACAGTGAGAGAGAGAGAGACAGAGAGAAAGGTCTTCCTTCCATTGGTTCACCCCCCAAGTGGCCGCTACAGCTGCGCCGATCTGAAGCCAGGAGCCAGGTGCTTCCTCCTGGTCTCCCACACGGGTGCAGGGTCCAAGCACTTGGGCCATCCTCCACTGCCTTCCCGGGCCACAACAGAGAACTGGACTGGAAGAGGAGCAACTGGGACAGAATCTGGCGCCCCAACCGTGTCCCAGTAATTTTTAAAAAGGATTTATTTATTTGAAAGATACAAAAAGAGAAAGAGAGAGAGAGAGAGAATAAGAGAGAGATCTTCCATCTGCTGATTCACTCCCCAAATGGCTACAATAGCTGGGGCTGGGCCAGCCCAAAGCCAGGAGCCAGGAACTTCTTCCAGGTTCCCCACATGGATGCAGAGGCCCAAGCACTTGGGTCATCTTCCACTGCTTTTCCTAGGTGCATTAGCAGGGAGCTGGATTGCAAGTGAGGCAGCTGGGATCTGAACTTAAAACTTTGGATGCTAGTACCACACGAGGAGGCAAGACCTTCTTTAGCACAGTGCCAACCTCTGTCGCAGTAATTTTTAAAGAAATTGTCAATTAGTTATTTTTCATTTGAAAGGCAGAGAGAGACAGATGAAAGAGGTCTTTCAGCCACTGCTTCACTCCCCAGATGCTACAACATCTAGGGCTGGGCTAGGCTGAAATCAGGAGCTAGGAACTCAATCTAGTTCTCCCACGTAAGTGACAGGGACCTATCACTTGCTGTCTCCAGGGTGTATATTACTAGGGAGCTGGAATTGGAAGCAGAGCTGGGACTTCAACCCAGTTACCCCAGTGTGAGATATGCGTGGTATGAATGGTGTCTTAACTGCTATGCCAAAAGCCTCCCCCTCACCAGTAATTTTTGTGAAGAATGTTCTTAAGGAGATAATCCAAAAGCCATAATGCTTAGAGGCCATCACTTTGGCATGATTTACTCCAACTATTAAATGGCTGAAAACAATTTAAATGTTGAGTGGTAGGAAAATGGTTAAAAACAGCTATTTGATCAAACTATTATAAGGTTACTAAATTCAAAGTTATAAGGCAAATATTTATATCATAATGTAAAAAAAAGTGACAATATAAAGTTTTTTTTGACTTAGCTATACAAAAAATCTTTAAAAAGTTCCTGGAAAATGCGTATTATAAAAAACTCTGCATGGGTTTCAAAATTTTCTTGTGTAAAATAAACTTATCTTTTAATTTCCTTTTTCCAGGAACCTTTCAAAGTCTCTCTGTATATATTTTGGAATAATATTGGCCAAAAATAAACTTTATCTTTAATATTGGTTGTTCTATATAACAGAATTTTAAAAAACTCTTGATTTCTTTGTTTCTATTTTCTGGAATTTTCTCATAACATGCACAAATTATTCTGTAAACTGGCTAAAAGATAAATTTTTTATTGAAAAAAAAGAGAAGAGAATAAAAGCCCCAGGAAAGGCAAAGAAGTAGAGGACACTTGGGGAAAAAGAATCATGGGAGTCCAGTCAATTTCCTTTGGCTTTGGGTTCCAGAAAGGTTGGGGAGGTCCTGTCTCTGCAGAGGATAACAACTAGTATCATCATCAGAGTATGAGATCTAAAATGATCAGCAGGAGTTAAGCGAAAATATCCTATCATCCAAGTTTCTCCCAGATTTATTTCTCAACCACTGAACTCATATGACAGGAAATGTTTTACCTACAAGTAAAGGGACCAGCGTAAGTGTCATCAATACAGCAAGAGGGTTTTCAGAATTAGAAGGGTGGTATTTCATGTGATTAAGTTAAACAGCAGTAGACGATGCTTGTATTTCTCAGAACTCGCGTATACCCCTCTTGGCATTGTCACAAGGCAGGAGAAGCAGGTATTACACTCTATTTCACTCCGGTTTCAAAGGCGGATATGAGAGCTCAGAGAGGCTATGACTCATTCTGCTTACCTCTCTGCTGCTACTTTCCCGACACAACACGGACATCCTAGCCGGCTGGCTCACTAGATTTCTTGTATATTGCCTGAGTGCTCTACTGACCACAGAAAATGGTCTTCATCATGATTTTTACCTTTATAAAAACATGTGAGAAGGCGTACAAGGAGAGAAACAAAACAGTCCAATGTTTTGAAGTGGTAGGATTCCAGCTGAATTTTTTTTTAATCTTGTTAAAAGACATTGTTTATATAAACAACACCAATGATTCAACGTCCCCGAACCTGCAGTGCTGAGGACTGGGCCTGCACACACACTCTCTCCTGCTCCAGGTGGCCCCTCAAGTGCTCCCTCCCAATGGCCCTGGCTGCACACACACCCAGTTCTACAGAGGTACGGCAGCCACAGCCAGCAAGGGGCTGGCTCAGCAATCCTCACTATGACAAGAGCCGGGTGAGGGTTCTCTTACCTGACGGGCTTCTGCAAAGTTCCCGCGAAGGATGCAGGAGGCGAGCAGGGACTCCGGCGAGGAGAACATCATGGGGAGCAGTGAACTATGAGGTTGGGGCTGCAGCCGGCCTTCCAGCTCATTCCGCCCACTCGCAGCACTCAGACTTCCCTCTGTGGGGACACAGGGTTGTGGGGGGACAGGGAAGCTACAGAAATGGAGCAGAAACTATACTTCTACCACCCCCCGAAGAGTGCTTATCTCCTCTGACTCCCTCTAAAAGGTCTGTAAATGGGTCTTGCTTCTTTTCCCCCTCCACATGAAGGGGAAACTCATGCTGCCATGTTGGGAAACAAGACTTAAGTTCCGACTCCCACCCTTGGCTCGTCCCCTTTCTCTCTGAAGATGGCTAACTCCACTGGGAGGGAAATGGCCCTTTCCCTTTCCCCAGCTGGTCTGCTGGGCCACCCCAGCACCAAGCCACTTGAACAGACACGAGCTGCTCAGTCCTGGCTTTGCATCTTGGTGCGTGCACCTCTGTGTCAGGGCAAAGATGCTGCAAGGTGGCAGCTGGCAGGTGGCTGCGTACCTGAAGTACTGGTGCTCAGCTCACTGCTTGTGCTTTCCAGGGATGGGTTGGAACTTCGGTCTCGGCCATCTAGACGTATTAGAAAGAAGAGAAGAAATCAATTACCACGTCTTTCGAGTGTAGGAAGCATGAAGCTGGCTTCAAGGCCAAGATCTGGGCAGAGTGAGAGACTAACAGGTGGTTATATACTCACTGCTCCTTCTACGGCAAGGGCCGAGGGTAGATTTAACATGGCCCCAGTGCTGACCCGGCATAGCCTATACCAGTAGTTTCCAACCTAGGGGTCTCAAACCCTGGCAGCTTTCAAATGATTCCTACGAGTCAGCAGCTATCCTCTGCTCACTAAGTGCTAGAAATATTCTAAAAAAGAACAGCACCAACAACACCTTCTGACACAGAAGACGAGGGCAGGCATTTGGTCTTGCAGTTAAGATGCCTGCATCCCTATCAGAGCACTTGGGTTTGAGTCCTGGCTCCGCTCTTAATCCTCGCTTTCTTGCTGATGTGGATCCTGGGAGGTGGTGGTGATGGCTCCTGTGGCTGGGTCTCTGCTGCCCATGGGGAGACCTGGATTGAATTCCTGGATTCTGGCTTTGTTTTAGGCATCTGGGGGCGCGAACCAGCGACTGGGAGCCCTCGCTAGTCTTTCTCAAATAATTAAAAAAGTTGCATTTGTTATTAAAAAAAAAAACCCAAGACTAATGATTATGTTCACAATGAAATGACAAATAAAGCATACAGAAAACAATGTTTTCATATTTGAAAAAGTGGAGAATGAAAGTTTAAATCCCACCCTGCCAAAGACCACAGAATTCAAAGCCCTGGAGGAAAAGTTTGTCAACATCAGCTTTCCTTAAGTGCTAGAGGCTCATTTTCCCTTGCCACAGTCATGAGGGCTAGAATGCCCATGAGTCCCCTTGGCTCACTGTTTGGGCTGCTTTTCTTTTCTTTTTTTTTCTTTCTCCTTCTCCTTCTCTCTTTCTTTTTTTAAAAGATTTGTGGGGCCAGCACTGTGGGTGGCATAGCGGATAAAGCTGCTGCCTGCAGTGCCGGCATCCCATATGGGTGCTGGTTCAAGTCTCAGCTGCTCCACTTCTGATCCAGCTCTCTGCTATGGCCTGGGAAAGCAGTAGAAGATGGCCCAAGTCCTTGGGCCCCTGCAGCCGCTTGGGAGACCTGGAAGAAGCTCCTGGCTCCTGGCTTTGGATTGGCCCAGCTCTGGCTGCTGCAGCCATTTGGGGAGTGAACCAGTGGATGGAAGACCTCTCTCTCTTTCTCTGCCTCTGCCTCTCTGTAACTTTGCCTTTCAAATAAATAAATAAATCTTAAAAAAAAGTGTATACACTTTCATCTATATTTAAAAAAACAGATTTATTTTATTTATTTGAAAGGCAGAGATACAGAGGGTGGGGGGAGGTCTTCTATCCGCTGGTTCACTCCCCAAATGGCTGTAATGGCCAACGCTGGGACAGGCTGAAGCCAGGAGCTTCTTCTGGATCTCCCACATGGGTGCAAGGGCCCAAGCACTTGGGCCATCTTCTGCTGCTTTCTCAGGTGCATTAGCAGGGAGCTGGATTGGAAATTGAGCAGACAGAATTCAAACTTGTGCCCACATGGAATACTACCATTACAGGTGGTGGCTTTACTCACTATGCCACAGTGTCGGCCCCTAGCCTGCCCTATAGAGGGAAAACTGCAGGAGAGAGATGATAGGTTGCAGATTCTTAGGCTGGATGGGTCAAGTGGATGCAAACATTGCCTTCTGACCCAAACCTATTAACTCAGCAGTTTAAGGATCTCAGTGACTCAGCCTTGAAGCTTCCCAGGTTTCTTGCAGGGTCTCTTCCACTCTACCCAGTGTGATCCCCTTTCTAGTAGCCACTTAGCTAGAGCCCACTTAGGCTTCAGTGGGGTTCAAGTGTCAACTCCTTTGTGAAATCTGTTTCCCTAACTTTTGGGAACCAGGCTAATATCCCCTTCCAAGAGATTTCTTCTGTTTCAGGCAGTGCCTCAATTCAGGGCAAGTTTTTCATGTTTACTAGTTATAGAGGTAAATTACAAATTCTTTGAAGGCAAAGGTTTGGTGTATGCCTCATGTACCTCCTTTGAGAGACTTAATAATGCTCAGCACACAGGAAACTAATCATTTAGAAGATCAGCACCAAAGACCATAGCAGAAATGTGATTATCTACAAATTTAATACTGTACTCATGCATAATGCTCCTGTATTAAATTACTTTAGGGAAAACCCATCAACAGTCAAAAAGTAAAACAGGGAAAAACTAGGCACATAATCACAAAATATTTTCCGTACTGTATATAAAGATGCTTCTGTAATGCAACAAGAAAACTCAAAAGAAAAATGGTCCTTAGATGTGATCAGACAGTTCACAGAAAAACATAAATGCCCAATAAATATAAATGTCCAATAACATTCATTCTCAATCTAAAAAAATTATTAATGCAATATTGCAGGATTATTGTGTTAATGATACTGGCAATGACTTAGAAAAATCTGACACTACTCATCGATGATATATATGGAGATAGACAATCACACACATACAGCTGGAGAAATATAAGTGGCCCACCTTTTTCAAGGCATCTTGGAATATCTATTTATATTGTATACCTACATACCATTGACCTATGAATTCTGCTGCTGGGAACCTATTCTATACTCATATAAGTTTGTCCAGATAGGTACAAGGTTGTTTACTGTAGCACTGTTTATAGTAACAAAAAGCTGGAAACAACTTAAATGTTCATGCACAAGGTATATATGATAATGGAACACTAAAACTTTAAAATGATAAGTGAAAGAAGTTCTCAATATTTCATATGATACATCTGTAAATAGAAGGATACTTCAAAAAGTTCATGGAAAGTGTGAAAAAACTATGGATTTTTGTATTTTTTCACCAAAATAATTAACTTCTAAAATTTAAATTTAAAAAGAAATAGAGAGGGGCTGGCGCTGTGGCTCACTTGGTTAATCCTCCGCCTGCGGCGCTGGCATCCCATATGGGCGCCGGGTTCTAGTCCCGGTTGCTCCTATTCCAGTCCAGCTCTCTGCTGTGGCCCGGGAGGGTAGTGGAGGATGGCCCAACTGCTTGGGCTCCTGCACCCGCATGGGAGACCAGGAGGAAGCACCTGGCTCCTGGCTTCAGATCAGCGCAGCGCCGGCCATAGTGGCCGTTTGAGGAGTGAACCAACGGAAGGAAGACCTTTCTCTCTGTCTCTGTCTATATCTCTACCTGTCAAATAAAAAAAATAAATAAATAGAGAAAGAGAAATAGAAAGAGATAGCCAGTTAGCTAACTACTTAGATATTCTGGGATATCCTGGTTTACTCCCACAAATGCTTGCAATGGCTGGGCTGGGCCAAAGCCAGGAGTCAGGAAATTAATCCAAGTCTCCCCTGTGGGTTTCTGGAACCCAATTATTTAAGCTACCTATTATTACTTACTCCCAGAGTATGCCTTAATAGGATGCTGAAGTCAGGAGCTGGGTTGCAAACTCAGGTACTCTGATATGGGAAACAGGTGTCTTAACTGCTTCACTAAATGCCCATGGCTAAACTTGTCTTTTAATTTCATTTTTCCAGGAATACCTTGAAGTAGCCTCATATAAAGTAAGTGAGTGAAATGAGCTCTTGATATTTATAGTATGATGCATCTGTACAAATAAAAGGATATAAGTGCATTGCCTGGAAACTCTCTGGAAGGGTAAGTTAAAAATTAACAAGGTGTGGGACTAGGGTAATTTCACAACACTTTTGTTTGTTTTGACCATGTGTTTTGTCTTACAGAATGCTAGCCAAGTGGCAATAATACATCACTTGTCTAGCGTATGGGAGTGAAGCATGACAAGATTACCTGTCCGGTTCCTCCTCATCCGACGACCCCGGCGGAGACTAGGGTGCCGCGTGGCAATGGGCCGGTATCTTCGGGAAGGTTGCTCCTCTGAAACAGCAAACCCAGTGGGACATAAGGAGAGTGGTCAACGTTGACTGACCTGCCTCTTGGGGGAGCTGGAAGGAGAAGATCTACACTGGACTCTGAGCTATGAGTTCCCTGGGGATCTGACGCTGGTTGCCATGGTGAAAGCTCCTGAGTTATGCTGGTACCCACATGCACTTCCAGCTCTCTTCTGAAATCCTGGGATGTTTGCCCCTCCCCACTGTCTGCACCCACCAGGGCGGCTCCCTCCTCTCACCTGAGCCCAGGTTGCTTGTCACCACCTTGTATCTCCACTGGGCCTCGGAGAGAACCTTGGAGAAGCGGTGCAGGCGGCCCTGCAGTCCCTCTCTACTTCCAGAGCAGCTCTGGCCTTCTGGCATCTTTGGCTTCTCAGGGGGCCCGTGACTGCAGATCTCATCCAGCTGCTCCTGGAGAAGCCCGAGGAAGGCCCCTATTGCAAATTCATCTGCTAGGAACCCACTGAGCCCACTGGTAAAGTGCTTTAGGTCCAGGAAGCTGTGGCTCTGAGGCCCTGGGGGACTGTCTTTTGGCTCTGCCTTCAGACAGCTTGGTGTCGTGCAAGCAAGGCTCCTGGGGCCTCCCAGGGAACCTCGTTCCGACTTCCTCTCGGGCTGTCCTGTGTGCTGGGGGCTCTCTGATGGGGACCTCAAGTCCAAGGGGCCCTTCCCCTCCACATCATCATCCTCGGCGTAGTCTTCAGGCAAGTGAGGCTCTGGGTGGAGATCAGTGGAGGTGATGAGCAGCAATGAGAATATGTTTTCTAGAAGTTCCAGGCACAGAACGTCAGGAATGCTGCGCAGGTACTGTTGACACCTGGCCAGGTATGTTGAGAACAGGTTTGAGGCACCTAAGGAGGCATGAAGAGGCCAGCGAAAGAGAAGAGAAGAGAGAGAATGCAAGCATGAGAAACAGTGCTTGCCACCCTTGAACATTTCCACAACATCAGTTCATTTTTCCAGCCTTTCGTGACTAAATGGTCTTGGGTTACAGAGAACAGAAGAGAACACTCAGCCATGTCTCTTCGTGACTGGTGGAAAGATTTTGTTTCTTTAACTAAAACTCCACCTTACTGGGCACTTACTTTGTTTCTACTTTTTGAATATTATATTATTTCTCATCTCTGACAAACACCCCATGTATTTCAGCTCCAGGGGTGAAGACAGCACACAGACTCCTCACTCCTCCATTCTCTTTTTACTTATTGTTACATGAAAGGTGATCACAGCCTACCTAGATCTCTTAAGAAATACTCAACAGTCAAAAAACAGGATGTGGGCATTTGGCCTGTGGTTGACATTTAAGTCCCACATTGGAGTGCCTGGGTTAGATACCTGGCTCTGGCTCCTGACTCCAGCTTCCTACTAATACAAATCCTAGGAGGCAGTGGTGATGGCTCAAGTAATTGGATTCCTGCCATCCATGTGGGAGACCTGGATTTAGTTCTGGCTCCTGGCTTTGGCCCTAGCTGGGCACATTGCGCGTATATGGAGTGTGACGGTCACGCACAGAGGTAGAAGCCTATCCCAAAGCTAGAAAAGAGAGAGAACTGAATGCTAATTACAGAGGCCAGTTAGGGAGTTACAAGTTATTATGAAAGATGAGAGAGGACACAACATTGGGTTGGTGTTTTCCACACTGTAGGCTGTGCCCCATCAGGATGACTGAATGGGCTGCATTAAAAGAATCAAATTGAACTAAAAAATACAGGACAGTACACTCCATGTGGACAAGTAAATATTGTTTCTTAAACCTAGTTTCAGTTTACATATCACATATATATTCATACACATCTAATATATACATACACAAATTATATACCTAGCAGCAAACTGGAGTGTGGCTATGAAATGCCATTCTTATCAGGCGACTGCAGTTACCAAAACCAAAAATATATGGAAGACATTGCAATAGGTGATCAGACTCCATTAAAACTTGGGTGAGTCACTTGCTGTCTTCCATGGCCCTTTGATTCGTGGAGGCTGATAAATGGGTGAAATGATTCCTGGGCATCATAAACCAAGTAAGCCCCCCAAATCCTAGTGCAGAAAGGGTAAGCACACAGCATTCATGGGAATTGGATGTTACTAGCTTCTGCCAGGGATGAGGGGAGCTCCGTACCTGGGGGAGAGATGGTGTCATTCGCTGGCTCCGTGGCTGAAGCCAGGTCCTCAGAGGGGCCATCTTTGCAGTCCTGGCATGAGGAGTGCTGGTGTGAGTTCACACAAAGGGCATAGATGGCATACTTCATGGCACAGAAGCCCTGGTAGAGTGTCAGGTTCTGACACCGGTTCTGGTGCTCAGGAAGTGGAGCATCAGCGGAGTCTGCATTGTGGAGAGAAACAGGCAGACCTTCAGAGTTGATTCTCTCCTGCGCGGGCTCCAGGACTGGCTAAAGAGGAGATGCCATATCTGCAGGTCCAACCTGTAGCTTCTTACCCTCTCTCCTTCCTGTCAGTCTGACTGTATCCCTTTCAGGCCTTTCCTTCTAGTCAGCATCAGCCTTCAGCCCCCATCAACTTCCTTTCTGCATATCTCACGACCTGAGCAGGGCAGTACCGGGATACTAGTCAGGCCTAGGTCTGGCAAGCATCAGAGCGAGGGTCTCCTTCAATTCTGCACCCTGAAATGCCTCTCCTGCCTCACTCTAGCTCCGACCTTGTTTGCCTCTTCCAGTTTAGGAACCAAGCGTATCTCACTGGGTCACCAGGGGTTAGATTTAAAACATTGGAAGGCTTTTATTTATTTATTTTTTAAATGTAGAAACCAGAAATCGGGGTCCTTAAGGCAATCTGTTAATGAGTTGCCTGTCTTTCTGGAAAAATATGAGAAAGATTTTTTTTTCCTCAATGGCAAAACTCCCTGGCCTGTGTGGCAGGTTGTGGCTATACAATGATGGGATTTTTTTTAGAAGCACAAAGGGCTTGCTGATGGGGTCTTGGATTTGATGCAAAGATCTCAGATTAAAACAAGGCTTTGTTATTGGTTGAGGCAAGTCTTTAGTGTAAATCTTCATCTCTTCATCAGACTATGAAGACATGGGAGGGAAGAAAGGTGCAACAAGAGCAAAGAGAGAGCTTAGGAAGCATGACGCACCTCACTGAGATGGCTCAGGACAAAAGATACGGATCTCTGTTCACAGGATTCCCTGCACCTCCCCAAGAAAAGGGGGTGAATACCCCTACACCCTAAAGTCTGGTTGGGGCAAACAGCCCTAAGTTAGAGGGCACTTGCTGGACCACCCTCTTGACACATCCCAGCAATCACAATAACATCCAGATAAACCTGGACCCTGGAAGAGACACATGCAAGTCAGTGCTGAGAGGGACTCCTGGCCAGGTCATTCCCTCACTACTCACCAGGCTCCTGCTGGAGGTCCTTGGCTGGCACCTTCTGTAAGAGTTTGAGAACCTCCTCCTCCCTGAGGGCTGGAAGGTTTGTAAGGTGATGGAGAGAGTAGAGCACGGAGTGGCTGTCTCCAGCATGCAAATGACACAAGAGCTCTCTCTTTGGTATGGGGCTGCTGAAAGGGAAAGTCAGGAGGGTGGAAGGGGAGAGAGGTTCTTTTATTTCCTTGAGGACACACATTTCTCTTCCTTCTTGTTCTTTTCTGGCCCGTACACCCCAGGTTTCACTTCCCCAGATACTACGTTTAGTTAGTCTGGAATAGAGTGTGACATTTCTCTTCTCTCAGGGAAATACATCCATCAAGTCAGATGTACTTATCTAGAAAGGACCAGGAAGTGGCCTGACTCCACCCTTTGCAGCTTCTAACCGACACAGGCTTCTCTGGCTTTACTTTGAGTAAGGGGCCCTTGCTCTCCTCTCTCTGCCCACTCTATTTCAGGAAGTACTGGCAGGGGAGATAAAGAACAAGGTAGATCAAGGCTAAGTTTTCAGGGACACGTGTGGCCTTGCATATAGTTCAAGAAGCATTTGTTGAATCAAAGTGTGATCTGGGATAACATACAACGTAAGAACACAGATGACGCTTAGCTGTGTGACCTTGGACAAGTTACTAACACCCTTGGGCTTCAGTTGTTCCATCCTTAAAATGAAAGTAATATTGGCATCCAATCACAGCGTTACTGTGAGGATTCAGTGGTATTATTCATGTAAAGAGATAAGAGTAATGCTGACATCCAGGAAACGGGAGCTATTATTCTACTGTTGTCCTGCAATTATCCTCTAGTTCTGACTCAACGGCCACAGCAGAGATAAACCATTATTCAGGTTTTTTCCTGGTTTAACAGCTGGTCAACTAAAAACATGTGTGTGGACAATGTCCTGAGAAGACCACAGGGCCAGGGCCAAGCGTGCCTGACGGCAGCAGGGGGCTCACTGCACAGGGCCATACCTGCTCTGCTGTACACACCAGTCCAGGACCTCCAGGTGAGCACTCAGTCCCTCACAGGCATCCCTGAGGAGCTCATCACAGCCCTGCTCCTGCGTCGATATGGGAAAAGAGAGAGATGCTGACTCGGGCTCTTGGGGTGAGAGGCTGTGACCAATTTAGGACTCTGACTTCTGCCTACACCCAAAGGCGCAGGCCACTCACTTTCCAGGCAGCCTGGAGAACAGAGTGAGAATTACCTGGGTCCCGTGGAGTGTCTGCAGCAGCTGCCTGGCTGACTCCAGGCTCTGGCAGTGCGTCCAGCCCAGGAGCACGAGCAGGTGACGCAGAGGCCTGAATTCTCTATCCAACAGGCAGCCAAGACTTGGGAAGTCCTCCTCTTTGAGCAGTGTTAGTGCTGTTACCTGTAAGCCAAAGATGGTTGCTACAGACAGCTGTGTGGATGAGAGGGAATGAGTTCTAGCTTGCTGCTCATTAGGGAAGGAGCTTCTTAGTACAGCAGGGAGATTTCTGACGATAGAAGTGGCCAGCTGAACAAAACAAGTGTTCACGACAACAGTGGGGTATAAGCTCCCTAAAGGAAGCAACTGACTTTGGTTGTTACCCTAGCTCCTAGCATAGCCCATGGCACACAGGATGAGGCTGATGAACCTGCTAAACTAAACTCACTTGCAATCTGGAAGGAAAAGTGACAGTAAGTAAGCTCCCTGTTGGCCAGGCCACACATAGCTGCCTTTGTCTTTTCTTTCTCCCACCCTCCAGAAAGCTTGTACACACTCAACGTTTTTGTTCTTGCTAAAGGACTGTCACAAAACGATGGCAGATGTAATTCTGAATGGTTCTGTTTGCAGAAACTCCTCTCACCTGGGGCTGCAAGATGGACAGAAGCAAATGCCTCGCCACTAATTAGACCGCTTTGTGAGAAACGAGAGTGAAAGAAATGGGGAAGGAAGGAACCTGGAGAGTCCCTGGATAGTCCCATGCAGAGAGCTTTAGGCTCGACTTACCAGGATCTGCTCGAGGAAGTGCTTGCTGTTGCTCAGGCAGTAGAAAAAGGTCACTTTCCAAGCCTGCGCTGAGTCAGGGTTGGAGAACACAGCTAGCATCACCCGCTCGGGATCTGCATGATCTGGGGAGACCGAACATCAAACCAGATAGGGTTGCTGGGAAACCAAGAGTTCTTCTTTCCTAAGCCAGTGCCCATCTGACAAACCAACTGCAGGGTTGATATCTGGTCTAGTGGTTAAGACATACACCGGCATCTCATAGCAGCGTGCTGGGGTCAGGGTCCTGGCTCTGCTCCTGATGCCAGCTTCCTGTCAATGAGCACCTTGGGACGCATCAAGTGACTGGATTCCTATCATTCACATGGGAGACCCGGATTGGGTTCCTGACTCCCTAGCTCAGCCCTGGGAGTGAACCAGCAGATGGCAACTCTCTCTCTCTGTCCCTTTCTCAAATAAGTAAAAATTACATTAAAAAACAAAACAAAACAACAACAACAAATTGAGATAAGAGTTTGCTCTTTAAACACTTAATTCAAGATCTCTACATTTTATCTTAAAGACTCTTCTTTCAACCTGCTATTGCTGTCACTTTATTTTCCCCCATCGCCCCTGTCTTACACTAGGAATCTGTGCTTTTACAAAAGAACATCTTTGGGCCAGCATCGTGGTACACTAGGTTAATCCTCCACCTGTGGCACCGGCATGCCAGATGGGTGCCGGTTCTAGTCCCGGCTGCTCCTCTTCCAGTCCAGCTCTCTGCTGTGGCCCAGGAGGGCAGTGGAGGATGGCCCAAGTGCTTGGGCCCTGCACCCGCATGGGAGACTGGGAGGAAGCACCTGGCTCTGGCCGTTGCAGCCACTTGGGGAGTGAACCAACGGAGGGAAGACCTTTCTCTCTCTCTCTCTCTCTCTCTCTCACTGTCTGTAACTCTGCCTGTCAAATAAATAAATAAAATCTTTAAAAACAAACAAACAAACAAAAGAACATCTTCTCCATTTTTCTTGGCTTCTGCTGTTAGATGTCCTGAGTGACATGGGAGGTGCCTGTCCAGAGGCACTTCAGAAAGGCTGGGCACCCTGGAATCACCGAAAGACCAGGAGAAGCAGCGAAGGAAACCCACCTTTTCCTGAGGCTGTGGTCCTCAGTGGCTTCTCTGTGACCTTCTCCGCATACGTATGGCCGTACAGGGACACCAGGCCCCGACCAGCCTTGTGCAGCAGGCAGCTGAGCAGCTGCTCCTCCCGCAGGGGACTCCCCTCGGTCCTGCAGGCCTCCAGTAGTTCCTCGCACAGGAGACGCAACTCAGCCCCGGGCGGCTCTGCAGGGCAGCGCAGAGTCCGCAGTGCTCCATAGATGGCATCCACCACACCAGGAGGCCCGGAGACAGGGCCTCGCAAAGTCCGCAGTGCCTTGCGAATGAGGTCCACCAGTGCCTCCTGCAGAGGCCAGTGCCAGAGGCCAGTGCTGTCACCCTCCCCCAGCAGGAGCTCCAGCAGGGCCTGCGCTGGCTGGGGAGCCTGCCTCAGAAGGTCCCAGAGCACAGAGACAGCTTCGCAGCTGAGCCGAGGCGTCTGGCTCGCCCACCTCTGCTTTCCATCAGGGCCAGGGCCCACTGCGCCTTGTGCTAGGGTCTCATACAGCTCCTGGACAGGGATGAAGACAGGAATGGCGGTGGGCATTTTCAGAAAGGTATCACTTGTATGTGGTGCTGGTGTCCTCTTTCCCAGCCTACACATGCATAATGATGGCAGGAGAGGACAGTTCTGTGGTCGTTACTCTGGGCCAGACACTGTTCTGGGTCCTTTGCACAGACCTACCGAACTGATCCTTGCAACAACATTAAGAGGAAGATTCTACCATTATCCCTATTTTACAAATGAAGAGACTGAAGTTTCAGAAAGATGAACTCAACTGCCCAAGGCCTCCAGGCTCAACCTAGTTCCGGCCCACTGTCTCTGAAATATACACTGGTGGCCTGAATTGGGCCTGCACACTCACAGACCAGGCAGGTCCAACAGTATGCCTAAAGGCATTTATATATTCAATTTTTAAAAGAATATCACACACTAGTTTTTAACCCCAATTTAAATCTTAGCCATATATTTTATGGTATAGGTCATATCTATAAAACCTTATTCTATAAAACCTTCTGTTATGGTTTGAATGTGTTCCCCAAGAAGTTCACATCTTGGAAACTTAATCGCCAAATTTACATGAATGGTATTTGGAGGTGGTGCCTTGGGAGTTAACTAGGATTAGATGAGGTCATGAGGGTGGGATTCCCCTGATGGCACTGGTGGTTTTAAAAGGAGAGACCTAAACTTGTACAACAGCTCATGCCCTGTTATGTGATACCCTCCACCATGTTATGACGTAGCAAGATGACCCTGATCAGATGCCAAGCAGAGGCCAGAGCCATGCTCTCGAACCTCCCAGCCTTTAGACCTATGAACCAAATAAACCACTGCTCTTTATAAATGACCCGGTCTGTGATATTCAACCATATAGCAACAGAAAATGGACTAAGCCACTTCCCCAATACCTCTAATCCTTAAAATTAGTTCATGCAGTTTAGCACATAATTGTCTCATGTGTGTATTTGTCCCTTCTTTTCAGCTGTACCATAAGCCCGTAAAAACCAGAACCTCTACAACGTATACTCTGTTTGCAGGGTGAGGGTTGAGGGAGAAAGGGGGGTGGGGAAGCAGGTTATTTCCCACAAGTTAGCATCATTCCCATACATGGTTTTCAGGGACATCTCTTCATTAACTGACTCAGAGATGGACACAATACCATGTGTCCTTGACTTAATTCGAGTGAAAGTCCTCACTTAAAATTCTAATATAGGGGCTGGCATTGTGGCATAGTGGGTAAAGCCATTGCCTGAAATGCTGGCATCCCATATGGGTGCTGTTTCTTGTCCTGGCTGTTTCCTTTTTTTTTTTTTTTTTTTTTTTTTCCCACAGAGTGGACAGTGAGAGAGAGACAGAGAGAAAGGTCTTCCTTTACCGTTGGTTCACCCTCCAATGGCTGCTGCGGCTGGCACACTGCGCTGATCCAAAGCCAGGAGCCAGGTGCTTCTCCTGGTCTCCCATGCGGGTGCAGGGCCCAAGCACCTGGGCCATCCTCCACTGCACTCCCGGGCCACAGCAAAGAGCTGGCCTGGAAGAGGGGCAACTGGGACAGAATCCAGTGCCCTAACTGGGACTAGAACCCGGTGTGCCGGCGCCACAAGGCGGAGGATTAGCCTATTGAGCCGCAGCGCCGGCTTTGGTTCCACTTCTGATCCAGCTCCCTGCTAATGAACCTGGGAAAAGCAGCAGAAGATGGTCCAAGTGTTTGGGTCTCTGCCACTCATGTGGGAGACTCAGATGAAGTTCCTGGCTCCTGGCTTTGGCCTGGCCCAATCCTGGTTGTTGTGGTCATCTGGGGAGTGAAATAACAGATGGAAACTCTCTGTTTCTTCTTTCTTTTTAACTCTTTCAAATAAATAAATCTTTTAAAAATCCTCCTGTAAATATGTCTTTTTTTAAAAAAAGATTTTATTTACTTATTTGATAGGTAGTTACATACAGAAAGAGGGAGAGATAGGTCTTCCACCCACTGGTTCACTCCCCAAATGGTTGCCATGGCTGGAACTGGGCCAATCCAAAGCCAGGAGCCAGGAGCTTCTTCTGAGTCTCCCATGCAGGTGCAGGGGCCCAAGCACTTAGGCCATATTCTACCGCTTTCCCAGGCCATAAACAGAGCTGGATAGGAAGAGGAGCAGCTGGGACATGAACCGAACTGGCGCCACCATTTGGGATGCCAGTGCCGCAGGCAGAAGCCTAGCCTACTATGCCAAAGGGCTGGCCCTGTAAATATGTCTTTAATTAACTAATGGCTGGCTCATTAAGAAAAGAGCATTGAGCCTCAGGGCATACTGCAGGCCCTTAAGTGGTCAGTGATACTTGCTATAGACACATAGTTAAGACTGAGTTTGAATTTGCTCCCAGAAACTGGTTGTGAGGATCAACTATATCGTATTCAGTGCCTCTGTTACAGAGAAGCTGTTCAACAAATATTAGTGCCTTTCTCCCTTCACATTCCCTGCTGTCTACTGGTAAAGCCAACACTTTAGTTTAAATCTAAGTTATGGGTTCCTTCTACATGAAATGAGAAATATCTTTAATCCCTAGCTAAAGTATTCTGGATAACCCAACTCAAAATGTTAAAATCATATAAATGTACTCCAACTCTACACTTCCCTTAGAGGGGCCTCCACCTTGCCTTGCCTCAGCAAAGTACAGGTAACATCTTCCAGGGTCCTGGGTCCCAGGAAGCTGGGCAAACTGAGTGACTCCAACCCTGGGCCAATGGCCCCTTGAGGGCCCTCTCACCTTGAGGATGTTCTCTGGAATGTCACCTTGGAGGTCTTCAGACAGTAAAAGAAACTCAAGCTTTCTTCGGAAAAAAACTGGGAGTAATTTCTAGAAGAATCATAAGAAGGAAGCACAGAGATTAGGCATATACTTTAGTGAACAAAGTATAAGTAAATATTTCTCTCCAGTTAGTCAGATTTCCACAGTTTCTCTAAGATAAAATACTCTTAACCACTCAATTCCTGGGTATGTTCTGAGATACTTTCTTTATAAACAAAACCAGCTAATTGTGTCCATAACACTCTTCTTTGATACTTGTTTGGTCCCAACCTTCTTTTTGATATTCATTATCCTTTGCAGTCTAGTTGGAAAGGAAAAGTGTGAGGAATACAAAGTTTATTAAACATTTATTATATGCCACTATGTGCTATATATTTTTAATCTTTTTTTTTTTAAGATTTGTTTATATATTTGAAAGACAGTGTGACAGAAAAGGAGAGGGAGGGAGAGAGCAAAGAGAGATCTTCTGGGGCTGGTGTTGTGGCCTAGAAGGTTAAGCCTCTGCCTGCAATGTCAGCAACCTGTATATAGGGCACTGGTTTGAGACCAGGTTGCTCCACTTCCAGTCCAGCTCCCTGCTTATGTGCCTGAGAAAACAGAGGAAGATGGCTCAGTGCTTAGGCCTCTGAACTCAGATGGGAGACGTGGAGGAAGCTCCAGACTCCCAGCTTTGGCTTGGCCCAGCCCCGGCTGTCATGGCCAGTTGGGGAGTGAACCAGAGGATGGAAGATCGATCTCTCTCTCTCTCTCTGTCTCTCCTCCTCTCTCTCTAACTCTGCCTTTCAAATAAATGAAAATAAATCTTAAAAAAAAGGGAAAAATCTTCCAATGGTTGGTTCACTCCCCAAATGCTTGCAGCAGCCAAGGCTAAGCCAGACTGAAGCCAGGAACTCCAACCAGGTCTTCTATGTGGATGGCAGATACTCAAGCATTTGGGCCATTATGCGCTGTCTCCAGGCACATTAGCAGGAAGCTGGGTCAGGATTTGAACCAGGTACTCTGACATGTGATATGGTGTCCCAAGCAGTGGCTTAACCAGCTGTGCCACAATGCCTGCCCATCATTTCATTTCTAAATCAAACAAACCTGGAGCACATAGCTCTGCATTTTCAAAACAAAATTTTGGTAGAGGTGAAATGGTTAGGAAGCCTTTCCCAATTGTTTCAAACATCAAAATGAAAATAGGATCCCGATGTTTGCTAACGAGACATCCACAAGCACAGAGACAGAGAATGCTTCTGACTTCCTGCACTGGTCTGCTTCACAGGAACTTCCTTTCACTTGCTCCTTAAACCTCCATTAGTCTTCCTTCTTCCAGCCACAGATAAATAGGATTAGAGTTCGGGACTGATCCTGACAAATACTACTTTAAATCAGAGATATCTGTAACTAGAGAGGCTTCTGGTTAAAGCTTCCCAAAGATGAGTTTTACTGGAAGGCAAGGAGTACCTGCAGGAAGGGGAGGCGGGGAGAAAGAGGAGGGAGGGGGGGTAGGGGGAGAGAGAGAGAGAGAGAGAGAGACAGAGAGAGACAGAGAGTCTGTGATGGGGTGGGAAGTTTAGAACACAGGATCATACTTCCTCCATTGATGTGCCATTCACCACACCAGATTATTAACCTGCTCTAATGCATTCTGGGTCTAAAACCTTATTTCTTCTCACCATGCCCCTCCCTATTAAAGGACACACCACCACATGAGAATGCTAGTATACTGCCTGTGATAGGAAGCTGGTGGAAGAAATCCATTCTGGGAAGCTTAAGGTTAGGAATTCTAATGAGGATTAAGAGAAAACAGAGATCTCCAATTTTAAGGTTTGTAAGTAGCCTTTTTTTTTTTTTTAAGATTTTAAGGTTTGATCTAGAAATCTAAAGACTGAATAGCTTGGGGGCTGGCACCATGGCTCACTGGGTTAATCCTCTACCTGTGGCGCCGGCATCCCATATGCGCACCGGGTTCTAGTCCTGGCTGCCCCTCTTCCAGTCCAGCTCTCTGCTGTGGCCCGGGAGGGCAGTGGAGGATGGCTCAAGTGCTTGGGCGCCTGCACCCGCATGGGAGACTGGGAAGAAGCACGTGGCTCCTGGCTTTGGATCGGCACAGCGCCGGCCATAGCGGCTATTTGGGGAGTGAACCAATGGAAGGAAGACCTTTCTCTCTGTCTCTCTGTCTATAACTCTACCTGTCAAATTAAAAAAAATAAAAAGACTGAATAGCTTAAATTTCTTACCAGTGACATTATTAATTTTTTAAAAATTTTGTTTATTTGAGTGGTAGAGTTACAGACAGTGAGAGGGAGAGACAGAGAGAAAGGCCTTCCTTCCAAAGGGACAAATATCATATGCTTTCCCTGATCTCTGACAACCGAGCACTTAAAAGGAAACCTGTAGAAGTGAAACTGACACTATGAGAAGCAATGACTTGATCAGCCCTTGTCCTGACTGTCACGGAACAGCTTACTATTTTATTCTTTTTATTATTTTCTTTTTCTACTTAATACCATTGGTTAACTCTTCACTTAAGACAGAATTATTCTTAGGTGTTTATATCCAATTGAAAATTGAACCCTGTTAAAAATAAGAGAGGGAATAAGAGAAGGAGGAGATGTACAGTTCGGCACATGTTTCCTCAGACTTACCCCTAAGGGTAATGTTAAAAACTTGCCATGGGACTCCAAATCCCATTAAGTTGGCAAGTTCCAATGCCATCTTACTAGTTAAAGTGATTAATTTAAGTTCATAACTGATCATAAAAATAGGATTAAGTGATAAAGGAGTCACATGAATAAGACCAGGTGTCTGCTAATAATAACTGATAGAATTAAAAAGGAGAGAACGATCCAACATGGGAAGCAGGCGACACAGCAGACTCACAGAATGACAAATGCCCTAAACAGCACTCTGGCCTCAGAATCAGCCCTTAAGGTATTTGGATCTGGCTAAAAAGCCCATGAGAGCATTTCAGGCATGGAAAGCCAAGGCACTGTGGCAAAATATGACCTAAATGAAATTTCTCTGTGAGTGAAATCCCAGTGGAAAGAAGGAGCCATCAAAGAAGGAGGTACCTTTCTCTGAAGGGAGGAGAGAACGTCCACTTTGCTTATGGCCCTGTCTAAATAATGTCGAAATTTGTGGACTCAAAGGGGTTCCATAGCTTGGCAGCTCATGACAAGAGCCTTGAGTGATCACTGACATCATAAATAAGAGTGTCAACTGTTAAATCAACAACTTGCTCCCCATGTAGGACCTCTGTTCTTAATGTGTTGTACTATGAGATTTAGTGGTAAAACTAGTCTTCAAACAGTACTTTAGACTTTGTGAATCTGTGTGGGTGCAAACTGTTGAAATCTTTACTTAGTACAGAGTTGATCTTCTATATATAGATAACTAAAAATGAATCTTAGTGAAGAATGGGATGGGAGAGGGAGTAGGAGGTGGGATGGTTTGGGGGTGGGAGGGCGGGTATGGGAGGAAGAACCGCTATAATCTAAAAGTTGTACCTATGAAATTTATATTTATTAAACAAAAGCTTTCTATATAAAAAAAAAGAAAATCAGGGTAAAGTTAACTCTTTTAAGAAAGTGATTCTTCTGAGTATAAAGTGGATTAATAATGTAGAGTTTACTAACACAGTGCATGGTGCCTACTAAGCCCTGAGTACATGTTAACTACTAGAAGCTTTACTACTGGTGTTTAAATCCTGGTGAGAAACAAAGACTTGCGCTGAAATGTAAGGGCTTTATGGCAAAGACTAGGAAGTAAAGGTAACAGAAGATAAAGTATTAGGACAATAGTAAAAATAATCCTGGGTGCTTTGACAACATTCTGAGGTTCTTATATAGCTTTCACTTCCATTTCCTCATGGGATCCTGATAACGATCTCGTGCAGCAGAAATTCCCCTTTTATTAGGAGAGGAACCAAAGCTCAGAAATGATCAAAGACTTTCTGGAGGACGTGAAGCTGTGAAATGCCGAAGTGCAGAGCATCTAAATCCTAGTGCAGGCCAAGGGTACAGTGTGGTAATTAGGGCTCCTGAGTCAGAATGTTGGGTTAAAATCCCAGGGATACTGATGAGTGCTGGGGTAAAGTTGGCAAACCGGTTCCCCTCTGAGCTTTAATTTCTTCCCTAATTCAGCAGGGATAATAACAGTGCTTACCTCATTGGGTTTTGTAAAGAGTAAATGGAATAATCATAAAAATCTGAGATTAAAACAAAAAACAAAACAAAAAAATAGCAAGGCACAAGGGCAAGCATTTGCTGCCGTGGTTACAGTGGGATGGATTGAATTCCTGGCCTGGCCCAGCTCCAATGTTGTAGGCATTTGGGGAGTCAGTCAGTGAATGGGAGATCTCTATATGTCTCTCTCTGCCTTTCAAATCCGTAAATTAAATTAATAAATCAATTAACGAAGATTTCTTTTGAAAAAGCAAAGTATGTTCAATGTAGAAACATTAGAATATGGAACTAAGAAAACTAAATATGTAGATCATCATTTTCCCACTGAAGAACTTTTAATTCTATGGTCTAAGGATCTGAGACCATTTTCTTTGCATATCTATTCATATATATATCAAAAGTACTCTTTACTAAACTGCTTTTTTCCTGCTACATAGCAGAGCATAAGCATCCTGAAAATTCACTTGCCGCATACAGTTGGATAGTGGCACAGTATTTTACAAATAGATCTACTGCCATTTGTTAACCGGTCCTGTATCACAGACATTGATTTGTTTCCAGTTTTTCTCTATTAGAAGCAGACTAGCAATGAACATCTCTATAGCTTAATCTTTGCACACTTGCTTATGCAGGCTGAGAGAACGCACTACAAGATAAAAAGGCTGAAGGCAAAAGTGAATAAAGGAGGGGCAGGCAACTGGCACAGTGGCTGTATCCCATACTGGAGTGCCAAGGTTTGAGCCCTGGCTGCTAAATCCACCTGCTGCTGCTGTTGCTTCTCTTTCTCGTTTTAAAAGATTTATTTATTTATTTGAAAGTCAAGAGTTAGAGAGAGGGAGAGATAAAAGTATTCCACCCATTAGTTCACACCTCAGATGGCCACAGCAGCCAAGGTTGGGCCGGGCTGAAGCCAAAAGCTTCTTCCAGGTCTCCCACATGGGTACAGGGACCCAAGCATTTGGGCTATCCTGTGCTGCTTTCTCAGGCCATTAGCCGGGAGCTGTATCAGAAGTGGAGCAGCTGGGAACTGAACCGGTGCCCAAAGGAGATGCTGTCGTCCCAGATGGTAACTTTACCTGCCATGCCACAACAATGGTCACCATCATCTTTTTCATACACTGTGGGAGACAGCAGTGACAGCAGTGATGGCTCAACTGGTTGTGTTCCTGCTACCTACATGGGAGTCCTGGATTGAGTTTCAGGTTCACATGTTTGGCCTGGTCCAGCCCCAGTTGTTGCAGGCATTTGAGGAGTGAACCAACAGATGGGAGAGCTCTCTCTATCACTGTTGTCTTTCTGCCTTTCAAATCAAAAAAAAAAAAAAAAAAAAGAAAAAAAGAAAAAAAAAGATGTTTTTGGCAGACGTTGGCAATCTGGAAAATCTGGAAAAGACAGGCAACCAGGAAATTCCCAGAAGAAAAGGGTTCCTCTAGGATAACGTCTGGCCTTGTAGAGCCCATCAGAGAAGATGCACAAAGTCTCGGGACTCATCACACTTTAAAATTCTCCGAGGAGCACAAAATATTCCCACAACTGTTACAATAAGCAAGGCACTGGAGATCTGATAGGTCAGGAAAAACAAGAACAACTCTTAGTCTAGGCTGAGGATCCAGAGAAGTGAAGTCCACCGCCTGATGGGGTTGAGCAACCACACAGAATGGAAGCCACCAATCAGGCATAAAGTAAGCAAGCAGCCTCCTCTTGAGGCAAAGTTCATTTGGTTTGACACATTCCACGTTTGTACTAGGGAGATCCTTAATCAGTAACAAAATCTGTCTCCTTGAAGGTTCTGTGGTATTACAATTTGAGCTCAAGTTTCCTCTATTAAATCTGAAACCACAGCTAGCGCTCAGTTATCTCGTGTGTCACTGATTTTCAGTCTTGCTTTTCTTTCTTTCCTCTCTGGCAAGTCTTCTTGTCATTTCTCTTTGCTATACACTTGGCTGAAGCCTGAGTAAGTGATACAGTTAGATCAGTAATTTCTGTGAGTTTCTGAGAGCCATGAGGCTACTTCAGAAAGCTTGGGGAGACAATGAAGTTTGTTATGGTACAAAACATTTTTTGAAATCCATGCTTACAAGGGGTCTTCAAAAGGTTCATTAAAAATGCATATTACAAAGAAATGATGCACAGATTTCAAAATTTTTATGCCCAAGTAAACTTATTTTTTAGTTCTATTTTTTCATGTACTTTTTGAAATCCCTTCATGTGTGAAGAATAAATGTTATGCAGACATGGAACTAAAGACAAAATGGATTCTGATGGACTAAGGGAAGCAAAAACAACAAAAAATCGGCAACATTATGGACATTTAAAAAACAGAATTTGAAGTGTTTTACTTTAAGTCCATACGGGCTAAAAAAAGGATGCTGAGGTAGAAACCGCAGAGGACTGGGAGTCAGGAGACCCTGGTTTCAGTTCCAGTTCTGCTGTATTACTTAACAGGATGCTCTTGGGCAGGTCATTTCTACTCTGAGTCAAAAGTTCCTGACTTAATCATAAGGTCTCAGGTTCAGCATGAAATTGTCTCTGAGAAACTCCTTTAGTGAATATCAGTTCCTGATGATTAACATATAGTTCTAAAAGGGCTTATAGTGGAAATTTTTCTTTAAAATAAAAAGCATGGGGCTGGCACTGTGGCAGGTAAAGCCGCTGCCTGCAGCACCGGCATCCCATATGGGTGCCGGTTCGTGTTCCGGCTGCTCCACTTCCGATCCAGTTTCCTGCTGTGCTTCCTCCAGGTCTCTCACGTGGGTGCAGGGGCCCAAGCACTTGGGCCATCCTGCACGGCCTTCCCAGGCCACCGCAGAGCTGGATTGGAAGTAGAGCAGAAAGGACTTGAAGTGGCGTCCACGTGGGATGCTGGCATTGTAGGCAGCATTCTTCACCCACTATGCCACAATGCTGGCCCCTCAGTGGCATCCTAACAATTATGCCAAATCCCTGTCTCAATCTCTATGATTCCACAGTTGGTAACTTTCATGTGAATTCTTAAGTTACTCTTTAGTGGAGCTTAAAGCTATATGAGGGCCAGCACTGTGGTATAGTGGGTAGGGCCACTGCCGGCAGTGCCAGCATCCCGTGTAGGCGCTGGTTCAAGTCCCAGAGGCTCCACTTCCAATCTAGCTCTCTGCTATGGCCTGGGAAAGCAGTAGAAGATGGCCCAATTCCTTGTGCCCCTATACCCACGTGGGAGACCTAGAAGAAGCTCCTGGCTTCTGGCTTCAGATTGGTGCAACTCTGGTCATTGTGGCCATCTGGAGAGTGAATCAGCAGAGGGAAGACCTCTTTCCCTCTCTCTCTCTCTGCCTCTACCTCTCTCTAACTCTGCCTTTCTAATAAACAAACATTAAAAAAAGACATATGATTTCACTATATTGGATAATGAAAATAAACTTGTTAGAAGGAAAACTAAGTATCAGATCAGCCCATTCTTTTATTTGGGTGTTGACCAGATCCCAATGCTATGGGCTCATATTATTATTTACTATCTTGTCACTTTTTTTTTTTTTTTTTTTTTTTTTTTTTTTTTACAGGCAGAGTGGATAGTGAGAGAGAGAGAAAGGTCTTCCTTTTGCCGTTGGTTCACCCTCCAATGGCCGCCACGGCTGGTGCGCTGCGGCCGGCGCACTGTGCTGATCCGATGGCAGGAGCGAGGTGCTTATCCTGGTCTCCCATGGGGTGCAGGGCCCAAGCACTTGGGCCATCCTCCACTGCACTCCCTGGCCACAGCAGAGAGCTGGCCTGGAAGAGGGGCAACCGGGACAGAATCTGGTGCCCCAACTGGGACTAGAACCCGGTGTGCTGGTGCCGCAAGGCGGAGGATTAGCCTAGAGAGCCACGGCGCCGGCCACTATCTTGTCACTTCTACAGAGTTCTGCAAAGTTCCCTTCAGGCACAAGACTCGTCGTTGTATTTAACAAAATGGAATCACCTTAAATGGTATTAAATGCCAATGTTTGTTAGTGAAATAATGAATTAATGTAAGGAGACAGCAATAAAAACTTAAGCACTTCTCACTGTCAGTACTGAGAAGAGTATGACCAATTTCATAACAGAGGAAGTGCCAGACAGAAGGGAAATCTCATAACTACTTCTCAGTCCTGGCCTCGGGAAAATGTAAAAGCCAAATTGCTTACCTTTTCCTGGGCCAACCATTTTTCCAATACAAGAAGCCAGAACCATGCTAATCTTTGAGGGTTAATATCTTGGCCACACCTGAAAAAGGTGAAAAAAAAACTTTGTAAGAAAGAATTCTACTGACCTTTTCTTGTTGTCCATGGTTTATGCTTCACTGCTCAGTCTATTTTAAATCTGAACAAGCAAGTTCTAATGAGAAATTTCAGAAGTATATGACAGTTCAATAAAACATTACAACCAGGACAAAGCTACTGGCCTTCATTAAAGGGAAAAAAAAAAAAAAGATCTCACCGAGATGGAGCTCCTGGCTCCTGGCTTTGGCCTAGCTCAGCCTGGGCCACTGTGGCCATTTGGGAGGTGACCTGGTGGATGGAAAATTTCTCTCTCTGTCCCTCCCTCTTTCTCTGTAAATCTTTCAAATAAATAAGTCTTAAAAAACAGGTCTCTATCCCTCCTTTACTCCCCTATCTGGTCTATTTTTAAATAAAATATACAGAAAAATCCATAATAGTTGATGCTATTTAAAATATATTATTGAATAGAAACCAAATCAGTCTTAAAGGGAAAAGGAATTTTATTTTAGAAAGTTCTAAAAGATTTATTTATTTATTTACTTGAAAGGCTGAGTGATGTGGCGGGGGTGGGGGGAGAGACAGAGACATAGAGAGAGAGATCTTCCATCTGCTGGTTCACTACCCAGATGCTCCCAACAGCTGGGGCTGTGACAGGTCAGCTAGAAGCCAGGAGCCTGGAAACTCCATCTGGGTCTCCCACATGGACGGCAGGAACCCAATCACCTGGGCCAGCATCCTACCCTTCCAGATGCATTAGCAGGAAGCTGGGTAGGAACCGTCTTGAAGTGGCACCCCAGTGTGGGATGTTTAATCTGCTGTGCCACAATGCCTGCCCCATTAAAAAAAAAAAAAAAAAAACTTTTAAAAATATGTACTGAAAATAGGGTTATAAAAATTCTTAAGATTTTCTTTGAAGTTAGAAATTTAGACAATAACTAATTAGAACCCAAACGTAAGAGAGAAAAATAAGCTAAAAGAAGGAATCATTTAAGTTTCTCTAGTCCATATGTGCTAACACAGAACTTACACGGTATAACAGAACAGTCAAAGTAAGGACTAGCCAGGGAAAGGCTAAAATAGTGAATGTGACTCCCAAACCACTAGTTGTTAATAGCACTGCTTGTTATCAATCTAGGATGGAGAACTGTGGTTGCCAGGAGACAAAAGGGATTGTAGCGCAAAGACGAAGAGGGAGCACAAGCAAGTGAGGCAGTTCTTTTGTGGTGATGGAACATTTCTGTGTCTTTATTACAATTGGATTGCATGAATCTATGTATGGACAGAACTATATAGAACTGCAAATAAAAAATAGATGAAGATTTTTTTTTTTTTTGACAGGCAGAGTGGACAGAGAGAGAGACAGAGAGAGAAAGGTCTTCCTTTTGCCGTTGGTTCACCCTCCAATGGCCGCCGCTGCAGCCGGCGCACCGCGCTGATCCTGGCAGGAGCCAGGAGCCAGGTGCTTTTCCTGGTCTCCCATGGGGTGCAGGGCCCAAGCACCTGGGCCATCCTCCACTGCACTCCCTGGCCATAGCAGAGAGCTGGCCTGGAAGAGGGGCAACCGGGACAGAATCCGGCGCCCCGACCGGGACTAGAACCCGGTGTGCCGGCGCCGCAAGGTGGAGGATTAGCCTATTGAGCCACGGCGCCGGCTTAGATGAAGATTTTTTAAAATGATGAAAACCAAGTGAGGTTTGTAGTGTGGTTAGCAGTAATACACCAATGGTAATTAGTTGGTTTTGCTACTGTATTTCAATGTCATAATCAGGGAAGTTAGGAAAGAGTATAGTGGACTCCATTATTTTTTGCAATGTCTTGCGAGTCTATAATTGTTTCAAAATAAAAAGTTGCCAGGAGGGCATTTGGCATAGTGGTTAAGATGTCCCTTGGGATGCCCACTCAAATACTTGGGTCCCAGCCACCTACATGGCAGACTTGGAATACGTTCTTTGCTTTGGCTGGCCCAGCCCTGGCTGTTGTGGGCATCTGAGGAGTGAATCAGAGGATGAGAGATCTTTCAGTTTCTGCCTTTCAAATAAATAATGAAAATAAATAAGTAAAAAATTTAAAACTAACAAAAAAATTTAAAAAGTTGTAAAGAATTCACTTTTCTTTGCTAAAGTTACAGCATTAGCAATAAACTCATAAGGAAGAAGAGAGCAGGGTGTGCCTTTTTTCTTTTCTTTCTTTTTTTTTTTTTTTTGGAAGGCAAAGAAAATGCATTTCAAAGCAACTCCCCCATCCACTTCAAATGACAAAACAAAAAGGTGGTTTCAGGCACCTTCTGGTGGCCAGGCTCAAATCCAGTTCCGTGTGATAGCCTCAAGCCAAGGCTGACTAAGTAATGGGCCGTTTCACACATGGGAGATACACTCTGCTTCTGCTAATTCTTCAGAGGGGCGCTTGATCAGAGCCCCAGTATCCAAGAGGTGTCTCCTGCCCTGTGACTCCCTGGCAAGACGGGAGGAGAGTCCTTACCTCAGCAGATTTGGACACACCACCAGCGCCTGAAGTATGTCTTCTACCCTCTTGGGGACATCCCCTTGTCCCTCGTGCAGTTGAGGTACGCATGCCCGTGCCAGCTCCCAGTCTCCTCTCCGCAGGCACTCACAAAAAAATCCAAAAAGCTGTTTCTGGGAAGCAGCTTCCTCTTTTCCAAAGGGATGACTCATTTTTCCCAGCACAGAGTGCAGGGAGATTAAGGGATGAGTTACGCCAAACACATTTTCAATGTTCTCATTCGTGGAGTACCTCCTAGAAACAACGCACACACGAGAGTCAGAGCGGAAGGAACTCCATTTAGACAAACCAGGAATTACTGGCCTGCCTGGGGAAAGGCACCGTTCACTTTCCTCATTACCGTTTTAAGTTTAACTTGACACGCTACTATGTCTTTTTGAGAACAGCTACTTTCTCCAAGGGGTGGATCCCGCCTCTCTGCGAGCATACTTATATTGAATAATATTAATCGTTTTATTAGCCTGAGGCACAGACCTGCAACCCCATTTCCGTAATCCCTCCTCAACTTTATGCGCAGTCTGGCTCCGGATCCCCAGGTGGTCGCCTCCGTAAGCAGGAGAAATAAAGCAGGGACCTCACCAGGTTGACCCTCCCGTTAAGGCAGAGGACTGAAAATCAGGAGAGGCGTCTGTATCAAAACTGGAGAGAGGTGGAGGGGGTGGGGCGCAGGGACGCTCCCCAGCGAGGGTCTTGGGGTGCGCTCCCGCTTGCTCAGGGTGTCTGACACTCACCTGTTACCGGCGCCCAAAGAAACAGAGCTCTCAGCGCAGCCATGTTTGAGCCCAGTCAGGTGACCGCATCCAGCTCGGTAAGGTGGTGTGGGGGCGGTGGTGACGACTGAGATCGCCACTCCTATTGGCCGAATAGAGCAAAAATGCAAATAAGGTGCCATATTTGTTTGAATCACGTGACTTAGCCTCTTAAGACCACGGAACTCTAAGAAGCTCAGATCTACGGCGGTACGAAACTGTCCTCTCTATCAGTCCTGACTTGGCTGAGCAGGTGGAAGGGAGAACTGAGTCTTTTCGTTTTATTTTTTCTCTTTTCACCCCTAGCATTTGAAGCCAACTTTTAGCACCGAGTAGGGACATGGCTTGGCCAGGCTCTGGGGACACCCAGAGGCAGGAGACCTGGGTGCTCTTTCCATATTCTTCTGTCAACTCGGCGCTCTTATAATCCTGAACTCTGCAATCTGAATTCCGTTCGTCTTCTGCTTCATTCTATGCTTTTATTTGCTCTGTCACCCGACCACTGTTAAGTGAACGGTGTATTAGGCAAGTTGAATAATAGGCGGACCCTCTCCTCAAGGTGGGGGGTGCGGGCCAATAATTAAGACACAGTAGGCTGGGCGGGCGCCCTGGCTCACTTGGTTAGTCCCCCTCCTGTGGCGCCAGCATCCCATATGGGCCCTGGTTCTAGTCCCGATTGCTCCTCTTCCAGTCCAGCTCTCTGCTGTGGCCCGGGAGTGCAGTAGAGGATGGCCCAAGTGCTTGGGCCCCTGCACCCACATGGGGGACCAGGAGGAGGCGCCTGGCTCTGGCTTCGGATTGGTGTAGCCCTGGCTGTAGCGGCCATTTGGGGGGTGAACCAATGTCTCTCTCTCTCACTGTCTATAACTCTACAAAAAAAAAAAAAAAAAAAAAAAGACACAGTAGGCTAAATGATAGGTATACACAAGGGGAGACATGGGCAAAGGCTTTTCACAAATGTCATCGTCTGAAACCAAGGCTTAAAGCAATGATTTATAGATTTCTTCATCATAGCTGCCTTCCCATCAAATTTTGTTTGGTTTTGATGGTCTTCTTCAATTACAATTCTGTTTTCCCTAGTATGTTTGTTTCAGTTTGAGCAATGTCTTTAAGTATTTCCAAAAAATGATTTTGTCTCCAAAAAGGCGGTGAGAAAAGCAAATTAAAACAAACAGAAAGCTCACTTCCAAAAACTTCTATGGCAGGTGGTTGTCATTTATTTCCTAGAAAACTTAGAAGATTTTGTGGTTCATCAGAAAATTTTTAAGTAGTGTTCCAAGAAAGAAAGGAGAAAATGCCAAGCGAAGGTTTCTCACGCGTCACACTCTCCTTGATAATCTCCCTAGCTCCCAGCGGATTTTGGTAATCACCCAAACTGACTTGGGTTCCCAGCTAGTAGGCCGATTCTAGAGCGCGAACTACATTTCCCAGCAAGCAGCGGAAGCAACCCGGGCCAGTGTCTGTTTCTGATTGGACAGGATCCGAGGGGGGCGACCCAACCACTGCCCCGCTTGTTGCTTTCCGGCTCTTTCCGCGGGAACTCTATGAGGGGCGGGGGCAACTTTGAAAGTTGGATGCTGCAGACCCGGTACTGGACAGTTTGGCGAGTGTGCGTGTGTGCGTGCGTGTGTGCGTGTGTGTGTGTGGAGGGGCAGGTGTGGGGAAGTGGGGCGTCCTCGTTATTTAGTGCTCGCTCCTTGGGCTCGTGGGAACGGGGAGTTTCTCTTGGCACGCCCCCTCCAGCTCCTAGGACTCTTACCAGAGCGCCGCAGCGGATTCGGGACTTCGGGCTTTTTTGGGGATGGGGGAAGATAACGGGAAGCTGCCGTTTGTTGGAGAAAGAAAATCTTAAAAAGTTGGAGGACTCTAGGTGATGTCTTCGCCTGTTGATCCCCAACTTAGCCCGTTTCCTATTTGTCGCAGTTTGGGGATTAAGCAGGGGACTGAGTCAGGAGAGGTTTAGGTTCTGTCCTGCTCCAGGAGGTTAAACAGCGTGGAATCCGGAATCCGGCCCCTGGACTCGAATGTGGGCTCCACTGTCAGCAGCAGCCTGACTTTGCACACGTTTCTCGGCTCAGTGCCCGAGGATTCCAGTGTAAACTATTGGAAGCCTTCGGAACGGTGGCTGGCACGTGAGGAGGCTCACGCAAGATGAGCTGTTATTGTTACTTGACAATTTTCGTTGCACATCTAGCACGAAGATTGTTCTTTTTCTTCGTGGTGGTGGGGGGGAGAGGGTTCTATTTCCAGGGCTGTGAGTATCTTCCCTCACTTCCAATATGCGCATTTACACAGCAGGAATTTGTATGTTCTGGTGGACAAGACAAATCCGCAAGCCGTGATAAAACATTAAGATTCTCCTGCAGATGTGACCAAGTGTGATGAGAACCTTGGAACGGGAGTGGGTGACTCTGGGCAGGCAGTGTGGCGGGGTGGGTGCTTGACGTGCCTGGAGCGCGGGTCCTGTTTGCTGAATGAATCGTTAGTGGTCGTGAGTGCTATGGTTGAGCCCAGTGTGCCTGCCACCACCCCGCAACCCGAGCCCTTATTTCAATCCTGTGTAGTGGGTATTAAGACCATCCTTGTTTTATAGACGGGGAGAGAGGATACCAGGGGGTAAAGTAACTCCCAGGAAGGCTGCGTGGGATCTGAACCTTGCAGTCTGATGTGTGAGTGCCAGGGGAGTGAGGGGTCAGTACGTGAAGGGTTCTTGCGTGATCGAAGGAGTTTGGAATGTATCCTAGTGTCCAGTGGTTCCATGGGAAGGGTTAAAGGATGAACTTGACTTCTGGTAGGATTGTAACTCTGCTGGTGTGAGGCCTGCTCCCACTGCACATTTAAACAGCATTTACATATGTATTGCCTGGCTGTAGTAACTTGTGTCTGTATCTCTTTGTATCTTGACTGGGAATCCCTAAAAGGGAGGGGATCTGTGTGTTTCAGAGATGTCTGTGGAAGGAATAAGTTAAGGCACAAATGAGTGGAGAATGGATTTCTTTCGGTGGGGTGGGGAGTGACAAGGAGCAGTATACAGTAGGTCAGGCAGGTAACAGAGTGGTGCTAGTAAGGCAGAGACGGCAGGAATTGTTACTGTAATTTTAGAATTTACAGTTCTTTATTTCTGATTGAATTTATCAGTTTAGGTGGTGTCGCTGCCCGGTACTAAAAAAACCACTGTGCAATGCTCTAGCAGTTGTCACTTGATCAACCATCTGTTGGGGAAACAGGAATCAATACTAGTGAATTCCTGGGGCGTGCCATTGGCACAGCAGGTACGCCTTCTCTTGGGACACGCGCATCCCATGTTGGAGGACCTGGGTTCCACTCCTGGCAGTGCCCCTTGCTCCAGCTTCCTGCTGATGCAGACTGGGAAGTGGCAGTGATGGCCCCAGGGATCGGCTCCTGTCATCCGTGTGGGAAGCTTGAATTGGACTCCAGTGGATGGAAGCCCTTTCTGCCTCTCAGTGGGTGAACATGTTAGAACACAGTAACAGAAGCTTCCAGATTTCCATGGAGAGGAGTGAGTGAGTTTTGCTCTGATTCTGGGTGCTCAGGCATGAAATGGAAGTTTGGGCCGTAGGGTAGGAACCAAACAACTCTTTACATTCTCAGTGTGCACTTTGTCCCAAATGTTACTTCTTTGTTAATTCACTCCATTGCCTAGACCAAGGAACAATTTTTACTCTTTGGGGAAGATACTTTGCCAGCTGAGTGAGGCCCACAGCCTCCTGTTTGAATTCTTTATTAGGGGAGTCCTGGGGATTCTGTTTTAGTTCTCTAAAGACATATTTCATGAACCTCATTTGCCACTAGCAAGTACCACAGCAAGGGTGGAATTTAATTGCATGTGGGAATGCAAACAGCTAGTATAATAAGGAACATTGTGAGATTATAAATAACTCTGTAGTAGTAAAATCTCGTTTCATTCTGAAGGTTGGTTCTGACTCCTAGAAAAAGGCAAGGTTAAATATGAAATGCACTTGCAATAGACTGTGATAGTTAAGAAGATGGCTCTCAGAGCCAGGCTGCCAGGCTTCAAATTCTGAAACTTTTTCTGGTTTTCCTTTTTCTGAGTAATAATAGACCAGTTAATTTTAACCAACTTTTAGTTTTTAGTTTTATGTAAAAAGGGATCAATAATGTATTTTCCTATGAGGCTATTGAGAAGATTAAATGTGATAATTCAGGTGATGTTTTGGAACCGTGGCTGGCATGTAGTAGGTGTTCAGTAAATTTAGCCACTATTGTTACACTGCAATGAAAATAAAGATGTTGTGGGAATTGTTTGGAAATATGCCCTGAAGATTCATTACAGATTCAAAAAAATTTATAAATACATTGAAATATTTTTTAAAAAATTTATTTATTTACCCAAAAGGCAGAATTACAGAGAAAGAGGGAGAGACAGAGGGAGCGAGAAAGAGATCTTCCATCTGCTGGTTCATGCCCCAGATGGGCTGCAAGGCCCGGGGCTAGGCCTGGCTGAAGCTAGGAGCCTGGAGCTTTATCCAGGAATCCCACATGGGTGCAGGAGCCCAAGGACTTGGGCCATCCTCTTCTGCTTTCCCTGGCGCTTTATCAAAGAGCTGGATCAGAAGTGGAGCAGGAGCTGGTGCTGTGGTGTAGTAGGTAAAGCTGCCTGCAGTCCTGGCATCCCATATGTGTGCTGGTTTGAGACCTGGCTGCTCCACTTCTGATCCAGCTCTCCACTTTGGCCTGGGAAAGCAGTGGAAGATGGCCTAAGTCCTTGGGCCTTTGCATCTGTGTGGGAGACTGGGAAGAAGCACAGCTTTGGCCATTGTGGCCATTTGGGGAGTGAACCGGTGGATGGAAGACCTTTCTGCCTCTGTATACCTCTGCCTCTGCCTCTCTGTAACTCTGCCTTTCAAATAAATAAATAAATCTTTAAGAAAAAAAGTGGAGCAGCCAAGTAAGAAACTGGTGCCCATATGGGATGCTGGCAGCTTAAGATGGTATACAAATGTGAAGTGGTGTTGTATTCATGGAATGTGTGTCAAAGAATTGTGTGAAATGTGTATTCTGAAGTTGTCTGTTTCCCTGTGGGAATGTTTGACAAGCTCTTGTCTCTTCTACTTAAATCATTTGAAAGAATTCTATAGCCTTCCTATATTTTACCAGCAGTGTTTTAAATACTGTATGATTCCTTTTGCATATGGAAAAGCTTGAAGAATTTTTAGTGTTTTTTTTTTTTTTTTTTTTTTTTTTTAATTACAGGCAGAGTGGACAGTGAGAGAGAGAGACAGAAAGGTCTTCCTTTTCCGTTGGTTCACCCCCCAAATGGCCGCTGCGGCCGGTGCGCTGCGGCCAGCGCACCAGGCTGATCCAAAGCCAGGGGCCAGGTGCTTCTCCTGGTCTCCCATGGGGTGCAGGGCCCGAGTACTTGGGCCATCCTCCACTGCCTTCCTGGGCCACAGCAGAGAGCTGGCCTGGAAGAGGGGCAACCGGGCAGAATCTGGTGCCCCGACCGGGACTAGAACCTGGTGTGCCAGCGCTGCAGGCGGAGGAATTAGCCTATTGAGCCGTGGCGCCGGCCGAATTTTTAGTTTATAAGGTATTTTCAACAGGCCAAACACTATGGGTTATGTTATTTTCATGTTTTTTTCAGGGTTAATTTTTTTTGCTGGATCCGGAGGCATGGCTAGTAAGAAACTAAGAAGAGTGGGTTTATCCCCAGAACTGTGTGACCGTCTCAGCCGGCATCGCATTGTCACCTGTCAGGTAAAATTTATCTGATTTTTTTCACTGAGAAATTTTATGGACAAATTAACTATTCCTTAATGACTCTTAAAATGGAAATATGAAAACATGTTTATAAAAAATAAATGATACTGCTTTTCCATAGGCTAATTTAATTTTTAAAAACGTTTACTTGAGAGACAGAGATACACACACACATATACAGCGAGAGAGAGAAAGAGAGAAGCGGGGAGAAAGAGAGTGAGAGCAAGAGAGAGTGAGTGCTCCCACCTGCTGGTTCACTCTCCAAATGCCCACCTCGGCTGGGCCAGGGCTTGAGCTGGAAACTAGGAACACAATCCCGCGAGCCCAGGGACTTGAGCCGTCACTACTGTCTCCCAGGATGCACATTGGCAGTAAGGTAGAATCAGGAGCAGAGCTGGGACTTGAACCCAGGCACTTGGATAGGGGGTGCAGGATCCCAAGTTGTGGCTTAACCATTAGGCTGAATGCCTGCCCCAATTACATTTTTTAAAATATTTATTTATTTACTTGAAAGGCAGAGTTACAGAGAGGCAGAGGCAGAGAGAGAGAGATAGAGGTCTTCGATCTACTGGTACTCCCAAGATGGCCACAGTGGCTGGAGCTGTGCCCATCTGAAGCCAGGAGCCAGGAGCTTCTTCCAGGTCTCCCACGTGAGTGTAGGGTCCCAAGGAATTGGGCCATCTTCTACTGCTATCCCAGGCCATAGCAGAGAGCTGGATTTGAAGTGGAGTAGCCAGGACTAGAACTGGCACCCTTATGGGATGCCGGCACTGCAGGCGGTGGCTTTACCCACTATGCCACAGCGCTGGCTGCCCCCCTCCCTGTTTACATTTGAAACATAATAATGAGAGCAAATTTCTCTTAGGACAAATAAGATTTGAGATTTTACCTTAGGATTTTATCCTTAATAAAACAGATTTTTCAGAGCATGGTGCTGTTTTAAAAAATTGCAGTGTGCATTAAAGGTATTTTTGGTTCCTCTGTTCCTAGAAGTATGAAATTTAACATTACGTTCTGTGGTCAGTTTTATTCTCTCATATATCAAATTCCTTGTCTGAGTGAGCAGCTCTTCGTTTAAAAAGGAACACGTTTTGGCCCTCTAGATGTGTATCTGGGCCCGGACTCTGGCCTGAGTGCAGTGCTCGGATGAACCTGGCTGCGGCTGTCTGGGGCGTTACTGGATGTGTCCTGTGTAAATGCCAGCTCAGCCAGAATTAGCGGGCAGGGCCACGCTATCCTGCCTTTTCTAGTTAAGGCATTTTTGGGAGGAAATACCTTACGGGACACATACATCCTTGAGTTACAAATACCACACTTTATTTACTCACAGATAGTATCAATATCTTTGTTACACATGGGTGTTTAAAATATTCTCTTTATGTCTGTTTAGGACTTTTTATGTCTTTCTCCACTGGAGCTCATGAAAGTGACTGGCCTGAGTTACCGAGGTGTCCATGAACTTCTGTGCATGGTCAGCAAGGCCTGTGCGCCACAGATGAAAACGGTATCTATCTATATGTCTATCAATCTATCAGTCATCTATCTATCATTTTCTTTCTTTCTATTCTATTCTAATATGATTTGATTGTGACGCTGATTTTGTCTCATTTAAAAACTTTTTGGGATGAGGCAAAAACAAAAAATAGATGAGCACCTCAGAAATAGTTGAACTTTCTACTATAGTATATAGTGATAGTGTATGTGATAATATAATGATAGTATATTTGAAAAATTCTTGTAGTTTATAATCTCATGGGAGACAGTCTAAATATGGGAATTAGCAAGCAATAGGAAGTTTTGATTTTTTTCTGAGCCAATAGTGATATTTCTTCCTATTTATTTATTTACTTGTTTGAGAGGCAAGGGACAGAGACAAAGATCTACAGATAAAGAGATCTCTCATCTGCTGGTTCACTCCTCAAATGCCCGCTGCAACCAGGAGCTGAAGCTAAGAGCTAGGAACTCAATCCAGAGCTCCCACATGGGTAGCAGAATCCAAATATCTGAGCCATCACTGCTGCCTCCCAGGGTCCACATTAGCAAGAATCTGGCTTCAGGAGCAGGAGCTGAGAAATGAACTCAAGTACTCCATCGTGGGACATGGGTATCTTAAATGCTGGCTTCACTGCTAGGCCAGGCACCTAGTAGTGATACTTCATAATTCATAAGACTGCCCTTTACCAATGTTTGGGTAGAATTTATTTGAGTGCTTCATGATTAAATTATAATATTCTCCAATTTTTTTAATCTTAAATATTTTTGAAACTTATTTGTGTTTGTTTGAAAGGCAGAGGAAAAGAGAGAGAGAGAGAGAGAGAGAGAGATCTTCTGTGTGCTGGTTTTCTCCTCCAATACCTGCAACAGCTGGGGCTGGGCCAGGTCAAATATAGGAACTTGGAACTCAATCCAGGACTCCCATATGGCTGGCAGGGTACAAGCAATTTTGAAATTCAGTGACAACGGGCATTACTTAGTTTGGGAGTCCAAGAAGCCTCCCTGGGAAGCCACACTTCAACTAAAATGTGAAGAACGAGTAGGTAAGAGATAGAGAAAGGCATGGGAGGGAAACAGGGAGAGCATCGCGGGCATTGGGAACAGCAACTGGAAAGGCCTGTGCAGGGGAAGGGAATGGTGCTTGTCTGGTGATAACATTAAGCTGTGTGACTGGAACGCAGCCACGAGGAAGAGAGTGGCAGGAGAAGAAGCCAGAGTCAGGTCCTTGGGGCCTTGCAGACCATGTGAAGGATTTGGGACTCCATTCCTGGAGCAATGGGAACTCTTATCAAAGAGTACAATGTAATATGTGGTTTTTTTTTTTTTTAAACAACGAGAAAGCAAGAACATATTCATGAAGACTGGTCAGATACTTTATTATTCCAGACAGAAGGGCCAGTGACTTGGATTATTACTGTAGTATTGATGCAGAGGATATGATATCAGTTAATATGAGAGAGATTTAGGGGGCAGGATTAATAGGATTTGGTGATCGTTTGGCTGTAGGTGGTGACATACAGGGAAATCGCAGAGATGATTCGCTGATTTTGCTTTGGGAAACTGGGTGCACCTTTCCCGAGGGAAGGAATACGCATGAGGGAGGCATCATGGATTCAGTTTAGTACTTGAGCAGGTGCTGTGAAACATCTGGTGGAGCTGTGAGGTAGGCAGTTGATTATGTGGTCCTGGGCCTTGAAGGGGCGGCCTGCTCTACAAGTGTGCATCTGGGACTCGTGTGTGTAAGTGGGGTTGCTGAAGCTGTGGGAATGGGTGAGGGATTGCCTGGAAGACAGGTGAATCCAAGGCCAGTTCCTGAGTGATGCCAACATTTAGAGGTCAGCTTAGACAATGCTGAGTGTGAGAAGCAGCTAACAAAACAGGAGAAAAACTAGGATAATATCATATTCCAACCCTCCTTTGTCTCACTTATGAATGTACTGTTATATATGGATATTGTTATATCTGAAGTCTTTTCTGAATTTTTATTGATATAAAGAGAACAGATTTTGTATTTTTCATATATAGAATTCTAAGATAACCATGCTTTCCTTCTTCTCCCCCTCAATCCCCTCTCCTTCCTTTCTTTTTTTCTTTAATCTTTGCAGTAACATACTTTCAATTTACTTTATAATCACACGCTTAATGCACCACTGATCATAATGTTTAACAAGTAAAAAGTAGAAAGACCACTATTCCACAGAATAGACAAGGGCTATAAACAAAAATCATAAGATGTCAGTTTCATTCATACATTTTTTTTGTATTAACTATCACATATCAGAGAAATTATGATATTTGTCTTTTTGGAACTAAGCATAATGGTCTCCAGTTGCAAAAGATAGAATTTCATTCTTTCTTTGTGGCTGAGTAGTATTTCATCATGAATATACCACATTTTCTTTATCCAGTCATCAGTTGATGGACACCTGGGTTGATTCTGTATCTTATCTATTGTGAGCTATTCCTTTTACTTATTTATTTTTTGAGAATCACCAAATCTATTCAGGTAATTACACTTATAGTTGAAATGAAATACTTTAGTATTGCAATATTGGATTGCTTTGCCATGATTGTTAAAATGTTTCCAAATGTGCTCATGTTGCCTGATGGTAAATTATAGATAAAAATGTCTGTGAAGGCACACTCACTGAAGTAGTTCTTGTATTCACAATATCAGAAAAAGGGGCAAGCATTTAGCCTAGCAGTTAGGACACCATTTCCTACATTAGATTGCCTGGGTTTGATTCCCAGTTCTGACTCCTGAGTGCAGCTCCCTACTAGAACCTGGGAAGCAGTGGTGATCCTCAAGTAATTGGGTCGTTGCCTCCCACATGGGAAGCCTGTACTGAGAGTTTCCAGTTTTTTTTTTTTTTTTTTTTTTACAGGCAGGGTGGACAGTGAGAGAGAGAGAGAGACAGAGAGAAAGGTCTTCCTTTGCTGTTGGTTCACCCTCCAATGGCCACCGCGGCTGGTGTGCTGCGGCTGGCGCATCGCGCCAATCGATGGCAGAAGCCAGGTACTTATCCTGGTCTCCCATGGGGTGCAGGGCCCAAGCACTTGGGCCATCCTCCACTGCACTCCCTGGCCATAGCAGAGAGCTGGCCTGGAAGAGGGCCAACCGGGACAGAATCCGGCGCCCCGACCGGGACAAAACCTGGTGTGCCGGCGCCACAAGGCGGAGAATGATTAGCCTAGTGAGCCGTGGTGCTGGCCCGAGAGTTTCCAGTTCTGCCCAGACATTGTGGGCCCTGGGGAGTAAAATGTGATATTAAAAAAAATGGAAACAACCTAAATAATCCACAGTAGTGAAGATAAATTTTATTATGAGTGATGAAATATGTAGGCATTAAAATACTTGAGAAGAATTTTTTAAACAATTATTTATATTTGAAAGTCAGAGTTACACAGAGAGAGAAAGAGAGGCAGAGAGAGAAAGAGAGGCAGAGAGAGAGGGAAGTCTTCCATCTGCTGGTTCACTCCCCAGATGGGCACAATGGCCAGAGCTGCGCTGATCTGAAGCCAAGAGTCAGGAGCTTCTTCTGGGCCCCCTATGTGGGCGCAGAGGCCCAAGGATTTGGGCCATCTTCTACTGCTATCCCAGGCCATAACAGAGAGCTGGATTGGAAGTGGAGTAGCCAGGACTCAAACCGGCGCCCATATGGAATGCCGGCACTGGAGGCGGCAGCTTTACTTACTACGTCACAACACTATGCCCCATTGAAGAATTTTTAATAACTGGAAATCCTCAAGATATACATACTTAGCAAAAAAGTAGGCTATGAAATTGTAAATGGTGTACATGCCAACTTTATAAAAAATAAAGTCATATATGTGTATGATTATACATATATACATACTTTATTATTATTAGTGGTTATTCCAGTTATTCCAGAATTGTAAAAGTTACTGACTTATGTTTCAAAATTTAAAAAAAAAATTATTTATTTTGAAAGGTAGAGTTATAGAGAGCGAGCAAGAGAGAGCGAGAGAGAGCGAGGGAGAGAGATATCTTTCATTTGTTAGTTCACTCCTCAGATGGCTGCAATGGTTGAGGCTGGGCCCATCCAAAGCCAGGAGCTTCTTCCAGGTCTCCCATGTGGGTGCAGAGGCACAAGAACTTAGGCCATCTTCTACTGCTTTCCCAGGCACATTAGTAGGGAGCTGGATCAGAAGTGGAGCAGCTGGGACTTGAATCAGTGCCCATATGGGATGCCGGCACTGCAGGCAGCAGCTTTACCTGCTACACACCACAGCACCAGCCCCTCAAAATTTTTTTTAGTGCTAAGTGTGATAGGAAAGTTTAATTAAGAGAAATATTGAGGGGAAAACACATGACAGACCAGGTGGACACCTCAGTGAGGAACTGAGAGCCTCAGCTTTTGTTTCTTTCCAAATTTTCCATAGGCAAACTGTGTTCTCTAAATAGGAAAAACCTAACAATAGTTCTTGCTGACCCCCATGGCAAATCTGCTAGTCTCAGTTTCTTAGCCTCTTGGAAGTGGAGAAAATTTTAACTCTGTGAAGTGAATGGATAGGGTGCCAGTGTGGAGGAATGCCAGGACTAGATTAAACAATATATGTAATGTACTTTTAAAAAGCACATGGTATACGGGGGTTGGCACTGTGGCATAGTGGGTAAAGCCGCCGCCTGCAGTGCTGGCATTCCATATGGGCACTGGTTTGAGTCCCAGCTGCTCCACTTCCTATTCAGCTCTCTCCTATGGTCTGGGAAAGCAGCAGAAGATGGCCCAAGTGCTTGGGCCCCTGCACCCATGTGGGAGACCTGGAGGAAGCTTCTGGCTCCTGGCTTCAGATCGGCACAGCTCTAGCCACTGTAGTCATCTGGGGAGTGAACCAGTAGATGGAAGACCTCTCTCTCTCTCTCTCTCTCTCTCTTTCCCTCTCTGCCTTTCAAGAAAAATAAATAAATTAAAAAAAAAGCACATGGTATAGACATGCACGAGATGTTCATTACCTTCCTGTCCTTGTCTTTTCCTGTTCACGGTTCCTGAATCGCGGTGTTGCCTGGCAGAAGCTGGTATCCTAGGGTAGTGATTGTACGGGTGAAACTAGACTGAAATGTGAAACAGACCATTACAAATGGGAGATGCTCTGTAAAACTCTTGTAAAAAAAAAAAAAGGAAATTAGAAACTAGATATCTTTTTAGAATTAAGTAAAAATTTTAATGTTCCAGAAAATTAATTAAGGTTATTTTAAAAATGATTTTCCTGGACTAATGTGGTGCAATGGGCTAAGCTGTTGCCTGCTACGCCATAGCCCATACGAACACTTAAATTTGAGTCCTGGCTGCTCCACTTCTGATCCAACTCCTTGCTAAAGTGCCTGAGAAGGCAGTGGTGAATACTTGGGCCCTGCCACGAGGCAGGAGGCCCAGATGGAGCTCCAGGCTCCTGGCTTCAGCCTGACCCAGCCCTGGCTGCTGAGGACATTTGGGGAGTGAGCTGGCAGAACACCTCTCATTCTCTCTCTTTCTCTGTAACTCTTGCTTTTCAAATAAATAAATAAATCTTTAAAAAAATTTTCTTTGTAGAGTATTAAATTGGATTGTTCTACATAAAACCAGCAAATAAAATCACCAGAATCTTCTGCGTAATTTCTTGTGGATAAATGCCTAGGATAAGAAAAAGACTTTCCGATTGTTATTGTACCAGAAAATCTTCAGATATCCCACGTACCTGGCTTGGATACATTCGCCAGACCCGGAAGTCCGGAAGTTCTCGTCCCCTCTACTGCCGCCCTCCTGCAGCCATTGCTCTTTGCCTTTGGAGTGGTTGCAGCAGCTTCCAGCATCACCCCCCCACCTTCAATCCATTGTTCACAGACCAACCCAGGCATCTTTGAAGTGAGGATTGGCTGTAGTGTTAGGGTTCCTACGGCAGCTCTAACAGGAATCCCCACAGCCTGGGTGGCTCCCAACACCAGCAGTGCATTCACTCCCAGTTCTGGAGGCTGTAGCCCTGAAATTGCGGTGTGGGCAGAGCTCTGCTCTCCAGAGGCCTAGGGTTTAATCCATCCCTTGCCTGTCACCCCTTTTGCCTTAGCTTGTGGCTGCTCCTTCCTCTGTTCCACCTTCAAATGCCTTTTCCTTTCTATGGAGAATCTCCCTGCGCCTCTCTTTATAAGGATTCTTCTGGTGGCATTTAGGGCCCCCCAGGATAATCCAGGATTATTTCTTCATCTCAAGGTCCTGAATTTAATTGCATCTGCAAAGACTTTTTTTTTTTTCTTTGCAAAAAAGGTGATGTTCATAGAGGTTCCAGAGATTTGAGCCTGCCACACCTGCCTTCCGACTGTTCTTCACAAGCCAACCTGAGCTGGAAATGGCGACTTGGTCGTGGCATGCATTGGTGCTGTCAGTGTGAACTGCATGTTTCAGCAAAGCTCTGGACAACGAGGCCTCTGCTGACAGCTGCGGCCCATTGCCTGCCTTTCTAAACGAACTCCATTTACTTAGAGCGGTTTTCCTCAGTTTCCATTTCTTCTCCTTATTGTTTCTTGACCTCTCTTTGTACATTCCGTCCTCTGTCCTGCTGTTTCCTTTGCTTATCTAACAGCTGTTGCAGATTGTAGCTCAGTCGTGCAGCTTGCTCCTTGCTGGAGCCTTCCTGGATCAAAAAATCCAGATCAGCTATACTGACGTCTCCACTCTCCCTGTCACAGTCTCTCTTGTTAACTGTGTTGTTTTGCCCAGTTTGTAGTCCCAATTCCGTAGTTTTGGTTGACTGTAAGACCAGGGGAAGAGGGGCTCTGTCATATCACATCCCCATGGTCTGGCATAGTCCTTGGCACAGAGTAAATATTACAGTGGGGGAGAGGATGGATTCGAGTTACAGGTGCTACAGTTTGGAGGCTTGGGGCTTATGTTTTCGAATAGCTGCAGAGGTTGCAAGAAGGTGATCTGTTTCTTGTGTAGGCGTACGCGATGAAGACACAGAGGTGTGCCGCTCTCTCGCCGGCTTTCCTACCTACGAGCCTTCCTGCCCTGGACGAAGCCCTGCGTGGTGGTGTGGCTTGTGGATCCCTCACGGAGGTAAAGGAGGAACTTTCCATGCCTTCTTCACTGCTCTGTAGCCTTCAGAGCCAGGGAAAAGCTCAGGGGAAACATGTGGATTAGTTCATGAGTGTTGATCTGAATTAAATTCCAAGTCCTTCAAGGGTGTGGTTTTCCACTCAGAGCCTAGTATCATTGTTGTGCAAATGAAGGTATTAAAAGAAAGTCCTTGCTGACTAAAATCTGTTTTTTTTTTAATTAGAAAGTAATGAGTATTGTGAAATATTATGAGATATTTAAATTAGATCATTTAAAAAGTGATCACTCCTTAGTATATTAAGAAGGAAAATTTGAAATGTTGTTAACCTGTGAGCAAACCATAGTGTGAAACCCAAGCTATTTTTACTTCCTGTTGTAGATAAAATGTGGATTCTTGGAAGTAACATATTGTTACTTAGTGTTGTTACATAACGAATTATCCCAAAACTAAGTGGCTTTAAACATCAGTGGACATACTTTACATCTGTTTCTCTGGAGTGGCGTGGCTCAGCAATGTTGGGGAGGAAGGTCCCCATCTGAGACTTGGTTGTGGCTGGAGGATCTGTCTCTAGGGGCTCACGCACAGGACCGGCGGGTTGGTGCTGGTTGTCGGTGCTCACCGTGCCGGCTCTGCACAGGCTGCTTGGGTCTCCCTTGCCACGATGGTCCACAAGAAGGCAAAGCGGAAGTGGCAATGCCTTTGATAACTGAGTTTTGGAACTTACACACCACTGCTTCTGCCACGTTCTTCTCATTGGAGTCATGCCATTAAGTCCTGTGCATTCAGGGAAAGGGACATTGAACTTCAGTCTTTGAAGGGAGAAGTGTCAAGAATTGGAGGACATTGACCAACCACCCAGTTCTTTCCCTTGAAAACTGTGTTGCTGATCATGGATGTGACTGCTCTACAGACTGCATTTACCAGTACACTCCTGAGGACGTCCTGCCTGAAGGTGGTAGGGACAGAGAATTTCAGCACACGTCCAGATAAGAGCAGACTCTTGGGGCTGGTGCTGTGGCGGAGTGGAGAAAGCCGCTGCCTGCGGTGTTGACATCCCATATGGTGCCGGTTTGAGTCCTGGCTGCTCCACTTCTGATCCAGCTCTCTGATATGGCCTGGGAAAGCAGTAGAAGATGACTCAAGTCCTTGGGCCCCTGCACCTGTATGGGACACCAGGAAAAAGCTCCTGGCTCCTGGCTCCTGGCTTTGGATTGGTGCAGCTCCAGCCATTGTGGCCAGTTGGGCCCCTGCACCCATGTGGGACACCCAGAAGAAGCTCCTGGCTCCTGGCTTTGGATCAATCCAGCCGTTGTGGCCAACTGGGGTGTGATCCAGCAGATGGAAGACCTCTCTCTCTCTCTCTCTCTCTCTCTGCCTCTCCTTCTCTCAATGTAACTCTGACTTTCAAATAAATAAGTAAATCTTTAAAAAAACAAAAGAGCAGACTCTTATCTTACATCCTGATAGTCATATTTAACTGTAGATTGGGGTGGGTATTTAGCTGCATCTACCTTCATATCAAAGGTCCTGGGGTAGATTCTGGTCTTTCAACTTACTGCTGGCACAAACCCTGGGAGGCAACAGGTAGTGGCTCAAACAATGGGTCCTGCCACCCACATGGGAGACCTTAGTGGGGTTCTTGGCCCTGGCTTAGGCTTAGCCCTTTCCTGGCCATTTCCAGCATTTGGGGAGTGAACCAGTGGGAAACTCTTTTTGTCTCTTTGTTTCGGTTAAAGTAGTTTTTTCCTCCCCCCTTGGTGATAGACTCTTTTTTAGACATCATACCTTATTTTATTTTCTATCTAATAAGAAAGATTTAAAGACATATATGAGATGTTTCTAGAAAACGCCTATTAAAAAGTAAATGCATCAATGAATTGAAGCGCGCGCGTGCGCACACACACACACACACACACACACACACGCAGGCAAAGACTGTTGTTACAGTGTACTGCCACCAGGTGGTGTCACAATCATTATCAAGTTGGAAGTGCTCAAATAGAGTTTATAACAATATGATACAACTTATATAAGTAGCAAAAATTATACTTAAGAAAAGCTAAATACTTTTTGTTTTGAAACTTTTGGGATAATTTTCAATACTTTTCACTTAACTTTTATTAATATTTTCTGAGTCCAAGCAGAAGTTTAAGGTTGGTAGGTGTTTTGTCATGATCTACTTGGTTGACTTGGAATAGACGATGATTGGATTTTCTTTCTTGTCTATTACCAGGTGGCCTCCTTAATTTTTGTGAATTTTTCAGCTGAGAATGGGAGGTTCTCAGTTTACCTTCTATTCAGAAACAAAGTTTTGAGGTGTATACACACACACACACACACACACACACGTATATTATTTATTTGAAAGAGTTAAAGAGAGAGGTAGAGACAGAGAGGGAGAGGGAGAGAGAGATCTTCGATCTGCTGGTTCACTCCCTAAATGGCCACAACAGCAGAGCTGAGCTGATCTGAAGCCAGGAGCCAGGAACTTCTTCCAGGTCTTCCATGTGGGTGCCAGGGCCCAAGGACTTGGGCCATCCTCTACTGCTTTCCCACGCACATTAGCATGGAGCTGGATCGGAACTGGAGCAGCTGGGACTCAAACTGGTACCCATATGTGATGCTGGTGCTGCAGGCTGGGGCTTAACCCACTGTGCCACAGTGCTGGCCCTAAGGTATATTTTATGTACATAAAATTAATGATAACCTGCATGTATAAGTTATGAACTGTTATGAGCCTATGACCCAGCAATGCCAAAAACCTTTGAAGCTAATTGTGGGCTTTTCGTTGAAGCTATCTTTGGCTTTTTTTAGGGCGGTAATCTTTATGAATTTTAATCATCCTGTATAATTCTGATACCTATAGTTTTCTTTTTACTTTACACATACTTACATAGGAGATCTAACAACCTTTTATGTCATTTTGCTTATTTTTGGGCTTTAATAATCATACATCTGTGTTTAGATTCTATGTCATATGTCTTCTATGAATTGCTATTGTCACTTAGTACTGTTTCTTTTCTTTTTCTCCCAGAAACCTTTTATTTAATGTATACAAACTGCATGAGTTTCATAAATACAACTTTAGGAACATAGTGATAGTGATTCTTCCTACCATACCCACCTCCCACCCCACTCCCACCCTTCTTCCTCCTCCCTCTCCTGTTCCCATTCTTATTTTTTACTAAGCTCTATTTTCAGTTAGCTTTATATACAGAAGATTAACTCTGTACTAAGTAAAGAGTTCAACAACTAGTATGAAAGAAAAAACTGTTCCTGGACAGGTTTTTTATTTCTCTCCTGATTTCTTCCATGACTGTTCATTCAGGAGCATGTTGCTCAGTCTTTGTAGGTTTGCATATGTTCTAGAGATTCTTTTTTTTTCCAAGCCAAACTGTATCCAGCTTTATTAAAGATTCTTTTCATAAACAATCCTGATATTTCAGGCAGGACATGGGCAGACAATTGTGAACAGCATACAACTTTGAACTCCCTTCTTCAATGGACTTCCAAAATCAGAAAGCTGCTATAAAACCCAGTGAAGTCCTCACGTGGTGCTGTGGCAAGGGGAAGTTTAGAGTGAGGGCTGACAGGTCACATTTAGCATATTGTTTAACAACTTTTCACATTTCCTGACTTTCAGGAAATGAAATGAAATGGCAGAATGATCAATCCGAAGATCCACAACCTAGAAAAGGAACCACTGCTGTTTTCAGGAGCCCCACCTCAGGGGTGTCACTGTGAAGTCCAGATTGCCTGTCATACTGGTACCAAGCTGTTTGGGGTCAGGTCCCAACAGGTTTCTGGGTTTGAGGGAGTTAAGTCTGTGCTGAAGGCAGACGGGGGGAGGAAGAAGAGATAAAATCAAATTTAGCTTTTCCACATCACAGAGTGTGTGCCCTGGTGGCTGTGTCAAAGGCAGGAATCCTTCCTGGGAGCCGAGAGGAAGTCTCCCGAAACTACAAGGGGCAGGTGTTTTCCCATCAGTCCAGCTCCGGAGACCTGTTAGTGACCTCTGCCCCTTCCCCCAAAACAACAATGAAGTGTTCTGTGTATTAACAACATAGCTGAAAAAAAAAAAAGTAAAACAAAATTATGCTTTTTTATAAAACTTGATAAGAAATAGTATTTCAAGCTGTACAGTCACCAGAAGTACAGTTAGCAAAAATGCACCCCCTTCCCTTGGCGTCTCCAGCTTCGTCAGCTTTCTGGGCCTGGTCTGTGTTGGCATCTCCATTTTCTGCAGGGTTATTCCCATCCGTGCCAGCATTGGCTTTTCCCTTGTTGCCTCTGGGCACCTTCTCTCCCTTTTTGCAGGGGCCTTTTAAGGCTTGGGTTCTGGCTTTGGAGGAGCAGGTCTAGCAGACAACCGTGCGGATCTTCTGTGTGGTTTGTCCTGCACCTTGGCCTTATCTCATTTAGCATCCCCTTCAGCCTTTCTCTTGGACATGGTGGCTGCGGGGGTGGCGGCGGTGGAGGCGGGATGTAGGCACTGGGCGTGGAGATACAGTGGCTCGCGGGCTTTGTTCAGTCCAGGGGTCGTTCTTGCCTCTTCTTCACACTGCTCCGAGATTCTTGAGTTGTTGATTTCCAGCTTTGTTCCATTGTGGTCAGAGAGGATGCATGGTATGATTTTGATTTTTTTGAATTTGCTGAGACTTGCTTTATGGCCTGACCTGTGGTCTATCCTAGAGAAAGTTCCAATGCCCTGGTGAAAAAAAGTGTATTCGGCAACTATAGGATGAAATGCTCTGCAGATATCCATAGGTCCATTGGGTCTATAGTGTTGAGTACCAGTTGTTTGCTGATTTACTGTCTGGCTGATCTGTCCATTGCTGACAGTAGGGTATTGAAGTCCCCCGTTACTATTGTACAGGAGCCTATGTGTCCCTTTAGATCATTAACATTTCTTTTAAATAGCCAGGTGAACTGTAATTAGGTGCATATGTATTTATTATAGTCACATCTTTTTGTTGAACTGATCCCTTAATCATTACAT